CGACTCCTGCTCCCCCCCAGCCTGCGGGTCTTCCTTCCCCTCTGCCGGCAGCTCTTGCTGCCTCGTTGCCTGCGGCTCCTGCTGCCCTCCAGCCTGCAGCTCTTGCTGCCTTTCAGCCGGCAGCTCCTGTTGCCCCCCCATCTCCATCACCATCACCGCCTCCGAAGCCTGCTGCCCCTCGACCTGCCGGTCCTGATCCCACCCAGCCTGCGACTCCTGCTGCCCCCCAGCCGGCCCCTCTTGCTGCCCTCCAGCCTGCAGCTCTTGCTGCCTTCCAGCCGGCAGCTGCTGCTGCCCCCCCATCTCCATCTCCGCCTCCAAAGCCTGCTGCCCCTTTGTCTGCGGCTCCTGCTCCTTCCCAACCTGCGGGTCCCATTCAACCCCAGCCTCCAGCTCCTGCTGCCTCCCAGCCTGCAGCTCCTGCTGCCTCCCAGCCTGCAGCTCCTGCTGCCTCCCAGCCTGCAGCTCCTGCTGCCTCCCAGCCTGCAGCTCCTGCTGCCTCCCAGCCTGCAGCTCCTGCTGCCCCCCAGCCTGCAGCTTTTGCTGCCTTCCAGTAGGCAGCTCCCATTGCCTCCCCATCTCCATCTCCAACTCCAACGTCTGCTCCCCCTCAGCCTGCAGGTCCTGCTCCCCCCCAGTCTGCGGGTCCTGCTCCCCCCCAGCCTGCGGCTCCTGCTCCCCCCCAGCCTGCGGCTCCTGCTGCCCCCGGGCTTGCGGGCCTCGCCGCGCTCCTTCCCCTTGACCCCGCGGAACTCCTGATTTGCGCCTCCGTTCCTGTCTTCGGGCTAATCGGGGACCACATGTCGCTGAGTTGTCGCATTTAGTGAGTGCCGGGCGTGCTAAAGGGGTGTTAAGTTCTCGCCGACGCTTGTCATGCGACTCCTGTAGACGCTGGCGATGTGCCTCCCAAGCTGCCATCGCCGCGTCGGAGGTGTTGCCTTGCCTGTGCTCTCCATTGCCACTTTCGACCACTTCTCTAGTGGCCACGCCTAGGTCGGTATCGAGGCGTTGCCTCTTGGTCAGATTGTCGTGGAGGCACCTAGTGACTTTGTCGCACATGCCGCGGACGAGTGGTCCCTCCTGCTGCTCCGCAGGCTCTCTCCCCCTCTTGTGCCGGCCATTGGGCAGGTCGCCTTTGAAGTCATCGTTGTCATTCCTTCCTCCGTGCTTCCGGTGGCCCATTTCGCCTTGCCGTCACGTCCTCCTCCCTCCCGGACCCCGGCATCCCCGGGGTCCGGGCTGTCTTCCATGGTTCCGCTGTGACGTCACGTGTCTCGATGTCGGGGCGTGGATCCCGCACCTGGGCAGCCGGTCTCAATGTGGGGGCGCTGATTTGCAGCGCCGGATCTGAGGCTCGTCCTAAGCGGCGATTTCGCTGGCTGGCGCGCTGCAGAGCGTCCTAAGCGGCGATTTCGCTGGCTGGCGCGCTGCAGAGCGACCTAAGCGGCGATTTCGCTGGCTGGCGCGCTGCAGAGCGACCTAAGCGGCGATTTCGCTGGCTGGCGCGCTGCAGAGCGTCCTAGGCGGCGATTTCGCTGGCTGGCGCGCTGCAGAGCGTCCTAGGCGGCGATTTCGCTGGCTGGCGCGCTGCAGAGCGTCCTAAGCGGCGATTTCGCTGGCTGGCGCGCTGCAGAGCGTCCTAGGCGGCGATTTCGCTGGCTGGCGCGCTGCAGAGCGTCCTAAGCGGCGATTTCGCTGGCTGGCGCGCTGCAGAGCGACCTAAGCGGCGATTTCGCTGTTTGGCGCGCTGCAGAGCGACCTAAGCGGCGATTTCGCTGGCTGGCGCGCTGCAGAGCGACCTAAGCGGCGATTTCGCTGGCTGGCGCGCTGCAGAGCGACCTAAGCGGCGATTTCGCTGGCTGGCGCGCTGCAGAGCGACCTAAGCGGCGATTTCGCTGGCTGGCGCGCTGCAGAGCGACCTAAGCGGCGATTTCGCTGGGATTATCTGTGATTGGGGTTCTTGAAGAGTATGTTGCTGGTATATCTAGCGTATGTGAAACGATTCTTGAATTTTCAAGAAAATAAACTCTAGGTCATCTAAACTCTAGGTTTGTCAAGTATGAAATTGAAATAGACGAGCTACACTAACCTATTCAATACGTAAAATCTATAGGAAGTCGAGGCATTGGGTTCCGATGCGACATGAAGCGGAGTCACTCGAGCCCCAAGCTACTCTGTGTGTGTGTGTGTGTGTGTGTGTGTGTGTGTGTGTGTGTGTGTGTGTGTGTGTGTGTATATGTGTGTGTGTGTGTGTGTGTGTGTGTGTGTGTGTGTGTGTGTGTGTGTGTGTGTGTGTGTGTGTGTGTGTGTGTGTGTGTGTGTGTGTGTGTGTGTGTGTGTGTGTGTGTGTGTGTGTGTGTGTGTGTGTGTGTGTGTGTGTGTGTGTGTGTGTGTGTGTGTGTGTGTGTGTGTGTGTGTGGTGTGTGTGTGTGTGTGTGTGTGTTGTGTGTGTGTGTGTGTGTGTGTGTGTGTGTGTGTGTGTGTGTGTGTGTGTGTGTGTGTGTGTGTGTGTGTGTGTGTGTGTGTGTGTGTGTGCGTGTGTGCGTGTGTGCGTGTGTGCGTGTGTGCGTGCGTGCGTGCGTGCGTGCGTGCGTGCGTGCGTGCGTGCGTGCGTGCGTGTGTGTGTGTGTATGTGTGTGTGTGTGTGCGAGCACTCGTGCGCGTGTGTGCGTGTGTGGTGTGTGTGTGTCTATATGTGTGTGTGTGTGTGTGCGCGCACGTGCCAGTACCGGGAAGGGGACGTGGGGGGGAAGGAGAGGAAAATTGGATGAGGGAAGGGAGGACTGCCCCTGCCCCTGGCAGACGGGCAGATGAGCAGACGGGCAGGTGAGCAGACGGGCAGATGAGCAGACGGGCAGGTGAGCTGATGAGCAGGCATCGTACCCCCACCCCTCTGCCACCCCGTACCCACTCCAGGCATTGGATTTGAACCCAGCGTCAGCAGAGCTGGTATGTGCTAAGACCCACCTTACGCCACCCCTCTCCACCACCCCGTACCCTCCCCAGGCGTTGGCTTTGTACCCGGCGTCAGAATTGTTTGCGGCTATTCCAGCAGACGACAGGGTCATGAGAGGCACGCTGCTGGCCAGCACCAGCCTTTGCTGGCTGCGCCTGGGGAAGGCAGCCTCAGCCCAGCATGATGGGCAGATGATTTTCTCCTCCCCTCCTCCCCTCTGCCACTCCGTACCCTCCCCAGGCACTGGATAAGTACCCGGCGTCAGAGTTTTTCGCGGCTATTCCAGCAGACGACAGGGTCATGAGAGGGACCCTGCTGGCCAGCACCAGTACATGCTTGCTGCGCCTGGGGCAGGCAGCCTCGGCCCAGCATGATGGGCAGATGGCGCGATTGCTGCGGCCTGACTGGGCCGAGGCATACTTCCGAGAAGGGAGTGCACTCAGGGCCATGGAGGTGAGTGGTTTTACGCAGAGAAGAGTGTTGGGATGGGAGAAGGGAGAGGGGAAGGCAGGCGCCCCTCCTGGACGCTGCTGGCCAGCACCAGTACCTGCTTGCTGCGGCTGGGGCAGGCAGCCTCGGCCCAGCATGATGGGCAGATGGCGCGATTATTGCGGCCTGACTGGGCCGAGGCGTACTTGCGAGAAGGGAGTGCTCTCATGGTCATGGAGGTGGGTGGGTGCTGGTGGGGTATTAGAAGGAAGCAGAGAGTAGGAAGGGTGTTTTGCAGGATAGGCAGTGGCAGATGGGCAGATGAGTCGGTCGCTGCGGCCTGACTGGGCCGAAGCGTACCTTTGAGAAGGGAGTGCGCTCAGAGCCTTGGAGATGAGTGGTTTTTGACAGGGGATGAGAGGAGGGGAAAAAGAGGGTGGTGATGATGACCATGCGCCTGTCTGGGAGAGACAGTACGATGGCCACGACTTGACACAGCTCCCACTTTTCCTGCACTGAGATGTTTTGTTTGTTTGTTTTTTTAATTATTTTCTTTCCCGAAATATGTACACTTGTTGCTTTTTGTGGTGCTGTAGCGTTACGAGGAGGCAGCAAATGTGTTCTCTGAAGGGGTTCGAGTAAATCCTAATAACATGGATCTTACTGCAGCATTGCAGTAAGTATTGAAGTTACATAAGCATGCATTCGTGCAGCTTCAGCCTTTGGCTTGTATCCTATTTCCTTACACATTTTTCCTTGGTCTGTTCTTTCTTTTGCAGAGAAGCTATTGAAGCTGGGCGCAAAGCACATGAAGGGAAGTAGAGGCCCAAGTCATAGTTAATTTCATATTCTTTTGCGTGAAACCATGGAAGTTTGTACCGTACCATGGGTTGAAGAAATCCACTGATTATGTGTATGCTATTTAACGGCTGATTCAAACTTGTTTCGGATGCAAAATATTGGTACATTGAGGGTGCTGCTGTGTAAGTCTTATTATTGTCTGAGACATACCTATATAAGTTAAGTACCATAAGCTACACTAACGAATTCAAAACATGATTCTTACAGGAGAGACAAGGTGGTTGGGTGGCGACGCGACATGGGAGTGAGAGACACGCCAGCTTCAAGCCACGTGCCCGTGCGATGGCGGCGAATTGAGTGCGCCACTTTTCATCTCCCAAAACCTGTGAAATTTTGTGGGCTGGCAGAGTGAACCAATCATCGTTGCCGCCTCGTCGTAACCAATCAGAGGGATGAATTTGCGGCATTTGACAAGACCAACCGATGTGGCTTTGACCGAGCGACGGAACACGAACCCTGAAAGTACTCGCTAACCTTCGCCTCTGGTACTCGCATGAAGATTCCTCCTCTGCCACTCATGCCTTTCTTCGCGAAGGGCTTCTGCGAATCGCTGTACGAAGCCCACCATCTGGAATTCGCCGCCACGTCGCGCGATTGGAAGGGCGGGTGCACCATTCATCCGTACCGCGCCCACACTCCATGACCCCATCTTTCGCACATCCACACGTCCTCATTCGCACACGCATTCGCTTCGCCCCTCTCCCCACAAACATGTGCGTGCTAGCGAGATTCCACCATCTACACCGCGAGGCGCATGTATGCCATCCCCACGACCCATGTTCAGCCAACCTCATCCCATTACGGGGGCATGGCGTGGTGGGCTGCAGCCTGCCGGGTTGTCCCTAGCCGGGACTCGACGCCCTTGCCCTTCTTCACCCCACATATTCGCCCCTTTTTTCCAGTCGGAATTTCTTCCCACCACAACCACCGAAGTTATCCTTCCATCTTTCCGTAATCTCCTTCGCTTCCGAAACAGCTTGGAGCTGCGGCCTTGTGTTGTCTGGAATGAGACGCGAGATTTAGTTCGTCAGTAGATAGATTTGCTGAAAGGAATAGAAATTTCGGAAAGCCGCGGCCAAGGAATGTCGTGGACGAACACATGACGCGTCGCTGCTCGCCGCTGAAGATTCCTCCTGTGGTCGCATGAGTTTTGAGGCGTCTCAAAACTCCTGCGACTTCCAGGAGCCCTCTTCTAGGCGCCGCATTCGGTATACCCAGCCTCTCACGCAATAAAACTGTCTTAAAGTGGAACCATTGAAGCGGGGAATTCGTACCACCAGTATATTCAGCAAATATGACGGTTTCGTTGCTCACACATCAGCCGCAGCAGTATCAACAACAGCTGTTTCAGCCCGCGCTCCAGATCCCTCCACGTGGCACTCACTCCGCGGATTACGGCGCGTTCAACGGAGATGCATCCAGCGGACACTACAGCTCGTGCAATGGGGCATTGGCGAACGATCCATCGGCGAACATCTTCGAAAAGCCCGCCATCGATTACCCTCTTTCGCCATCCTGGGGCTTCGACGCTTTGCAATCGCCCAACAACACGACCAATAACGACTCTCCGCTGTACCCCGATCTGGAATCGCCTCAGACGCAACGGATTCAACCGAATCAACAGCTCTCTGCCACGTCGACTGTCAATCAGCAAGATTACACCCCGCAACACATGGTGATTCAACCGATTCAGCAGATTCAACCGGGTCAACCAAGTCAAGCAGGTCAACCAGCTCCGCTTCAGATGCGCCAGGCTCACGAGCACTCCGCTCCGTACGAGGAACCTTCCAGGCGCGTGCGTTCTTGTAACGGGATCGGCGGTCATAGCGGCGTGACTTGCGGCAGCGGAGGTGGATACGGGTTGCAAAGCTCGACCAACCAGGGATACTGGGAGCAGCAGCAACCCCAGCCGCAACAAGTGCAATCTCAGCAGCAGCAGCCGCAGCAGCAGCAACAGCAGCAGCAACAGCAGCAGCAGGAGTACTCGCCGCAACTTCCCGGTCAACAGCAGTCAATGGGGTCTTCGTCTTCAGCCGTCACGTACTCGACTGGTTACTCAACTGGTTTCTCGTCTGGTTACTCAATGGGTGGTAACTCGTCCGCTGGTTTCTCGACTGGTTACTCGTCCGGTTCTGCTCCCGCATCAACGTCTCCCCAGCCTATAGCGAGTACCACACCCTTCGATACAAACACAGGCAATGCTTATCAAAATCACCATGCGTGTGCCACGTCGGCACCATTTTCTTCCCATTCCACGTCAGCGTTCCATTCGTCATCTGCCGCTATGCCTCACAGCTGCGACGCCGCGGCTGCTGTTACGACTACGCCGTCGTTTCATCCGCAACAACCGCCGCAATACGCGCCATGGCAACAGCAGTCACAGCCATGGCAGCAGCAGCAGCAGCAGCAGCAGCAGCAGCAGCTCTCTCAACCGCCGCCACCACCGCCGCAACAGCATCAGCATCAGCATCAGCATCATCATCATCAGCAACAGCCGCCGCCACAGCAGAAACTTCTGTCACTGCCTCAAATGAATAGCACCTGGCCGAATACGCCCTCCCCCTGCACCACCTCGTGGCAGGTCGCGTCCAGCACGGCTCAGACGAACATCAACACGTGGCACGGCTCGGCGGGAGCGCCGCCCGCGGGGACGCCGCCAGTGCGGACGCCTCCTCAGGGGGCGCAAATAAACTGTAGCGCTGGTGCCCCGCCATTCAGCAGCGGAGGATACAGCGGCGGCATTTCCCCCTCGCGTAGCGGCGGTGGCTCTCCCCCGGCTGGCGGAAACCTTTCCCCCCCGCCAGTCGGCGGAGACTATCCCCCCCCGGCGGGCCACCAATCCGCCTGGAACGCTATGAGTTTCCCGCCAGCCGCGAATGACTATGGGGCGCAAAGGACGACCACCCCCGCGGGTTCTCCCACTCCCCCGTTTGCGCCTGCGTCAACTGCGGCGCCCTGCTCCGCGCCAGCAGTTGCCGCCACCGCCGTGCCATTTGTCGCTGCAAGCGGATCACCTGCTCCCCCTCCCCCTCCCCCTGCTGTTGGCCCTGCTCTCCCTCCTCCTTCTGCCGCTGCTCCTGCTTTCGGCGGTGGTGCTGCTGCTATACCATCTTGGTCCGTCCCCACGTCAGCATCATCGCCAGCGGCGTCAGCAGCTGCCGTGTCAGCAACTGCAGCGTCAGCAGCTGCAGAAGAAGGATCAACCAAGCCAGCAGCGTCAGCGGCGCCGGAAGCGGCGGCGGCGGCGGCGAAGGATCCACCGTGCGCGGCGTGCAAGTCGCTGCGGCGCAAGTGTACGCGCGAGTGCCTGCTGCTGCCGTACTTCCCGCGCAACCAGCCGGAGAAGTTTCACGTCGTGCATAAGGTGTTCGGCGCGAGCAACGTATCCAAAATGTTACAGGTGAGCCTCATTGCTGTTTTTTTCTTTTGCGAGGGTTGGATGGAGAGATTGCTTCCTGCCGCTGCCGTACTTCCCGCGCAACTAGCCGGAAAAGTTCCACGTTGTGCGCAAGGTGTTCGGCGCGAGCAATGTGTCGAAAATGTTACAGGTGAGTCTTTTGTGAGTAAGAAGGGAATAAAGGAGGGAGAGATTCCACGTCGTGCACAAGGTTGTCGGCGCGAGCAATGTCTCCAAAATGCTGCAGGTGAGCCCCACTGCAGCGTTTTTTTCGAAAGAGGAACAAGCGGAAGGGGATAGGGAAGGGTTACTGCCTGCCGCTGCCGTACTTCCCGCGCAACCAGCCGGAGAAGTTCCACGACGCGAGCAACGTCTCGAAGATGCTGCAGGTGTGAGTCACATTGCGGTTTTCCTACCGAGAGAGGAATATGGGGAAAGTGGGGGAGGTGGGAGATTACTGCCTGCCGCTGCCGTACTTCCCTCGCAACCAGCCGGAGAAGTTCCACTTGGTGCACAAAGTAAGTGTTCGGCGCGAGCAACGTCTCCAAAATGTTACAGGTAAGGGTGTTGTGTAGTTGCGGAGGGCTAGGGGAACGGCAGAGGGTGCGTTGGACATGCAACGGCAGGTGAGACCCTGATCGTTGGTCCCTTCCAGAGGGGGTGATACTGGAAAACCGGGGAATGTAGGAAAACCTGGGGGTTTGAGGGCCTACTGCTGCTGTAACTTTCGCTCAGCTAGCCAAAGAAGTTCCACGTGGTTCACAAAGTATTCGGCGCGAGCAACGTTTCGAAAAGTAAGTAGGGTAACGTCGTGTGAGGGTGGTGTGAGAGGAGTGGTTGCCATCGTGACCTGGTTGTGCTGATGCGTGGGTCTAAGATGGAGGAGGTGGTAGAGGGGGAGAAAATGGCGGATTTGCAACCAGCGGGAAAACCTCCTCGCTATCTGGGTGATTCGGCGTCAACGAGGGTGGCGAGAATGTTACAGACGAGGCTCTTGCGCTGTCGCGAGTGTTGAGAAAGAAGAGAGGTGGGGTGGATGGCGACGCTATGGCTGGGATGGGATGGACTGTGGCATGCGAAGTTCCTCGTCATTCTCTAGGTGTTACAGGTGAGCCGTGAGCGTTTATCTGATAATAAGTGAAACAATGCAGGTTAGATTTACACGTATGCTACACTTTATCCTATGTGAGCTATATCAAGGTGTTATGGGTGAGCTTTACTCATTTTTTCTAAAGCAGTACTGATTATTATGCTTTAATGAGTAGCATACCTCTCCTGTCATCCTGCCTTCACTGCCAACACATCTCTGCTACAAGGCATCCGTGACCCAGAGGGGGGGAGAGGATGCAGTGGCGAGCTTGGAGAACGAGGCGCAGGCGAGGCTCAAAGAGTCACATCTTCTCTCATTCGCCTCCTCTCGTTCTCCTCCTGCCCTCCCTGTCCTCCTGTGCTGCTGTGTGCCCTCTACAGGATATCCCGGTGGCTCAGAGAGAGGATGCAGTGGCGAGCTTGGAGTACGAGGCGCAGGCGCGACTCAGAGACCCTGTGTATGGCTGCGTGGGAGTCATCTGCTTGCTGCAGGTACCCCTTCCCTCCCAGCCTTTCTGTCCGGAGCCCCTTACGTTTCGTGCTTTGACTCGTCTCTAATCTGAGGCTCAGATGCCCAGTGCACTGCTGTGCGGAAGTCATCTGCCTGCTGCAGGTACCTCCTTCCTCTCGCTCGCCTCCTTGTTGCTTAGGCGCTTCAGAGATCAACTTGTTCTGCAGGTACCCCCTTGTTCTGGACTTCCCCTGCTCTGAATCCCCCTGCCCTGAACCCCCTCACACCTGGCCTGAATTCCCCTGGCCTGAGTTCCCCTGCCCTAAACCCCCCTGGTTCTTGAGACGTGCCCTCTCCTTACCCCCAATGATTACCCTCCCCCCACAGAAAGAGATGGTGGCCCTGCAGGAGCAGCTGAGAGACATTGAGGCTTCTTCCCTGCCCATTACCGACCAGAACCATTCCTTACTACCCTTTTCCTCAACTCCATGCTCCCCTCCTTCCTTGGTGGCCCCACAGAAAGAGATGGTGGCCCTGCAGGAGCAGCTGAGGGACATTGAGGCTTCTTCTCTCTTGTCTACTGCCAACACTCTGCTCGTGCTCTCTATTTATCCCCCAATGATCTCCTCCCTTGGCCCACAGAAAGAGATGGTGGCCCTGCAAGAGCAGCTGAGGGACATTGAGGCTTCTGCACTCTCGTCTTCCCCCGAAGCAACGCACGGTTCAACAATATCTGGTGACGGGGCCATGTATAGAGGTGGCTCTGCTGCTGCAGCAGTGCCAGGTGTTGGGATAGCAAGAGAAGAGGGAGACGAGTGTTGAGATGCCTTTCACATTTGGCCCTTCCCAGAGACGGGGCCATGTATGGATGAGGCTCTGCTGGAGCAGCAGTGCCAGGCGGGGGAGTAGCAAGAGAAGAGGGAGACGAGTGTTGCGACGCCTTTCGGAATAGGCCATTCTCGAGACGGGGCCATATATGGGTGCCTGTATGGGTTTCTGCAGCAGCAGTGCCAAGTGGGGGAGCAGTGGCAGGAGAAGAGGCAGGCGAGTGTGGAGGCTTCTCACAACTGGTTGATTTCATACAACAGGAAGCGTTGGAGTGAAGGTGCAGCAGCAGCAGTGGCATGCTAAGTGAAGAGGCTGTAAGAAAAAAGGGCGTATGGTGGATTGGCGAAATAGTGAATGTAGGTGGGAGGGGGAGGTGCAGCAGCTGGAGGAACATGGGGAGAGGGGATATGCTACATAAAGCATAGTGGTTACAGGGATGCAGACATGAACAACCGACGCAAGCATGTGCCACACACTTCCCTCTGAGCATAGTGAAAATGTATTCCTTGCCTCATGATAGGCATATACACTGAGTGGTTTGACGCTTTTTGGGCTATTGCTTTAGCATAGTAAATGCCCTCTTATCGATATGTTATCATACTCGGGTTGGGTTTAAGCTTAGAGCAATAAATGTGATCTACGTGTGTTGTTTGCTATGAGATGGTCAGGCTGGTGCGATAGTATGCATCGCCTTCGCCATCTTATATAAGGTGATTGCTGAACTTGTTATGTTACTAGTTTCTACATACTTTCCTAAATGTGCCTACTGCGAACGATTGACTATGGGCAAACAACGTCAAAACCTTGCAGGATTTCATTTGTTCCTTGGCATTGTTTCAAAACTTGGAATATCTAATAGCCAAAGATTTCATAATTTCTGATGACTAGAACGTGTAATGACGTATGCCCAAAAATTACCAGCCTGACGTGTACTTGCAAAAAGAGGACGTTGCTTCACAAATCTACCGCTAGCGAAAGCATCGCCGTACTTCACGGTAGTAGTGATGCGGTTTGTCCCTCAAAAGCGCGCCTCGTCGGAAGTGTCAATCCGTGCGCCGACATCTCCACATTTCGTGGGGAGAAAATGCGGGCACAAGTAGGCGCCCCTTCAAATTGCACGCGCATTTCACATTTTTTCGTGCAGCGCCTATATTTCTGAACCCTGAACAAACGCCTGCGTGCTTGCTCAGCTCGGATGGGCCTGCCATTACTTGATGGAGAGGAGAGAGAGGAACTTGCTCTCGGGCACACACCTGCGGGCCTCATCTACTTCGTCTCCCAATCCCAGCTATCTCCATCGTATGTTCACCTTCTGAGCTCCTTCCTTCGCCCGCTTTTCTCAGCCGTCTCGTCGTCGCTCATCTCAGCGACCACAGCGCGCACAGCACACGCGCGTCATGGCAAGGTTGACCGAGGCATTCAGCCCGCTCGCCTTTTCATTATGTTCCAGTCAAAATCCAGTCAAAGCGAACACGTCAAAATCCGTGCGCCTTAGTGAACCCGTCTCGCACAACTCACCTCTTCCATATATCACCCGACACTTCCTGTTCCCTCCCAGTCTTGATGTTGATGCGAGGAAACCAGCGGTTCCAACCAGCCGTCAGAACCGACGGCGACTGACCATTATGGTAGAACACAATGGGGACATCACCGCCATCAGCCTTGATCACACACAGCTTCGAGAAATCACAACGGCGATGACCCATCATCCACCACCCTGCTCTCCCCATCTTTCCCCCGCTTCTAGTTAGAGAGTCTAAGCTCCTCCCCAGGGCGGAGGCCGCGCCCTGAATGCGCGCCGTCGCACCGACAGACGGTTTCTTTGGGGCGAACACGACCGACTTGAACATATAATTTCCAAAAGGATGCAAGTACCTTCTTACTCTTCCACAGAGAATTCTTACTCCTGCTGTGGGCTGCTACTATCCCCGCAATAAGCATCCCAGGCCACGCCATGCGCCTATTTGTCGGCGCGAGGCGCCCAAGGCACCTCACTTTTCCTTTCCGAAATCCGCTCCAGCTTCCCTTTCCCACAGTCCGCACCAGTCTCCCCGTGTCCATATATTTCTCCAAGTAATTCCGCCTGCCACCTCACCCTGGAAAAGGCGAGCATAGAATACCATCGACACTCACTAGTAATAAACGTCACTTTCGTGAATCCCGTAACAGCGTGATACCCTTATGCAGATAGCTGTGGTGCATCTTTAATGCATCTTCTCCGCACGTCACTCCGTCACGACAGCCAATCTTCTGCCCGACTCTCAAGAGCCATCTTTGTCCCACGCGTCTTTCTAGCACGAACCAAAGCGGCTAATTCAAAGCAGCTACCCCGCTCGCTAAACTCATCCACGCCTTTTTGCGTAACACAACCGCTAGTTTACTAGAAAATAGTAAGACGACCGCTGAAACGCAGCAATCACGTGCCCTTCTATTTTTTTTCATTTGCCGGCTATCATCGCCCTTCATTTGTCGCAAATTAACACTCCGAGATTCCTGTCACACTCGTCGATAAGCCTCCTTCTATTCATGAACCTATCGCACAGCTGAACTTGAAGGGAACGAGTAAGACACTCCGGCCTCAGGCCGCTGCTTCGAGTCTTCTCCCTCTGTCAACTCAAACGCCGCTGTCGAAATCGAGGGGAGTCAGTTTCAAAACCCAGATCAGCATGAAAACCCGGAGGCTCGCATCGCCGCCACCCTTCGCGACGAAGCCGTTTGTCGTCCGATCCGTCGCATCCGTCGCCGCCGTTCTCGTTGCCTTCTCGCTGGTATCGTATGCGACGGCTGCCGGATCATCTGGCAAGAAATGCGACGTGACTGTCGGATCGTGAGTTACCGTTACCGTAACCTTTTTCCCGAACGCTGAATTACCGTAACCTCTTAATCTCCCCCTAGTATTTGCTCATCCTCGCTGAAACGTCTTTCTTGAGCTGTCGTGGATCATCGCTTTGAATTCAACGGCTTCTTTAGCCTTCCGTGATTGATTTTATTTCCCATATTGTACCCCTCTTCCGCTTTCCTCCTTGTTCTCCCCCTTACAACAGATGGGTTCCTTCGTCGAAGTATCCACAGTATCAGAACGACTGTCCGTACATCACGGATAACTTCAACTGCATCAAGAACGGACGGCCGGATGGGGACTTCCAGCATCTTGTCTGGAAACCCAACGGCTGTGATCTGACCTTGTAAGGCTCAACCCAAGACCCCTCTGCTTTCAAATCTTCTCCCAATGCTGCTTCATAGGTCCTCTTCTTCCGTCACCCACAACCCTTCCTCTCTCACGCACCCCTCCCTCACACCTATCACTCACACTTCTTCCTCTCACCTCTCCCTTTTACCTCTCCCTTTCATTCCCCGTCCCTCGTTCTTCCCCCTCCCTCTCTTCTCTTGTTCTTATTTTGTTCCTCTTCCCTTCTGGCGCCTCGTTCTCTCCTACCCCTTCTCGTGCTTACCCGTGCAGATTCGATCCCAAGTCATTTGCGGCTCGGTTCGTGGGCCAAGCGGTAGCTATTGCGGGTGACAGCACCGGACAGTACCTTTACCAATCCCTGCGGTGCCGGATCAGCCAACACTACACTACAGAGGTAAGTGTTGAACGTAGAGGATCAAACTCCAAACAGCAACAAACATGGAACCTTTGATTTGCAATCCGCACCCATTAAAAAGTGTACACTGCACAATAATACCCGAGTGGTAACCTCACCTGTAATCCTATTAACCGTCGTGTAATTAATTGCAGGACTGGGATCCGAAACTGGTTGGGTGGACGGGCCAGGGCTTTAAGGTGAAGCTGCTGGGCACACGAGTCCTTCTGGTGGACACTCCGTTCCTCATGGAGGCCTGGCCGGATGTGGAGGTGAGTGAATCAGCACGCACATGGGTCATTCTGGCATGGGTGCTATGGTGTTCGGAGCGGTATGGGCACGCGAGTCCTTCTGGTGGACGCTCCATTCCTCATGGAGGCATGGCCGGATGTGGAGGTGAGTGAGAAGGGTATTTTGGAGTGCATGGCACAGCTGCTCTGCTAAGGTGCACGAATCAGCCGGGCACATGGTGTGTAGGTCATTCTGGCATGCCAGTCATTCTGGTGGATGCTCCGTTCCTCATGGAGGCATGGCCGGATGTGGAGGAGAGTGAATCAGCAAAGCGCACGTATAATTCTGGCATGGGTGCTATGGTGCATGAAGAAGCATGGGCATGTGGGTCATTCTGGTGGATGCTTGGATGCTTCGTTCCTCATGAAGGCATGGCCGGATGTGGAGGTGAGCATTGCTGCTATGGAGCATGAGACATTGTGCCTGGGGCATGGGACATGGTGCATGGTGCATGGTGCATGGTGCATGGTGCATGGGGCATGGGGCATGGTGCATGGTGCATAGTGCCTGGGGCATGGTGCATGGGGCATGGTGCATGGTGCATGGGACATGGTGCTGCAATGCTGCTATTGTGCATGAAGCAGAATGGCACACGGTATGTGCGCCATTCTGGTGGAGGTTCCTTCCTCGTGAATTTATTTACTTGACCCTGATCTTTCCTCCTCTTCCATATGCCCTCTGCTCTCTGCCTCCTTCCCTCTGCTCCTCAGGGCGAGTCCAAGGCCTCTAACCTCTGGCACGTGCAGCTAGGCACCATCAACCACAAGATTCTCGAGCTTTGAAGGTGAAAAGCTACCCAGTGTCTCTCAGATCAAAGCCCTGATTCTCTCCTCCGCTCTCCACTCTCCTCCCATTCCCCAGGGCGAATCCAAGGCCTCTAACCTCTGGCACGTGCAACTTGGCACAATCAACCACAAGATTCTCGAGATGCTCCCGAACATACCCCAGCTTAAAGCCCTGATTCTCGTCGCCAGCAATTACTTTTTGCCCCAGCCAGCCACCACCACCATCAGCGTCAACAACAGTGCGTACAGCAGCTATATCAGCAATCAGAGGATTTATTATTCCCAGGGGAAGCCGATTTCGCCTCAGCCTACACCACAAGACGCGTTATCGACTGCGCTTAAGGCGATATCGGGTTATTTTGATAAGAATTTCCAGCTGGTTCGGCCGTTTTTTCTCACCATGCCGCCGTCTCACAACCCGAATATGTTCCGATACGCGGCTACCACGTGCGGGCTGTTTGCATCCCCTTTACAAGCTGATGCAATGCGCTATGCAGAGGCTCGCAGCGACGCCACCGGCTGGACTGCGGTGCAGCGGCAAGCTTTATCCGGATCAAAGATCAAGCTTCTGGACATATTACAAATGTCAATGTATCGAGCAGACGGGCATATGGCAGCCTACGGCCCACCTCCAGATGCAAGCGAGATGGATTGCGTGAAATGGTGTCTTCCGGGGGTTCCAGACGCGTGGGTTGACGTGTTTTTCCACAAGATTGTTCACCCGTTCGGGGGATTCGGCCCCGATCCGCTGCTTTCGGATAGTATATGGAAGAAGCTTGGTAAGAAGCTGCCGTGGCCGAAAAAGGGATGGCCGGGGAAGGCGTTTGGAGCAAAGGTTGCGAGCAGGAACGGGACTGGGTTGGTGGATGGGAGCAGGAGTGGGAGTAACAGTAATGGCACTGGCAGCAGCAGCAGCTCAGGCACCAATAGTGGTAGTACCAGCAGCAGAAGCAGGAGTGCAAGCAGCGAAGTCCGTAAGTCTCTCAACAGGCTCTTTCTGAAGGAGCATGGAGGCAGTTAGGCGATAAACTACCAGCATGGTACATGTGCTAGTGAGATATCGCCTATTTGCCTCCATCTTGCACAAACGCAAGTGCTGGTAGCAGCAGTGCACCTTGCCGGAAGCAAGACCTAGCAGACCAAGGTCACTTTGCTGGTCGATGCAGCATGGAGGCAGCTTGGCAATCTAGCACAACGACAGCCCATTCACGGGCTGTTAACACAGACAATAATGATGACCTGTACACTCCATGTTTGTCCATGTATACTGTAGGTGGCCTGTAGTGACACTAAGGCTCTTTTGGCCAAGCTGTGTGCCTTGCACAGCCTTACACATGTCCTGATTCTGCGGGTGTGGGTGCGGGGGAGGGAGGAGATGATGCGGATTAAACATTGTTTCTCATGAGTTGAAACAAATAACAGCAAAGAAAGAAGCAGCAGCGACCCGAGGTTCAGGAGCATGCCACTACTCGTTACGATAGCAATGTCAAGTTGAGGGTGTGTGTGGGTGCAAGAAAGAAGAGAGGAATGCAGGAGGGAGGTTGAGAAGGCGGGCATGGGAAGGGGATGCAGAAGGCAAAGGCGAGTTTGCACAGACAGTTTCGGTTCCAAACTCCCACCCCACCCCACCCCACCCCACCCCACCCAACCCAACCCTCTCCCCCCATCCCTCCACTCCCCATCCCCCTGTCCCTCCCTGGCAGCCATCGGGGGTGTGACCTGCAGGGCAGTGCGGTTGGCGTTGGTGCGGATGAGTGCGGTTGGCGTTGGGGTGCAGCGGGGTACTCGCGGGCCTTGTCACGCGTGAGCGGGGCCGTGAGCACCTCGTGAGCAGCACCTCGTGAGCAGCACCTCGTGAGCAGCACCTCGTGAGCAGCACCTCGTGAGCAGCACCTCGTGAGCAGCACCTCGTGAGCAGCACCTCGTGAGCAGCACCTCGTGAGCAGCACCTCGTGAGCAGCACCTCGTGAGCAGCACCTCGTGAGCAGCACCTCGTGAGCAGCACCTCGTGAGCAGCACCTCGTGAGCAGCACCTCGTGAGCAGCACCTCGTGAGCAGCACCTCGTGAGCAGCACCTCGTGAGCAGCACCTCGTGAGCAGCACCTCGTGAGCAGCACCTCGTGAGCAGCACCTCGTGAGCAGCACCTCGTGAGCAGCACCTCGTGAGCAGCACCTCGTGATGCCGACCGCACCGCCACGAGCGACGAGCTCCGCTCCGCCTTGCGCCGCTCCGACGGCTTTGAGAACAGCTGCACGCACGGGGGGAAGCGGGGTGAGGAGCGGGGGACGGGGGGAAGCGGGGTGAGGAGCGGGGGAGGGAGGGGAGGGCGGGGAGCAGGGGTTTTTTTATCAGTGTAATTTACTCTGTTTCTCTGAAAATCAGAGTGGTTTTTAGGGGGTCACTCTGTACCTGCTGGGTAATTTTTTCAAGAGTTACTTGTTCTCTGACCTGTCAGGGTTTTTGTGTAAGTTCACTCTGGAGCGCCCGTGTTTCTTTCCCGGATAGTGAGATTACTCTGTACGGGGGAAACATGTACCCCCGAACCCCCACGTTCCCCCTTATCCCCGTGTTGCCGGTTTGGACCGAAGCACAGGGGATATCACTCTTGTTTCGCTCGTGTGTTGGCACTATCTGAGGTTAATGATAGTAGAATGCGTGCACATCAGGGTTAGCGTTAAAAATTACTCTGAGGTGCCAGGGTTTTTATTCTGACAGTCTGTGTTACACTGACAGCTAAGAGAAAGGCTCGCCAAACACTCTGGATTTGAGGGTTAGGTAAAAAACGCCTCTGGACCCAGTGTACTTCAAAACGAACCATGCGCTCCCAGCCGTTGCTTCTCCACGTATTTAATACCGGTATCTCAAGACCAGCATCCTCCATTCGCTTAGATAATAAACAGTACGCAACCAAGTCCACTGCATGGTTTCCACCCATTCAAGTCAAACACGCTTGCACAACCCGGCTACACCCCACCCTGCCTCACAAACCCCTACTCCTTCCAACCCTCTCCTGTAAAGATCTTTTGAAATTATCACACATCACTCCAACGCATTCCAACTGTACGAGTCAAACGCGCTCGCACTACCCAGCTGCAACCCCCCCTGCCTTTCCGACCTCTACTCTTTCCAGCCATTCCTCCTTCCGTATAGTGTTTCCTTTTTGCTGCTCACAAATCACTCAAACGCGTTCCACCCGTACGAGTCAAACGCGCTCGCACTACCCAGCTGCACGCCCCCCTGCCTTTCCGACCTCTACCCTTTCCAGCCGTTCCTCCTTCTGTATTTGTTTCCTTTAACCTGCTCTCACAGATCACTCAAACGCGTTCCACCCGTACGAGTCAAATGCGCTCGCACTACCCAGCTGCACCCCTCCCTGCCTCGCAGCCCCTGGCGTTTCCGTCTCTTCCGTAGCCTTGTCATAATTGTACGCGTCGAAATGCGACGCTGTAACATGCTGGTTACCACCTGCACCGCCCGCACTGCTGCGGAGACTGGCGAACGGGTCCCCTCCACTGTCCTCCTCCTCACTGCTATGCACCTCCTCTTCTTCCTCTCCCCTTCCTCCACCTCCTCCTCCCACCGCCCCCGCACTTGCACCGTAGGGGTTGGAGTCGAAATGATCGTCAAATCCACTGGCAAAGGATTGGAACTGGCCTGGATGAAACTCGCCAGACTGGGAAGGGGAGGGGAGGGAGGGTTAGGGGAGTAAAAAGAAGAGTGGTTGAGTGAGGGGATTACAAAGTTGGAGTCGAAATGATCGTCAAAGCCACTGGCGAATGATTGGAATTGGCCAGGATGAAACTCTCCAGACTGGAAGAGGGGGAGCGGGGGAGAGGGTGGTGGGGGAGTTTGATTCAAAATGACTGTTGAAGCCACTGGCGAATGATTGGAACTGGCCAGGATGAAACTCGCCAGACTGGAGTGTGAGAGGAGGAGGAAGGGGTGGTAAAAAGGGAGTGAGGGAACCGAGAGTATGAGTCAAAATGATCGTCGAAGCCACTGGCAAAATAATGGAACTGGCCGGAGGGGAGGGGGAGGGGGAGAGGGGGCGCCATTTTCAACTCACCCGAGCGTGTGGGCCGGACGGGGAGTCCACAGAAGAGCGGAAGGAGGAAGAGGTGTCAAGCGCAGCACCGCCAGTACCATAGTGCTGATCAAATGCCCCCACTCCACCATAATGCTGGTCGAACGCACTCGCATCAAACCCGCCCTTGAAACTCGCAGCGCCAGTGGCAGAATCGAACACGCTCCCATCAAAACCACCCTTGAAGCACGCAGCACCTGTGGCCGAATCAAACATGCTCCCCCCGTACCCCTTGAAACTCGAATCCCTGCTGAAACTCGGGTCCCGGCCGAAGCTCGAATCACGGTCAAAGTGAGAAGCGTCAAATGGTGTGGCATCAACCGGCTTGGCGTGAAATGGGGACGAATCAAACGTATCTGCAGCGCCCGTCTGCTGCTGCTGTTGCGAGTGGAAGGGACCATCCTCCTCCTGACCCACAGCGGCGTGCGTAAGGGGCGAGTGAGCCTCGTCCATTTCACTTCTCCGTCGACCTTCAGTGCTAAACGAGGTGGGGAAGGGAGATGCGGATTCCGAAGCTGCTGCTGCTGCACCTGAACTGAACGGCTCCTCTGGCTCTGCAGAGAAATCAAACGCGAATGACCCGGATTTGGTCTCTGTTACAGCAGCACCGTCACTGTCCGCACTGGCAGATGGGCCAAAGCAGGTAGTAGGAGCAGCAGTGGCAGCAGCAGCAGCAGCAGCGGCAGCAGCTGCAGCTGCTGTTGCAGGGATACCAGCAGCAGGAGCAGCAGTGTCAGTCGAATCTGCTGCTTCTTCCTCCTCTTCCCTTCCTCTCCCACGAGACCCGTAGCCCTTTCTTCCACTGTCACTCTCCCCATCACTCTCGGCCATATCTGCAAGTCCATGGGCTGTGTAGGGCCGTGATACCTCCTCTCCCTCTCCATATGCCTCTTTACCCCCTCCTGCTCCTGCCCCTGCTCCTGCTCCTGCTCCTGCTCCTGCTCCTGCTCCTTCTCCGTACCTCCCTCCCAGACCGGCCATCGTCATCACCGAACCGAAACCCAAACCTCCTGCGCTGCTCGCTCCGCTCGCCGTGCTGTCCTGCTGCGGGGAATCTACCGAGCCTAGATCCAAGGTTCGGCGTACGGACGTGGCTGAGGGTGGTGATTTCCCTGCTGACAAGGCAGCAGCTGCGCTACCACCACCAGCAGCAGGGGTAGAATCAGGCGTTCCAGAAGCAGCAGCGTTTGCAGCAGCAGCAGCATTAGCAGAAGCCAGGCTCTTAGCAACGGAAGCAGGGTTGAAAGGAGAAGCAGAAGTAGATGCTCTGCTGCTGGTAGATGCTGCAGCAGAAACAGGAGAGACAGGAGAAACTCCAGAGACTGGGGAGAGAGAGAAGGAGGAGGCTAGGTCAGCCAGACTCGGCATTGCTGCTCCTCCTGACCCTCTTCCTCCCGCTCCTCCTGCTGCTGCTGCTCCTGTTTTACCCGCGCTGCCTCGCGACCAGCCTTGGAAGGAACAACCGAGAATCTCCTTGGAATCACCAGGTGAAGCCGATGCTGCACTCTCCTCTTGCACTGCTGACGTCGAAGTCTCCCCATCAACCTCCTGGTCCTCTCTCTCTCCCTCCTTCCCTCCCACTCTTGCTTCTGCTGGCTTACCCTGCTTTCTCTCCGCTCCTGCCTCTCCTGCCCCTCCTGCAACCACCCCCTCCATCATTCCGTCCTTGCTCCCCCGTCCCCCTCCCTCTCCCTCTCCCTCTCCCTCTCCTCCTGCTGTTATCTGCAGCACAGGCGTCGAATCCATCTCAATTTCCTCCACCTCCTCCTCCTCTTCCTCCTCATCCTCCTCCCCTTCCCCGTGCCTCTGCACACCAATCATTGCCTCGTTTGAATCCGCATCCTCATCCTCCTCGGGAGAGAAAAAGTCAGATGGGCCAGAAGGAGCGGAAGCCATGCTCTTTTCCTTCTTCTTCCTCTTCTTCTCCTCCTCCTTCTCCTCCTTCTCCTGCTTCTCCTTCTCCTTCTCCTCCTCCTCCTTGGCACCTCCTGGCCCTTCCCCTCCTGTATCCGCAGCACCATCCACCCCTCCTGCTGCCATCCCCTCTCCCCCTTTCCCATCCTCCACCTCTCCCTCACCCGCACCCTCCTCCCCTTCTCCCTTGCCATTTTCAGCCGCTGCTGACCCCCCAGCTCCACCCTTCTCCTCCTGCTCCTTGGATTTCGGCCTGGGGAAGGGGTCCTCGTTTTCAGCCAATGGGGTGTCTCCGATATCCCGCACCACCACCAGCCCTTCAAACTGCACGTCGTCCCACTCGTCGTCCCAGTCTGTTGCTTTCTCCTGAAGATTCGCCTGCCAGCCTGGACAAACGAAGAGAGACGAAGCCACTTGGCGAAACATCAGCCAACAGTAACCCAAACCGGCTGCTGCATATTTTTGACAAAAAATAATCTCTCCGCAAACGCGAAACTGACGAGGACACTCCTGAACATAGCGTGATGGCATGCTCGCATGTTGGCATGTTTAAGTGCTCACCAAAGGGTGTCTTGGAGGCAACGGAGGGGCACACTTCTAATCCAATGGCAGTGGCATAATTTGTAGTGCGATTAAATGGTGGCATGCTGGTGTGCTTACCAAAGGGAGTCTCCGATCCCACGAGGGGTCGCACTTTCAGCCCAATGGCAGTAGCATGGGCGAACACTGCCTTGCGCATCTCCTCCACCTCTAGAGCTAGGCGGTCCGCCTTGTCCTGTTGTTTGAAAAGAGTGATTGAAGGGCAGCAAGGGATGGCATGAGGGGCAGAGTGAGAGGCCTGTGCAAACACTGCCTCCACCTCCAGAGCCAGGTGGTCTGCCTTGTCCTGTTGATGGGAAGAAAGCCGACCGCATGAGGGACAGCAAGAGGGAGAGCGTGGCACACCACACCACACCACACTGCATCACACCGCACCTGCAACAGCTGGTTGGGATCGCCTCCTCGGTCCAGCCTTGATGTTGCGTTCATGATTACGTGAGCCTTCTCCTGTAGGACGCGATAGCATGGCACCTTGCACCACACCACACCGCACCTCACTGCACCACACCATACTACAATCGCACCTGCAGCAGCTGGTTTGGGTCGCCTCCTCGGTCCAGCCTTGACGTTGCGTTCATGATTACATGAGCCTTCTCCTGAGAAAGAGGTGGGTGGAGAGGGGTGGAAAAGGGTGGACAAGGTGGAGAAGGGTGTGCGGTAGGGTGGAGATGGGTGCAGGATAGGGTGGAGAGGAGGCAGAAGGAAAGAAGATGCAGAGGGAGGAGAGGGACTGGCGTGGCGGTTTATGATCATCTGAGCCTTCTTCTGTGAGAGGGATGGGTGGAAAGGCAGCAGATGGGTCGAAATGCAGCAGATGCAGAGCGATGTAAGCAATGTGAGGGGTGCAGAGGTATGCAGGGGAATGCAGAGGGATGCAGAGTACCTGCATCTGCTGCAGAGCTCGCTCCTCTGCTGCAAGCTTTCCAGCAGACAGCTGAGCCGCCTTGTACTTTTCGTCATACTTCCGGGCCAATTCCTCCATCTGGCACCAGGGGAATGGCGAACGAGAGAGGAGAGGATGGAGGAGATTCAGTCAGTGCACCTAGCTTCCCAGCTGATAGCTGAGCCGCCTTGTACTTGTCGTCATACTTGCGGGCCAATTCCTCCATCTGGCACTAAGGGGACGGGGAGAGGGGAGAGGTGAGGAGAAAGGGGACCAGGCATTTGATTCTCACGTAGCATCCCAGCAGGCACCTCAAAGTGGAACCAGGTTTCTGAGGCGCCTGAAAAATCGCGTCAAAATCGCGTCAAAATCGCCTCAGAATCGCCCCGCTAAAAAATCCAGCAAGAACGTGGACCCAGATTTCCAGCAGAGATTTGAACCGCCTTTCACAATAGAAACCTGTCAACGTGCTCCCTGGGCTAAGATATTTCAAAAACAGTAGAAGACGAACTGAAGTCAAGACTTAAGCTGTGAGAACTACGTGCGTAAGGATTCGAAACTCCCAAAATAGACCTGCTTTTGTGATCACCAGGACTCTGCGGCCACGTCAGCAGCATGCCCACCCCTATTTCCTCCACGTCAGCATGCTCACCTCCTTTTTCTCCACGTCAGCCTGTTCAGAGACGTCAGCAAGGCGGAGGTCACAGCGACTCTTGAACATGACCTGGAATGAGAGGGTGGATGGGATGGGATGGGATGGGATGGGATGGGATGGGATGGGATGGGATGGAACGGGACACACACACACAGAGAGGAGGAGAAGGTCAATCTGAGAGACGTCAGCAAGGCGGAGGTCACAGCGACTCTTGAACATGACCTGCAGTGGGGGGGTGGATGGGATGGGAGACACACAGCTACAGAGCATACGCTCTTGAGTTGACTCAGAAAGGTCACAACGACTCTTGAACATGATCTGGAATAAATTGGGAGGTGGATTGGATAGGATGGGACATGCATAGAAGACGAGAGATAAAGATTGACGGACAGTGTCATCAGCACTGACAGACGCACTTACAACCAGTAAAAACAACATAAATCAATTGCGACTCACAATTTCCTGCATTTTGTCGCGGAAAAACGCAGCTTTTTTCTTCTGATCCATGGCGGCGTCCTGAGCACACAGAACAGACAACAGGGGAGGCGTGGTGGGTGGGGGGAGAGCATTAGAGAGGGGATTCATTGCACTGTATGCATGTGCGCACATGCACACACGCACAAATGTGTGTGCAAGTGCATGCACAAGAACGCAGCTGCTTTTCTCTGATCCATGGTGCCCTGAGCACACAGTACGACAACCGAAAAGGAAGGGGGAGGGGGGGTTGGTGGTTGGGAACATTAGAGAGCAGATTCGTTGCACTATGTGCAAGTGCGTGCATGCACAAAAACGCAGCTTTTTTCCTCTGATCCATGGCCTCCTGAGCACACGAACAACAGGAATGGGAGGGATGATGGTGGTAACAGTAGGGAGAAAAGTCGCTTCATGGTGTGAGCAAGCACAACACAACTGCACGTCCCGATACATGTGTGTGTCATGTCCCCCAAATGCAGGCCCAAACACATGTCCTGAGGCCGTTTAAGAGGCGCCTAAAAAAACGTCCCCCAAATGCACGTCCAAACACATGTTCTAACACAACCCAGAGAGTCGTATCAAGAGAGCGTTACCTTTCTGGGTCCGCCTTTTGTTGGAGAGACCAGGACACCTGCCACGTCAACAACACAAAAATGTAGAATTGAGGAAGTTAGAGGTTAGTTTCTAAGGCGACTCACTGGTCACCTCTTTAGTTAACGAGGTCTGGACGTTTGCATTACTGACAACACTAGAACATATTGTTCAGAAAAATCACAACAATATCACAGGCAATAACATCACAAATTCTTTTGCTCGTTGTGCCATAATCACCTGGATCACGCTGCCACGTCGGCACGTTCACACCCTGCGAGTGCTGAGTGTGTGTGTGGGGGTGTATGTGCGTGTGTGTATGTGTGATTATCCTGGAGGGGAGGCCTGGAGGGAGGTCCGGAGGGGGGGAGAGGGGCCACCTGGATCGCGCTGCCACGTAGGCACGTTCACCCCCTGCGAGTGCTGAGTCAGCGCCGCCTGCGCCTCGGCCAATCGTTTCGCAGCGATGGCCGTGCGCTGGTCCTGCACCGGCTCGTCCACGTGGAAGCCACGTGGCAGCGTGGGTGGCAGCTTTCGTCCCGACTTGTAGCGCTCGATGAGGTACGAGGCGGTGCAGAACTCGCGGAGAGTCAGGTTGCCGTCCTTGTCCTCATCTGACAGGTCCCACACCTGCTTCAGCACGTCTGAGGGGAGTGAAAAGAGATGTACGGTTGGAGTCCAAGGGCATGGGGATGAGAAGGGAACACTTGATGAGGTACGAGGGGGTGCAGAACTCGCGAAGGGTCAAGTTGCCGTCCTTGTCCTCATCTGACAGGTTCCACACCTGCTTCAGCACGTCTGTGTGGTGACAGAAAGAAAGGTAGGGTTGGGCGTGAGAAGCAAGCACATTCTAGTGTGGGGGAGAGTGTGCAGAGTCAAGTTGCCGTCCTTGTCCTCATCTGAGAGGTCCCACACTTGCTTCAGCACATCTGTGTGGGGACGAACACCATGAGAAGCCATGAGCACCTTCCTCGCCTCCTTGCCGGTGATCTTGCCGTCCCTGTCCCCATCCACGCCCACAAACACCCCTCCATCTCACTCACCTTCCCAAGGAGCCTTCCTAACAAGGGAAAAGAGAGGGAAGGAGGGAGGGAGGGCGCTCACCGATGGGCACTTGTGAAGCCATGAGAACCTTCCTCGCCTCCTTGCCGGTGATCTTGCCGTCCCTGTCCCCATCCACGCCCACAAACACCTGCGCATACCGCTGTGCCTCCGCCACCCCCATTCTCGGCCACACACCCTCTATAACCCACCTTCTGAAAGGGCGGTTTCAACCAGGGTGGGGTGAGGGAGGGAGGAAGGGACGGAGGAAGGGAGGGAGGAAGGGACGGAGGAAGGGAGGGAGGAGGGGACGGAGGAAGGGAGGGAGGACGGCGGGGAGGGAGGGCACTCACCAATGGGCACCTGAGACGCCATGAGAACCTTCCTCGCCTCCTTGCCAGTGATCTTGCCGTCCCTGTCCCCATCCACGCCCACAAACACCTGCGCATACCGCTGTGCCTCCGCCACCCCCATTCTCGGCCATGGCTGCGGGTCCCCCGGGACCATCAGAAACCCCTCGCCTCCCTGTCCTTGCGCCGCCCCTGCTGCCCCCACCCCTTGCCCTGCTACCCCTGCTGCTGCCCCTGCTGCTCCTTCTGCTGCTTGCCCCCCACCTGCTGCAACCACAGCAGAAGATGCAACAGCAGCAGCAGTAGCAGCTGCAGGAACTAGTGCCACGTCTTTCTGACCAAACGCATCCAGAGCTGCTGCTGCTGCTGCGTCCGCGGATTTGGGTAGAGTGGAAGTGGGCGGGGCGGGGCGGGAAGCGGCTTGGTGGGGAGGAGGGGGTTGAGAGGCGGAGAAAGCAGACGGGCCAAAAGCAGCTGCAGTGGCAGCAGCAGGTGCAGACACTGCAGTTGCCGCCATTGCTGCTGTTCCCATCACCCCTCCCATTCCTCCCATCGCTGCTGCTGCTGCTGCTGCTGCTGCATCTGCTGCTGCTGCTGCATCTGTTGCTGCTGTTGCATCTGCTGCTGCTGCTGTTGCATTTGCTGCTGTCGCTGCATCATCTGCTGCTATTGCTGCTGCTGCTGCTGCTGCTGCTGCTGCTGCTGCTGCTGCTGCTGCTGCTGCTGCTGCTGCTGTTGCTGCTGGAATTGCTGCTGTGCAGCAGGCGTCTGGGCGGAAGAAGCACCCTTGGCACCACTCTGGGTCTGGGCAGCACTCTTCTTAACTCCAAGCACTCCGAAATCTGCAAACGGATCCTTCTCTGCTGCAGGCTTGGCAGAAGCAGGCTGCCACGAAGGCGCGGATGCAGGCTGATCTGGCATCGGCCCAGGCTGACCTGACATTTGGCTAGGCTGACCTGGCATGGGGCCAAGCTGACCTGGCATGGGGCCAGGCTGACCTGGCATTTGGCCAGGCTGACCTGGCATTTGGCCAGGCTGACCCGGCATGGGAGCACCAGCAGGCTGACCGCGTCCGTATGAAGGTCCATGAGGCCCGGGCTGCAAGTTGCCTTGTGCACCGCCCTGCATCGACCCCTGCATGGTACCCTGCATACCCTGCCCATACTGTTGCTGCTGCTGCTGCTGCTGCTGCTGATACTGCTGCGGATACTGCTGCTGTTGCATGCCTGGTCGAGGTCCCATTCCCCCCATCATTCCTCCTGGGCCCGGCCCCATGCTTCCCATGCCCCCCATACCCCCCATGGGGCCCATCCCGGCCATCCCAAGCATTCCCTGTGGCATCGGCGCACCTTGGACTGGCATTCCCCTTCCATACGCCCCCTGCGAGTTGGTAGAGCGGACGCAGAGAGGGAGAGACGAACGGAAGGGAGTACAGTTACAAATCATCATGAATCCAATAAGGCCAATTTCGGCCATCCCAGGCATTCCCTGTGGCATCGGCGCACCTTGCACTGGCATTCCCCTTCCATACGCCCCCTGCATGTTGGCAGAGCGGACGAAGAGAGGGAGAGACGAAGGGAGGGAGAGACGATCTAGCAGGGTCAAAGTGCAGTTCCAACAACAAGACATTCCTTCTGATAACAGCAGAAGTATACCAAATTACTGAACAGCAAGTAACCCATACCTGCACTGGCGTGCTCCTAGTGCCCTAAATGGACCTCTGTTAAGTCGGACTTACCTCTGGTGCTCTTTAATTTACCTGCTGCACTTGCGGCCCTTCCGGTGCTCTAAATGGAGCTCTGTTAAGAGAGACTTACCTCTTCTGTTCTCTCGGACTTACCTGCTGCACTGGTGGTGGTGCTCCCGGTGCTCCAGGTCCGGGAGCACCCGAACCAACCGGACCTGGCGGCCCGCCTGGTCTGGCAGCAGCTCCAGGCCTCGGAGGCACGGTGATCCTAGGTGCGGGGATCTGAGCCACCGCCGGGCCTGAGAAGGTGGCTCGGGCCACGTCCGGGTTGATATCGCGACCGGATTGGGCGACGGTGATGAGGCGAAGCGCGTGAAAGAACTCTGGTCGGTGGAGGAAACCGGCTTGGCGCGAATCCGCATACTGCCAGACCTGTGGTGTGGAGCAAAAGGACGGAACGATTTGGCTAAATTGATTGGAACATTTAACAGTTATGATTCAAAAGCATGGAAGAATTTTAGTGGTGGATTGCACTGCTTGGCACGAATCTGTATACTGCCTGTCCTGTAGGGCGACAAAAAAACGGAGAAGGAATGGAGGAAGCACATACACGCCTTGGCGAGGGTCATCTTGGGGAGGCTGCGTCACTGGAAAAAGGCTACGACTCAAAAGGCTAATAACAGGTGGCGAAAGGTAAGAGCAAATACACGTTGGCGAGCGTCATTTGGGGGAGGTCGCATCCCTGACATAAGCTGACGGCTCAAAACATGTACAACAGCAAAAGGTACGATACATGCCTTGACGACGGCTGAAGAGGCTAACAAGAGGTATGGCAGCCGAAACATTCCTTGGGGATGATCATACGGGGGCGAGAAGGCATAACAGCAGCAGATACGTGCCTTGGCGAGGGTCATTTGGGGGAGGCCGCATCCCTGGAAGAAGGCGACGGTTCAGAAGGCCAATAACAGGTATAACAACAAAGGGTATAACAGCAGCCGATACGTGCCTTGGCGAGGGTCATCTGGGGGAGGCCGCATCCCTGGAAGAAGGCGACGGCTTCGGCACCGCTGATCCGGCCGTCCCTGTCCGCGTCCGCCGCTTGGAAATAGTGCTCGAAGGCGTCCATGCCGCCGGGAGCCGTATACGGCTGCATGATGATGACCGTTGCTTATCACACGACCGCTATTCCCTGGGGGAAGTAAGAGAGAAGACAGATCATGTGCGGAAGGGAAATGAGGCGCCGCTGATCCGGCCGTCCCTGTCCGCGTCCGCCGCTTGGAAGTAACGCTCAAAGGCGTCCATGCTGGGCTGCATGCTGGCCGTTGCTGCTTGGTAACACTATTCCCTGTGGGAAGTGAGACGGAAGAGACAATATATGCGGAAGGAAGGGAAATCAGGTCCCGCTGATCCGATCGTCCCTGTTCGCGTCTGCCGCTTGGAAATCAGGTGCTCGAAGGCGTCCATGCTGGGCTGCATGATAACGTGCTATTTCTCCGCAATGCTATTCCTCTGTACGGCTATTCCTGCATGATGTAAGAAAAATAAACATGAACAGGTCAAGGTTTCTGGCATAGTGAAAGGCCGAAGCTTACAGAGCCAAGCGAGTGGAAACGATCGCGATGCGGTGAGCTGGACAGTAGTTTCGAGAAAAAGAGAAGCAAAGCCGAGAGTATGAGTTGCAGAAACGGCAGCATGCATATGATGAATCGCAGAAACGACAAGAAGAATTTCTCAAGGAGTAGTAGGGCATTCAGATGCTAACAAGTAGTCGAATGGCCACGTGAAAGTAGTGTTTTGAGACGTCTCAAAACAAGTAAGTTGCCACGTCGAATAGTAACGAGGACATGAAATTCGAAAAAAATCACAGGGTATTCAGTAATCGTATGGCCTAATCGCTTTTCAACGGAAAACACGTTGCACGTTGATCGAGTTCAAAGAACATTTGGCACGCGAGGAGCTTCCATGAACATAGATTCTGAAAAAACGGACGTGCCTGCAGCAATACCTCGCGACGCGGGGTCTGCAACTCTGTCGCCGTCCTGGATGATGTAAGTGGATTACCGATTGGAGCTAAGCATAGATAAGAGAAATTTCGGGATTCTCCTTCCCTCGGCTCGGCAAGCCCAAGGATGACTTTTCTGCTGACCACATCCCAAGAGGACAGCAGGCCAGAGCTTTGAGAAATCCAGATCGAAGGGGAAATGACAATAGTGGTTACGGTAGAAAATACTATTCTATGGATGGCGGATGCACAAGCTTGCAGTCGTGTCGCTCAACGTCTTTTAGCGAGGAAGCGCATTTTGGTTGTGGCTGGACGGGGTAAGCAAATTCGCGTACGGTTCTGCCCGTTTCCAAGCGTTACACTGCGACAGTGGGAGCTGAAACGGCTATTAACGAATCTGCCCGTAAAGGGCTGCTTTTACCGAAATTCCGAGAATCTGGCCAATCCCTGATCAAACTACCACCACCAGAGGGAGTCACTTTCGTTCGCTTCAAAGAAAGCGATGCAAAGCGATAACTAAGAAGAAATCAGGTTTGTCGATGTGTTAGTGTACGGTGCTAGGTTCTGCGGGATGACGCAGCATCTGTCCATACCACTTCCGACACATTCCGCCAGTGGTAATCCGCTGGGCAAAGAGGAATCCCTGACAGGCTGACAGGAGCCAACTTGAAGGCCGAACCAAGATCAAGGTACACTTCTAGGTCAGCAAGCAGAGCACTTTCTTTTACCAGGACCTCCGACATTGACGCTACCTTACCAGATTCAGCATTTTAGAACAACTTCAGTGGAGTGGATGTGGTTGTAGAATACCCTAGGAACAAATCAGCGCATTGCAACCATGTGGTCAGTAACAGGCCTTCGCAGTAGCACAAGCACCACTCCCAGCCTTAGCGATGATCCCGAGGCTCCAACACCCACAACAGCTCCCGCGGAAAGCAAATCCGGGTGGTTCTCCCGCTCGCGCGGAAGCTCGAGTAGCGCGTCGTCCGGGCAAAATTCCGCGCGCATTCGCCAAAGGCGGTCGGGTCGACCGGTACGAGGGTTCGGCCGTATGGGATCTGAAATGGAGGATGAAGACGAAGAAGAGGAGAGAGATGAAGAAGAGGACGCGGAGACGTTGGTGGGGATTGTGGGGGAGAATTCGGCGGGTGAGGGTGGTAATGCTGTAGCGAGGACAGATGACGACCCTTCGTCACTGAATTCTGGAACAACAGCAGGAGCAGGAGCAGCAGCAGGAACAGGAGAAGACATAGTAGTAACAAAAGCAGCAGCAGCAGCAGCAGCAGCATCAGTAACAGTAGCAACAGAGTCAACAGCACATGCAAGCACGAAAGAAAAGGGTCCAACGGAATTTGAATCCGCAGCGAGTCTAGAATCCCCCGAGGCGAGCGGGATTGACCGACTGCCAGAAAGCAGCACGAGGAGCAGCGCAAACGCGATTGAAACCCCTGACGACGACGGCCGGAAGGCGATTCTTGAGTTGACCCAAGAAACGACTGAGAGCCCTGACGACGGGAAGAAAGCGAAGACTGGCAGATCTAGTAGCAAGTCGAACCTGGTCGGGGGATTGTTTGGCGTCTTTAGGAGGGATTCAGCGTCTAAGTCCCAAAAGGCCTCAGTCGACGGGAGGTTCTTCAAAAGCAAGAGCACGGGTGGGGCTCTTGGTGGGGGAACCAAGCGAGAGAAGGGAGAAAAGGGGGAGAAGCGTGAGGATGGAGAACAGGGAGAAAAGGGAGACGAGGGAGAGAGGCGAGAGGAGGGAGAGGAGAACGAGGAGAACGAGGAGGAGCAGGAAGAGGACTTAGAAGGCGTGGCTCTAGCAGGGAGGAGGATGAGCTCAGATGCGGAGAGAGTGAAAGGAGAAGCTTCTGGTGTGGTAGAGAGAGAAGAGAAGGGAACAGAGAGCGCTGGGAGCGCGTCAGGCTCGGAACGTGGCTCGGTTTCAGCCTCGGCGTCAGGTTCGGCGTCGGGTTCAGGGCTGGCTTCGGCGGATGGGAGGGACGATTTGGAGGGCGAGTCGCAACCTGCTCAGCGGAAGGTACGAATAGGGTTTCTGTCTCGCAGTCGCAAGCACAGATCGAAGCTCGACTGCAAGCATGCCTTGCGCTACTTTGTTGGACTATATTCTGTCGAATTTTCACATGTAGATTCTGAAATGCAATGTGCGTTTTGCACCACCTAGCTTGCTGTGGCTCACACTCTCGTGATAGTTGAAGTGTTTTGAGACGCCTCAGTACACTCAACTTCTCAGCAATGTTTTTTCCACTGTGTTGTTTTCAACGGCAGAGGGACACACTGTGGGGGTTCATCCGAAGGTCCAGCAGTGTAGCAGGTGAGGCGACATAGGAAAAGGTGTGAACTTTGAGTCAAAAGGGCTTATCAGAAAGTGAACTGCGGGGAGAGGTGACTTTTGAGTCGACTTGAAAGGGTTCATCAGAAGGACATCCTGCAGCGTTGCAGTTAAGGGGTCACACAGGAAAGGTGACCTTTGAGTGAAAAGGGCTCTTCAAAAGGTGAGGTGCATAGTGGAGGAGAGGTGACTTTTGAGGTGAAAGGCCCCTTATGTCTTTTCAACTCTTTCTCCCTCCTTACTCACTCTTTCCCCCTTCGTTCCCCTTCTCTCCCTCCTTTCCCCCCACAGCGCCCAAGGCAGAGGCGCACCAGCCAATCATCTCCTCCACCAGCCCCCCCCACGATCCCTCTGACACCCTTGACTCCGTCTCACCATCCCTTCCTGGGGAAGAATGCCGTGCTGAGGATTTTCCTGGCAGTTCTAGTGCTAGTGCTACACTTGGGCAGGATAGGCGTGAGGGAAAGGAGGAGACGGGGGAGAATGATGGGCGGCAGGAGGGGAAGGAGGGAGGAAGAGAACAAGAGAGAGAGAGGGATGGGTTGGGCGTAGGAAAAGGGCCTTATCAGGGGGAGAATAAAGGAGAGATTAAAGGGGAGGATAAAAGAAAGGATGAGGGCAAGGATGAGGGGGAAAGTGATGGGAACGGTCATGATGAGAAGGAGGGAGAGAGTGCAGGAGGGAAAGCCAAGGGGAGTGGAGGGGGGAATGGAGGAGGGGCAAAAGGAGGGAAAGGAACAGGGTTGCTGGGAGGGGGGAGTGTGATTCTGGGCGCAGTTCCTAGGAAGATATTCTCCTTCATGCCTCGGTCCTCCTATGCTAAGCTCAAGGTGAGTGGCGAAGAGGGGTGGAGCTCGGTTGACAGTGGTGAGAGAGGGCAAGAGGAGGGAAAGGACTAGGATTGCTGGGAGGGGGGAGTGTGATTCTGGGCGCAGTTCCTAGGAAGATCTTCTCCTTCATGCCACGGTCCTCTTATGCTAAGCTCAAGGTGAGTGGCGAAGAGGGGTGGAGCTCGGTTGACAGTGGTGAGAGAGGGCAAGAGGAGGGAAAGGACTAGGATTGCTGGGAGGGGGGAGTGTGATTCTGATTCTGGGCGCAGTTCCTAGGAAGATCTTCTCCTTCATGCCACGGTCCTCTTATGCTAAGCTCAAGGTGAGTGGTGTAGAGGGGTGGAGTTCGGTTGACAGTGGTCAGAAAAGGACAAGAGGAGGGAAAGGAGTAGGATTGCTGGGAGGTGGGAGTGTGATTCTGAATGTGGGCGCAGTTCCTCAGAAGATTTTCTCCTTCATGCCTCGATCTTCCTATACTAAGCTCAAGGTGAGTGGTGTAGAGGGGTGGAGCTCGGTTGACAGTGGTCTGGAGAGGGTGTAGTGAGGTCTCAGGGCTTACCAGGGGGTAAGCACTATTAATTTCGTGTCTCTTCCTCTTCTAGTGAGAACCCCTTTCCTTATTCTCTCCCCTCTCTCCGTCACCAGTTGTGAGCACATGCAGGCCGAAATCCCCTCAGCGATGCCTAGAGTTGTTTTTCACCAATTCAAATCTCTTCCCATCCTACCCCTGTCCCCACTTCTCTTCTTCCCTCTCTCCTCCCCCTCACCAGTTGGGAGCACACGCAGGTCTACCACCCATCAACACTGCCCCAGAAGCACCCACTGATGACCCCACACCCATTGCCACACCCATCCCCACGCCCATTCCCATATCTGAATCCAATGCCGCTTCTGCAAGCACTGCAGACAGCAGCAGCACCGCAGCAGGGCGATTGAACCTAGACCTCCCCACCCCTCGCTTCCCCTTGTACTCTCCTGCGGCTCTCCAGTCCCCTGCTGGTGACCTAGCCTCCTTTGCCCCTTTCCGCACCACCACAGCCACCGTTGGGGTGGCAGGTAGGGGGGATTTTTTAGCTGCCAGGAAAATCCCGCCACCAGTGCAGCATTCAGCAGCATCTGGCGGCCCTCTCGCTCCTGCTGGCGACTTGGCCGCGTTTTCTGACTTTGGGAGCACTGCTTCCGACCCTTCAAGCCTGAACGCTTCAACAAACCCTTTCTTGAGTGCAATGGGAGATCCCACAACAGCAGCAAGGGTTGGAGGTCGAGGAGGAGGTGGTGTGGAATCCGGCAGGAGCAGCAGCAGCAGCAGCAGCTGGAACAGCAGCAGGAGTGGCAGGAGTGTCGGGGTCAGCAGGGGTATCAGAGAGTGAGGACTGGGATGCCATGCTGCTTGCTTCCTTCGGTCGCTGTCACACCATCGACGGGTCATTCCGAGAAGCGATGCGTGCTGCTAATGCGCAAGACGAGGCTGCATGGGACGATCAGGCAGAAACGCAGAAAGCACAAGGGAACCTAGCAGAAGGCTTGCTGGTACAGAACCACCCGGCACAAAATCAGCTGACACATAATCAGCTGACACAAGGGTCATATGGGGCGTATGAGTCGCTTCAGAAGTCAGGGGAGGTTCCAGATGGCAGGGGCTCAGCTTCAGGTGGTTTTTCAGGTGGGCAAGTGACCTGGGCGCATGAAAACAGCCTGGCAGCAGCAGCAGCAGCAGCAGCAGCAGCAGAGGCAGCAGCGGTAGCAGCAGCGGAAGCGGCAACAGCAGCGGCAAAAGCTGCTGCCAAAGCAGCAGAAACAGCAGCAGCTAAAGCAGCGGCACTTGCAGCTGCCAAAGCAGCCGCAACAGCAGCATCACGACCGCCACCACCACCAGCAGCAGCAGCAGCAGCAGCACAGCCACCAGCGTCAACAGCGGCAATCAGTGCAGCATCTATGCCATCAGCCAGCAGCAACTGGGCTCGTTTTGATGCATTTGAGCCTACCACGCTACCTGCCACTGCTACCGTTGCTGCCTACGCTCCTCCTGCCATTCCCAAGCCAATAGCCGGACCAAGTTTTACTGCTCCTCATAGTTCTCCCAATCCCTTCTTAAGTCCAGGTTTGAAAGAACAGCCCGTGCCCCCGGCTACTGGTATGAGCCCCTTTGCACCTTTTGGAGATTCTTTGCCTTTACACCAGCAACAGTCACAAGCACAGCAACAGACCAAACCCTTGCCTTCACACCAGCAACAGTCACAAGCACAGCAACATACCAATCCGTTCCTATCCCCAGGTGCAAGCAGCATCGGCTCGGTGTATAAAGTGGGAGAAAGTGAACCCCTGTTTGCCAATACCGGGTCTGCTTATAAAGAATCGGCAGCTGAGGCGCACCAGGAGGGGCAATGGCTGGGGAAGGAAGGCCTTTGGCAGAGCATGGAGCGAGGATCTGGTTCCAAGGGAAATGGGCAAAAACAAGCTGTTTCCATGACTCAGAAGCAGCCTGCTTCCATGGCCCAGAAGATTCTCGCCAGTAACCCATTCCTTGTGATTCCTGGCGTGGGCAGTAGTGGTAATGGTGCTGGTTATAACGAGGATAGCAGGGGTTTGCTTGGTGGGGAGGATACTCCTAAGGGACTGCAGGAAGTATCGCCTGGGAACTTGCATACGAATCCAAGCAATCACCAGCAGCAGCAGCAGCAGCAGTGGCAACAGCAGTACTCGCACCAGCAGCAGCAGCACCTGCAGCAGCAGCAGTACCAGCAGAAACAGCAGCAGCAACAGGGGAACTACACTGCTAGTCTGACACATTCGAATGCTAAGCAGCAGGAAGAAACCCGGCGGCCAGTGGATGTGAATCTGGGACTCAGTGTGATAGGTTCAGATGTGACAGAACCAGGAGGAGTTTCTACTGAAGGGAAGGGAGGACACGCTACAGCTGGACCGATCTACACTGAGCCTGAGTCACCAGGGTGGCCTAGTACGGTGTCTCAAGATGATCCCTTGTAAGTCCACGGCAACTCCCAAGTCAGATTCATATGTTCCACCTTGTCATGCAAAGCTGCACTGTCTGGTTGGGTAGTTTGCCTCTGGTCTGGAGCATTGTACTGGTAACACGCCCCTCGCACATTTTGCTCATGCGTCGCTGCTACCGTATGTGCGTGTGTGTTTTCAGGGAGTCACCTGCTGCGCTTCTCGGGGGCCGGTCAGATTTGAAGTCCAAGGTTTCAAGCAGTATACCGACGGTAATGATGCCGTCAGCATGGCTTGGTCGAGGAGGACATACACGACTGGGGAAATAAGATACGCTTGTGATTTTGTAGTAATACTGATGCTAAGGAGAGGTATGTGACAGATAGGCGAGCTTCAACAGTAGCTAGCGCGTAGGAAACAACATTAGACGGCACGCTGGTTTGTAAAAATGTGATTATGGCAGTCTTCCGTGCAAGCTCCATAAAGAGGTGCAATGCTAAAGTGTATCGTCGTTCGGCATAGCGGCAACCGCATCTTCCTGTGACGGATCCGTGACATACGGCGTGATGAACGCTGGTACTTGTGTTGTGTTGTGGTCGGTTCCCACCCAACCTTCAGTTCCGCCACCCACACTATGACACGTCATGACCGAGGCTTTCCCAAGCACGTATCAGACAACGCGACGCGACTCTGAACCTTCGAAAACCCTCGCGTCGCAATTTCAGTATCTGTTGCACAACCTTCACCAAACCAAACCCATCCCCCTCTTCTCCCCTCCCTCCCCCCCACCTTTCCCAAATTTCTCTCCAAATCAGCGCACAAACAAGCATGGAGATTTGTCAAATCTAGGGAGAGTCGGGACGGGGTGCTTCCCTGGTTCTCTTGTCCTGGTCCAAATCCCTCCGTTTTCCTGAATCCCGTCCCAAAGCACCAGCTCGAAACACCCTCCCGAGTCCAATCAGTCAAGCCGAACTAGCCAGAAAGCACCTTCCCTATACACGCGTTGGATAGTAACCGAGCGACCTTCGTCTTTTAGCTTCTGCTGACGAAAGCCGGCCCGTACTTCGGTCCATTACGTACCTTGCCATAATCTCTTAGCGCGTTCTCCACCACGCGTGTCGGTTGCGGCGCTATGATTTCAGTTTCACTAGTACAAGTACGATGTCGTGTCGCTAGTACCTTTCGTACTCGCACTCTATAATGATTCATCTCCGCACGTCGCGGGATACACAATGTAGGAATGAAACGGCCATCAGCCAGAGCTGAATTAGAGTGAGAATATAAGTAGACCGGACAAAGGGAACACCGTTCTACCTGGTAGCAAGGCGAATACGGTAACACTTGAAATGGGTTCCTCCCGTATTCGCCTCCTGTCAGACGCTGGCTCGAGAGAAGAAGACCGAGAAAAGACCGCGCTCGACTTTCGACATCAGATTGCAGTCCGAGAAGAACGTTTTCAACACGCTTCTTCTCCATTACTCTCTCAGCGTCGTTCGACCGTCTCTTCCTCGCTGCTCACTCTGGGTCGAATGCTAGTCTTGCCATTACTAGCAGTCCTGCTCCTCTATCTAGACAATATTCCGCCATGTCGTGCCGCTCATCCTCTTCCCCCACATAAAGTTGACGTCGCCGGCGTTGCAAGAAGGCAAGAACCGCAATTCAGTAGTTCTGGTCGGGCTGGAGGCAGCGTGGTGACTTTCAAGTCGACACAAAAGATTGTTAGGAATAAAAATGCGCCAGAAACAAGGAGCTCGTCTCTCGGGTTACCAGCGACCAACGCGACATTAGCGACGGGACCCCGGCGCGAACTCCAGCTGTGGCGAAAGCGCAAGCAGCGAAAGAAAAAGAGCTCGTACATCTTCTGTTACCGGGACATGTACACGCGGAAACCAGCGGCTCTCGCGGCGCTAAACGCGGGCCGCAACCACCGGCGCTGCCCCAGCGGGACCGTGCGAAGCGCGGGCGCGTGCTACGACAAATGCGCCGCGGGGTATAAGGGGAAAGGGCCGGTGTGCGCCCGGCGGTGCACGCTGTACGCGCCTAGCTGGGTGGCCTGCGGGTATGGGTGCGCGCCGGACTACCCCATGTGCGTCAAGACGACTTATCGCCAGGCGGGAGCTTTCTCATTCTTCTTCTTCAAAGTGAGTGTGCCTTGGTACGCGCTGTCATGATGGAAGAAAGCCCTTCCGCTGACTTGCTGTACGCGCCTATTAGGAGATAGTTGCTGGGTGGACTGCGGGTATGGGTGCGCGCCGGATTACCCCATGTGCGACAAGACGACGTACCGCCAGGCGGGAGCTTTCTCATTCTTCTTTTCCAAGGTGCGTATGTGTCTTCGTGTGTGACTGAAGATGGGGTCTTGCCGTTTGCGGCAAGACGACGTACCGCCAGGTCGTAACTCGGTTGAATGTGTGGTGCTTCTTCTCCCCTCCCAACCCATCCCAGGTGTACCTACCGGGAACATGCCCTTTCTTTGACGTCGCCATGAAGCTGGGAGCATTGTTTGGAGATTTGAGCCTTCCCCTTCCCACTCCGCCCTCCCCTCGCCCTCCCCCCTCTTCACTCATCCCGTCTCAGGTCTACCTACCGGGAACAGGCCCTTTCTTTGACATTGCCATGAAGCTGGGAGCTTTTGCTGCAAAGGTACGGCACGGTATGGCGGGGTATGGCATGGCACGGCACGGCATGGCATGGCATGGCATGGCATGGTATGGCATGGTATGACATGGTATGGAACGGTATGGGAATGGCGCATACAGCATAGCATTGCATGACATTGCATGGTGATGCATCATATGTCATGGGCCAGTGTGAGTGCTGGTGATGTTACCGTAACCACCTGAGAATCAGACCACCTGCATCGCACAGTACACCTGAAAACCACCAGCTTTAAATGTTTTACTTCTCTTTTATTTATCTGCGTTGATTTACAGCTATACAGGCGAGTGAAGCCGTCCAAGTACAGGAAGCGCAAGGACTATGCTAGTATCGAGTTGGCTACTATGGAGTCTCGCAGCATGGCCGCCACCTTCCTAGCCGCATTCGGCGAGCCTGTCAGCAATGACAGCCGCACCTACGTCACCTTGGTCCCTGCACACGCCCAGGTAGGAGTGCGAAGGGAGGGGAGCAGGGGGCGTAGGGAATAGTGAGTGCTCGAGTGAGAAGCATGGCGGCAATCTTCCTTGCTACGTTTGGGGAGCCTGTTAGCGACGACAGCCGCACGCACGTCACATTGGTCTCTCCACACGCCCAGGTAAGTGCACCGATGATGCACCAGGTATCTCTAGTGAGATTGAGGTGACTTTTGAGTCGACTCAAAAGTCACCTCTGCACCGATGATGCACCAGGTATCGGCAGTGAGATTGCCGAACACGGTGGGGAATGTGGAGGACTTGCCTTGTTATCTACCTCTTATCTTTCTCTCTTTCCCCCTCTCCGCACACACCCTCCCCCCTCCCTTTCTTCAGGACAAGCAAGCAGCGTTCTCTGCCTTCCGCGCATCCCACGCAGTGATGCACCAACCAATCCAAAAGGCAGCAAGGGCACTGGTATCGGCTGTACAATTGCTCGACACGGTGGTGAATGTGGAGGATTTGGCGAAATACGATCCCTCGGGAGTGCTCAATATGGTTGTTTCCTTTGGACACCCCATGTGCCGCGATGGTGAGTGATGGGAAGCAGGTGGGTAAGATACAGAGAGAGCACATGCACTGGTATCGGTGGTGTTTGAGAATTCTCAAAAATCGCTCACATGCACTGGTATCGGTGGTGTTTGAGAATTCTCAAAAATCGCTCACATGCACTGGTATCGGTGGTGTTTGAGAATTCTCAAAAATCGCTCACATGCACTGGTATCGGTGGTGTTTGAGAATTCTCAAAAATCGCTCACATGCACTGGTATCGGTGGTGTTTGAGAATTCTCAAAAATCGCTCACATGCACTGGTATCGGTGGTGTTTGAGAATTCTCAAAAATCGCTCACATGCACTGGTATCGGTGGTGAGGTTGCTCGATACAGTGGTGAATGTGGACGACTTGGCGAAATACGATCCATCGGGAGTGCTCAATATGGTGGTGTCATTCGGGCACCCCATATGCCGCGATGGTGAGTAACAAGCAGTATGGGGTTAAGATATAGAGAGCAAAAGCTCTGTTATAGGCAGTACGCCTGCTCGATACAGTGGTGAATGTGGAGGACTTGGCGAAATACAGACCCATCAGGAGTGGACAGTATGTGGGTAGGTTAATGAGGCTCCTGGTATGAGGCTGCTAGACACGGTGGTGAATGTGGAGGACTTGGCGAAATACGACCCATCAGGCGTACTCAATATGGTGGTTTCCTTTGGCCACCCCATGTGCCGCGATGGTAAGGAGGAGGAAGGGACAAGAGCTCATAAGCACTCCTATCATTCAGCAGTGAGGCTGCTAGACACGGTGGTGAATGTGGAGGACTTGGCGAAATACGACCCGTCGGGCGTGCTCAACATGGTGGTCTCCTTCGGAAATTTATGTGTCGCGATGGTGAGGAGAAAGGGAGAAAGGATGAGAATCAGCATGCGGGTAAGGGACCAGCACTGCTATCATACAGCAGTGAGTACGCCTGTTCGATGCAGTGGTGAATGTGGAGGAGTTGGTGAAATACGACCCGTCGGGCGTACTCAACATGGGCGTGTCGTTCGGACACCCCATGTGCCGCGATGGTGAGTCATGGGGCGGAGAGGATGAGCATTAGCAGATCAGTGTGGGTGGCAGGTCTGTGTGAGAATAAGGGACAGAGAGCATGAGTGCTGGTATCAGCAGTACGGCTGCTAGACACGGTGGTGAATGTGGAGGACTTGGTGAAATACGACCCGTCGGCCGTGCTCAACATGGTTGTCTCATTTGGCCACCCCATCTGCCGCGATGGTGAGGAGGGGAGAGGAGAGGGATAGGAAGGGGAGGGATAAGGGGGCCAAGGGGTTGAATGTGGAGGATTTGGCTAAGTCCGACCCGTCTGGAGTGCTCAATATGGTGGTTTCATTCGGCCACCCCATGTGCCGCGATGGTAAGGGGAAAGGGGGAAAGGGACATCTCACAAGCAAATGTATCACCGTGCGGCTTCTAGACACGGTCTCTCCACACGCCCGGGTATATCCCGGGTATCAGGAATGAGACTGCAGCAGTGCGGCTTCTAGACACGGTGAGTGCTCCCGCTTTTGACCATCCCCTCTTTCCTCCCTTCTTCCCTCCCTTTTTTTCTCCCAGACGCCTGTGTCAAGTGTGTGACGACCCGCGCAACCCCCTGCGTCATCGCCCCCACGTGCATTGCTCCCCTGTTCAATCCTTCCCTGATCCTCCCTTCCCTCTCCTCTTCCCTCCCTTCTTCCCTCCCCTTTCTTCCTCAGACGCCTGTGTCAAGTGTGTGACCACCCGTGCAACCCCCTGCGTCATCGCCCCCACGTGCATAGCCGGGAAATGCATGAATCTCGGGCAGAAAAAAGACGGATCGGCCTGCGCGGATTTCGACTGGGGCGGCAACTCCTACACGGGGCACTGCCAGGCTGGCAAGTGCGTCAGCAGGGCCGTCCAATCGTATTACGCCAGCAAGCAACGCGACAAGCTGTGGATTCCTGATGGTTACGAGGCGCCGAATGTGACTATAACGGTGGATCGGGGAGTGTATGTGACGAGTGAGAAAGAGTATATGGAGACGAGCTTGGGGTACTGGGATGAGCTCGCACGGGAATCGGAGAGTTGTTCGTTGAATAACGGCGGATGCGGGTCATTTGTGTGTCAGGTGGACGTGGAAAGGAAGACGACCGTTTGTATTGACCCTCATGGTAAGCCATAGTGATCAGGGTGATACCCCCAGCTGTTCATGTATTCAGGCGTTGTGTGGGTGTACCTTGTTTTCTCGTGATCCATCCAACCGTTCCTCCTCCTAGTGTACTTGATTTCCGGTTTTCATTCTCAGTGCCACGTTCCTCCTTGTATTCTGCGCCCTTCCTCCCCTACTTCTCCATTGCATCCTCTGATACAGATCAAGGCTTTGCACCTGCCCCTCCTGCTATTGACTTCCCATCGGCCACCAACCTCTCATATCATTATCCGCTTCACCAACTAGCATCCTTCCCTCCCTCCCTCCTTCCCTCCTTATCCGCTCCAATCCAGGTCACGGCTTTGCACCTGCCCCTCCTGCGATTGACTTCCCGTCTGCCACCAACCTATCATATAATTACCCGCTACACCAATTATCCTGTATGGAGCAATGCAAACTTGATTCAAGGTGTTACCTTGTGGTTACCACACGCGCTCGTGAATGCTGGCTAAAGGGCGGCGAGCTTGGCCTTCCGGTTGAAGCGGATAGATCAATTCAGGCTTATAAAAAGTTAAGTACCAGTAGCACATCTGCTATTATAGGGTTGAGATATGGGGCCATGAATCAAGATGTTGGGGAAGAGAATGGTACGGAGGGAATAAGTGGGAATGCTGCTTTCCTTGTAGGGGCATCAGTGGGGGTACAGGATGGCCCTTAGTTGTTTCAAGTGTACCAAAGTTCCTTCCTAGAGTGGCGTTTTTGCCCAAGAAAGAATGTGCAACGTACTACGATTTTGCTGCGAGCTTATAAGGAATCAATGACATTCAATTCGAAAGAATCTAGGGACAGGAATTTCAGACAACCACTCTGCGCAATACAGCCGTCCCGCACTAGCGAAATAAATACCTCGAGAATCTAGAGAGACTACATTCCGTAAAGTCCCATCCCAGGACGTTCAGAGGAGTCGAGATGCTCTCCCTGTCTAAGTACCTCCTTACTGTTCTCTTACTCCGGACGGTCATTGTTTGAATCCCGATTCTGAAGGTCATGGCTTCCGAATCAGCGACCGGCTTCAGGAATCTCACCAATCTGGCTAGGCGACCCGTTCCTAAAGGCACAAACGACGCTGCTAAGGTTGAAGGAGTTAGCCCTGATACGACATTTGTTGACCGCGACTCTATATCCTCTCTAAGGAGTGTTTCGCATTCGCAGTCAAATGAAGCGCCTGCTTCGATGTATCATAATAGCAGAAGTAACAGCAATTCGCGAACCTTCGCCACCGCTCGAGCATCGTTCCCTGGCGCAGCATTTCCCGTCGGCGTCGCAACGTTCGCAGTCGCCGTCGCGCTCGCAAAAACCTCCTCTCTGGTCATCCGCCTGACGACCACGACAACGACGGCGATGACGGCGGCGACGACGATGCCGTCGCCTGCCGTCGCAGCGCTCGCCGTCGTCGCCGTGATCCTCCTCGCGATCCTCATCCTGCTCCTTCTCTACCTGCGCTCTCTCGTGCCGCGATCAACGGCAGGGGAAGATCAGGGTGGACACGGGCAAACCGAAGGGAGAGCGCATAGAGCCGTGAAAAGTAGAGAGGGGGAGAGAAGAGGTGACGGAATATCAGAATCTCGAAGAGGAGAGGGGGAAGGAGAAGAGAGACAAGTGGAGGGAGGGAGAGACGAGTCCAGAAAAACGAAGGGAAGAGAGGAGAAGGAGGAGAGGGTGAGAGGCCTTTGGGAAATGCTAGGTCCCCCTGTGCCGTGGTGGATTCGGCTTCTCGGGGTGGTGGGAGTGGTGGGGGGCAAAAAGGAGGGAACTGGAGATGGGGAGGAGAGGGTGAGAGGCCTATGGGAAATGCAAGGCCCCCCTGTCCCGTGGTGGATTCGTATCCTAGGGGTGGTGGGGAATGTGCGGGAGATTGTGAGTAAGGGACACCATCAGTGCCACGTGGACTGGATGGCTGGTCACGGCCACCTGTACTCGTAAGTGTGTGGTGCTGTGCGGTATGGCGCAGTTGTGCGTGGTGCTGTGCGGTGCAGCGTGATATTGTGCGGTACTGTGGTGTTCGGTGCTTCCCGCAGTGAACTTAGGCAGTGGGAGTGGGGGTGGTGGGGAACGTGCGGGGAATCATGAGCAAGGGTCTGCCCATGGCCACCTCTACTCGAGAGTGTGCGGTGCTTTGCATTGCGCTGCGGTCATGTGTGGTGCTACCACTGTGTTTCCCCGTGCCTCAATCCCCCACCATGTCCTCCTTGTTTTGTACCCCCCACCACTCCCACACGTCTCTCAGCTACTGCTATGGCCCGTGCCATGTGATGGCAGTGTCCTCCCCTGTGCTTCAAAACCTTCCATGACTCCCCCAATCCCCCACCACTCCAACACATCTCTGTCCTCCCTGTCTCACACCCCGTACCTTCCCCACCCCTTTCCATCAGCTACTGCTACGGCCCTCGCCGAGTGCTGGCAGTGTCCTCCCCTGCTCTCGTGAAGGAGGTTCTGCTTCGCCGCTTCAAAACATTCCACGATCGCCCCATACCTCCCTGTGGTGGCAGTGTCCTCTCTGTCCTCCCTGTCTCACACCCTCTACCTTCCCCTCCCCTTTCCATCAGTTACTTCTATGGCCCACGCCGAGTGGTGGCAGTGTCCTATCCCTCTCTTGTAAAAGAGGTTCTGCTCCGCCGCTTCAAGACATTCCATGATCGTCCCATACCTCCCACCGCCAGCCCCACCACTGGCCGGGGGCTGCTGTTTGCTCGGTACATTTTCACCTGTTCCATCCCTATATCCCCATGGTTGAATGCTCAATCCACTCACACAAGAGCCACTGCCTTCCATTCACGATCGCCCCATACCTCCCACCGCCAGCCCCACCACTGGCCGGGGGCTGCTGTTTGCCCGGTATGTAGCCCTTGTTTGCTCACTGAGTGTCCTTCCCAACCTTTGTCTCCTTGCCTGCACGCCGTCTGTGAGTTCACGCTGAATCACCACTGCCTGTTCTCCTTGCCCCATATGGTCGCTTCAAGACGTTCCATGATCGGCCCATACCTCCCACTGCCAGCCCCACCACTGGCTGGGGCCTGCTGTTCGCCCGGTGAGTGTCCTTGTTTGCGTTTGCACAACTGCCATGGGTCATTTGGATCTCCCACCTCAGTCCACAATCGCCCCATACCTCCCACCGCCAGCCAGCCCCACCAATGAGTGTTCTTCCCGTCCCTCATCCCTTTGCTTGCACCACTGCGTGTGGGTTAACGCTAGCCCACCAAGAGGTTAACTCTTGACCGAATCACTTCTGCGTCTCACCTTCTCTCCACTTCTCCCCCCCGTTTCTCCACAGGGGTAATCACTGGGCTGGCTTGAGGAGCATTCTCACGCGCATGTTCCACCGCTCCACCCTTCTCCACTCCGTAGTCATTCATCCCTTCTCCTTTACTTCCCTACTCTCCACTTCCCTACCCATCACTTCCCTCTCCCTCTTTTAGTGGTAACCACTGGGCTGGTTTGAGGAGCGCCCTGACTCCCATGTTCCACCGCTCCACCCATCTGCACTCCTTCCTTCCTGGCATGCACCGTTCCATTCTCCACATGCTGCTGCTGCCGCTGTGGGATGCGACACAATCGAGGGGAGGGAGGGAACGAGGGAGTGAGGGAGGAGGGATAGGGGAAGGACGGGAGGGCGGGGCGCAGGAGGAGGGAGGGAAGGAGGGAAGAGGGGGCGAGGAAAGGGGGAAGGAGAAGCGAGAGGTAGGGGGAGGAGGGAGAGAGGAGGGATGGGTAGAGGTGGATTTGATGGGCATGTTTGAAGCAGTGGGGCTTGCGTCTATCGGCTCTGCTTGCTTTGGTGAAGACCTGTGGTTTCAGCAGAACGCTACTGCCACACTCACAGCTGCGACAGCCCACACTGAGGCAAGCGAGCAGGCAGCGGCGAAGCTAGGGGCGCACAGTAGCTCTACCCACCCTGCTCCTCCTCACACCGCGTTACCACCACACACAGAACCACACTCTACCGCACCACACACTGCTGCACCGCACACTGCGGCTCTGGCACGGGCATACGGGGCAAACGAGCAGGCAGGGGCGAAGCTAGGGGCCCTCTCATCGCTCCTCCTGGCCCTATTCCCTCTGAGCCTGCGCCCCTGGGTGCATGCGCTGCTGGGTGTTCTGCCTGGGAGCACCGTGGGTGCTGCGAGGGAGAGACACCGAGAGCTGATGAAGGCATGGAAGGTGAGAGGAAAACTCCTGTCATCGACAACTCAGGTGTGGAGTGAGTGCCATGCCCAGGTTGAGTGGTGCCATAAAAACTCACCGCTCACAACCGCTCATAAAAAACTCCTCATTTCTTTTCATCTCTCAAAAACTAACCGCTCACATTTTCACCGCTCATAAGAACTCCTCATTTCTTTTCATTTCTCAAAAACTCTCCGCTCATTTTTTTCCCCTCCACTCCCAACACCTTATCCCTCCAACTCCTCTCCTTTCACCAGCGGATGTTGGAAGCAAAGAGGCAACAACAGTCCCAAGGCAACAACAGCGCTGCTGACATACTGACCTTTCTCAAAAGGTACGTCAGGGTGACAGACAAAAGAAGAAGAAGAAGAAAAAAGAGAAACTTACACACACGCAAACAACATAGCGTACACATTTGCACAGACACACTCACTCACGCTCAGACGGCCCACGCACACACAGGCTTGTATTTCGTCCTGTATTTCCTTCGCCCAAGACCGACCTGTATTTCTTCTTTTATGTCATTTTGTGCTGCATGTCACTTCGCCCAAGACCGACTTTGCCTCATTCTCGCAGCTTCCGTGTGGAGTATGGAGTGTGGGGTACGGAGTATGGTTTACGGGCACAGGCGCAGGTTTACTCGAGCCCGACCTCCCTCTCATCCTCTTTGGCCTCTGGGCGCCGGAGTGGGCACCACATCGTCCACCCTGGCGTTACTCTGATTGCTCCTCGGACCCCCTCCCCTCCCCTCCTCTTGGCCTCGCACCTTCCAAGACAAGGGCGCCGGAAGGGGTACTACATCATCATCCACCCTGACGTTACAATAATTGCCCCTTTCCTCTCCCTTATCTCCTCCCTTTTTCACCTCAGCTTCCAGGACAACGGCACAGGAGAAAGACTGGCTGAGTCGGATCTGCCTCTGATTCTCTTTGGCCTCCTGGGCGCTGGTGTGGGCACCACATCATCCCCCACCCATTAGTGTAATTGCCCCCTGCTTTTCCCTTCCATTATGCAGCTTCCGAGACAAGGGCACAGGAGCAGGTCTGCTCGAATTCGACCTTCCTCTGATCCTCTTTGGCCTCCTGGGTGCCAGAGTGGGCACCACATGGTCCACCCTGGCGTTACTCTGGTTACCCCTTACTCTCGCCCTTTCTCCTCCCCTTTTTCACCTCAGCTTCCGAGATAAAGGCACAGGGGAAAGACTGGCTGAAACTGATCTGCCTCTGATTCTCTTTGGCCTCCTGGGCACCCGTGTGGGCACCACGTCGTCCACCCTGGCGTTACTCTGATTGCCCCTTACTCTGCCCTGTGTCTTGCAGCTTCCGAGATAAAGGCACGGGGGCAGGTCTGCTCGAATCCGATCTTCCTCTGATTCTCTTTGGCCTCCTAGGTGCCGGTGTGGGCACCACGTCGTCCACCCTAGCGTTACCATGATTGCCCCCCTTTCCCTCTCTACTTCTACTGCCTTCTGCCTTACAGCTTCCGAGACAAGGGAACAGGGGCAGGTCTGCTCGCATCCGATCTTCCTCTGATCCTCTTTGGCCTCCTCGGCGCCGGAGTGGCCACCACGTCGTCCACCCTGGCGTTACCATGATTTCCCCCTATTTCTTGCCCTTTCTCTCCCCTCAGCTTCCGAGATAAAGGCACAGGCGAAAGGCTAGCTGATTCCGACCTGCCTCTGATCCTCTTTGGCCTCCTGGGCGCCGGTGTGGGCACCACGTCGTCCACCCTGGCGTTACCATGATTGCCCCCCTTTCCCTCTCTACTTCTACTGCCTTCTGCCTCACAGCTTCCGAGACAAGGGCACAGGTGCAACACTGCTCGAATATGATCTTCCTCTGATCCTCTTTGGCCTCCTGGGGGCCGGTGTGGGCACCACATCGTCCACCCTGGCTTTTGCTGTTCTCATGCTGACTCAGCACCCGGAAGTTGCATGGAAACTTCAGGCTGAAATCGACAGGTATTTTGAGGAGAGGGAGCAGCAGGGAGAGGGGATGGGGGAGGGGAAAGGGGAGAAAGAGGAGGAGGGAGAGGGGGAGGGAGAGGGGGTGGAGAAGGAGAAGAGAGGACCCTTAGACACACCTGCTTCTTTTGAACGGGGACTCTCGTTTGAAGGCCTAGAAGAGCTTAAGTATCTTGACATGGTGGTAAAAGAAACACTTAGGCTATACCCCGCTGCACCTGTAGCTGCCCGCCTGCCCGTCCATGCAACGACTCTGGCTGGTTACCACATCCCTGCAAATACGCCCGTTGTGGTTCCCATTTTCGCTGCACACCGCTGCCCGGATTTCTTCCCCCGACCGCTTTCGTTCCTTCCCGAACGTTTCGGTCAGCGGGCAACAGCTGAGAAGAAAGTTTTGGGGAACGAGGCAGGGAGGAGAAAGGAGGAAGAAGTGGGAGCGGAGGGAGGAAGGGGAGAGGAAGAGGTACAGCTGATTCAGAGTGAAGGGGAAGGAGGAATGCAACAAAGGGAAGGAAGAACGGAGCAGCAAGAGGAGGTGCTGTGGACAGCAGAGTCAGAGGCCATGTACTTGCCTTTCGGTGCCGGTCCGCGCATGTGCATCGGTGCTCGATTCGCCTTGATGGAAATCAAACTCTGCCTGGTGCTGCTACTGCGAGTATTCGACATCTCATCAGTATATGACATCTCATCTGCAACTGATGCCCATGCTTTGAAACGCCTCAACACTGGCAAGACTGGAGTTGAAGGAAAGGGGAGAGGGATACAGGGGGAGAGTGAGGAAGCAGAGGAGTGCAGCAGATGGGGGGGTGCAAGCAGCAAGACGGGGGCGGATGGCAGCAAGTTGCCTTTGGAAGCTGGGTTGAACCTTCGACCAAAGAATGGGGTGCGTGTTAGAATTCGGAGGAGGGGCAATGGGTTTTGACAGAGCTATGGGTTTTTGTTGATGCTTTATTTGTGGATGCTAGTCTGTTTTTGGTCGAATTTCGCATGATATTGGAGTCAGAAGGCTTGCATATTAGTGGGAGCCCACGATATTGTGCAATATAATATTTCTTTCTTTGTTTATGAGTTTGGTTTATTGCAGAACATCTTTATAATCTAGCGGAATAACATCGGGAATCTCCCAACACTTTTTCTTCGGGCGGCCAGCTCATGGCGGGTACGTCAGGCAAGGAACACACATTTGGGGAGGAAATTCCATCAGCGAAGGAACCCATCGGCCGGCAATCCCAAGGGCCAAGGCCAGTCACAAAGGAAGCATGGCATGGCAACCTGTCAAGCAGGAGGTAGCTTTGAGAGGGAATACTGTAAGCAGTATGAGGAGTCCCTTAGGGATGATCGGAACCTGAAACCGGTTCAGGAAGCTGTGTATGTGCACGGCTGTGACGCTTCCAGTTCAGCTTCCCTGGGATTCGACTGGCAGAATGACGGTCGCTAGACGGATTCTGTTAGCTCGACGGATCCCGTCAGTTGACCGGTTTCTGTTTCTGGCTTGCGCTATCGCCGTTTTGCACGTGAGTCCCGCTACTACCCATTTTTAAGTCGGTTGAATGATCATGGTCAACACATCATCAATTTACGAGAAACAGGCTTTTGAATGGCATTTCAAGATGGTCACTTGTCCGTTCTCAACCACCGTTGCTTCTCTTTTACTCTTTCTTCTTAGCGCAAGTTCTGGACATTAGTCTTTTACTAACCTGGACCTCTGCCTGGCAATCCGTGTATCCCTCCTGACAATGCCCATAGTAGCGTGTCTGGAATAAATGCTGTTAGCTTCTTGAATCACTGAGTATTGTTTGCCGTTCCGCTGACACATGATAAATCCCTGCACAAGAAATGTCCATCCAATCGCATCCGCATCCGCATCCGAATGCGCATGGCTCTTCTCTCCTCTCGGCCACTTAGCGTCATCCAGGCTCCCTCCTCCCCTTATATTGTCGCATCAGGCTGGGAATGCAGCAGCCGACCGCATTCACCACGGCGATGCCCTTGTGAGTGAGTGTAATGGTATGGTGTGATGTGATGATGCGAGTGCAGCATGATGTGATGATGCGAGTGCAGGATGATGTGATGATGCGAGGGCAGGATGATGTGATGAGCTGACTCAACAGCCACCTCATCCCTCAACCACCACAGTGGCCATATTACAACGGAAGGTGGTTTTTCTACCAAAAATAACAATGTGTTTTTTCTCCACCCAGAATTATGTACATATAGAAAATCATATTACCTTTTTTTACGGTCGATTTTAAGGATACCATTCTTCGCGCTGAGAGTTTGAAAAAGTCGACGTATTTTTGCCCCTTGATCATTTGAACTATTGGATGATGACTATTGAGAGTCGCCTATCTAAATACATGTTTTATCTTCCCACGTACCTTTGTTAAACACTGGAAAGTTCTTATGTCAATCTTTTTCTGCTCGCAGCATATCTAAATTCCTTTTCTCCCCTTCCTGTTCCCCTTTCTGCTACCCTTTCCTCCTCTTCCCTCCCGCTCCCCCCTTTCCCCCTCCCTCCCTCCCACCTTTCACCCCACCTTCTCCCTTCAGTCTCGAGCCATCATTGATGGGTTACTTGATGACCCCACACTCATCGATTTCAGTTTCCCTGACCAAATATGTGGCACATGGCACCACAACTACATGCGCATGCACCAGCAAATCCGGGCAGCCAGCAAAAATCCCTCCGCCGCCCCACCGCCCGACACGCCGCCCGTGAAATTTCTCACCTTTGACGGCCTCAGCCACTGCGACAGCCTCGGGGAGACCCTCATGGGGCTGACGTCAGCATTCACTGTAGCTCTCCTCACTAACAGGGCCTTCGTTATAAAGCACCCGTGCATCCCCATGGCTTTTGAACCGGCGTTGATCGACTGGCAACCGACAGAAGATGTGGGCTTTGAGCCGGTCAGAAACGAAAATTTTCCGCTGGACCCTTCGAACAGGGCAGTCAATCCTCCAATAGGAGCGAGTGACATAGTGGAAATTAACCTGGAATTACATCCCGAGGCGCACCCAGAAAAGGTGTTTCCGCAGGTGGAAGCTGCGAGGAACCTGCGAGTGGTGTGGAATAAGGATCTGCTGGTCCATATGCTGAAGGGGGCGAATGGGTCGGTGTGGGGGGAGAGGCTCATGGAAATGGGTATCAGGATCCCGTATGCTTTCGGCTGCTTTGTCCGATACCTGCTCAGGTGAGACGGTGATTTGGGAGGTGAGAGAATGACAGAGTATCAAGCCTTGTTGCCCTCCGCCCTCTCGCCACTTTTCCTGTGCCCCATCTTGATTTCCTATGTCCTTTTCTGTTTCCTCGATTTCTTTTCTCGCCAGGCCCAAGCCGGAGGTGTGGCACAGGATGCAGCCGTTTGAGAAGCACCTGAGGGGAGACAAGGTGGTGAGCATCGGCATGCACGTGAGGCACTTTGGCCGCGGGTTCCTCCCACCCAACACCACCCTCAGCTGGGACGACTTGCGGAGAGCCTATAACGACATCTTGATGCCCGCCATTAAGTGCGCAAAGGTGGGGAGTCCGCTTGATGAGGGATGGGGAAAGGAAAGGGAGAGCTTTCTCCCCCTCCTCCGCTCCCTTCCCTTCCCACCCTCCCGCCCAACACCACCCTCAGCTGGGACGACTTGCGGAGAGCCTATAACGACATCTTGATGCCCGCCATTAAGTGCGCAAAGGTGGGGAGTCCGCTTGGTGAGGGATGGGGAAAGGAAAGGGAGAGCTTTCTCCCCCTCCTCCTCCGCTCCCTCCCCTTCCCACCCTCCCGCCCAACACCACCCTCAGCTGGGACGACTTGCGGAGAGCCTATAACGACATCTTGATGCCCGCCATTAAGTGCGCAAAGGTGGGGAGTCCGCTTGGTGAGGGATGGGGAAAGGAAAGGGAGAGCTTTCTCCCCCTCCTCCGCTCCCTCCCCTTCCCACCTTCCCGCCCAACACCACCCTCAGCTGGGACGACTTGCGGAGAGCCTATAACGACATCTTGATGCCCGCCATTAAGTGCCCCAAGGTGGGTGTGCCAAGGCTGGTGCCCAAAGGTGGGTGTGCCAAGGTTGGTGCCCAAAGGTGGGTGTTCCACTTCGTGAGGGATGGAGGAAAGGAAGAGGAGAGCTCTCCTCCGTATTCTCCTCCCTCCCCCTCTCCCCCTCCCGCCCAACATCACCATCAGCTCGGACAAATTTGCGGAGAGCCTTTTACGACATCGTGATGCCTGACATTAAGTGCGCAAGGGTGGATGTTCATTCTGAGAGAAAAAAAATGCCGTTTTGGAAAGCACAGGGGAGAAGAAGCGGAGAGGTCCTTCTCCCCTTTCCCCTCCTCCCTCCCCGCCCAAAAAAAAAGGTGCTTTCTCGTATCAATCTGAAGAGCACCACCACACACACGCATGGAAGAATCTGAAAAGCTGGTGGTAGCATTCTATCTCCACTCTCCCCACCCCTCCCCACGTGCGCACATTGCAGGATGTGGAGAACTGGTGGTACCCACCATTCCTCGATGTGAAGTGGCTTGCTATTAGCGTTCAATCCAGCTCTTTCCACCTCTCTGACACCCCCACTCCCCACTCCCACCCCTTCCCACACCACATGGCAGGATGTGTAAAACTGGTGGTACCCGCCATGCCTCGATGTGAAGTAACTTGCTATTAGTGTTCGATCCAGCTCTTTCCACCTCTCTGACACCCCACCCCCACTCCCACCCCTCCTTTCACCACATGGCAGGATGTGGAAAACTGGTGGTACCCGCCATTCCTCAATGTGAAATGGCTTGTTATTAGCGACTCACTGCAACTCAAACAAAAGGCCATTGAAGTCAACGAGTCCAAGGTGATGTGGCTATAACGAGCCCAAGGTGATGTGGTTATAACGAGTCAAAGGTGATAGAACTTTAACGAGTTTAAGGTGATGTGATTGTAACAAGTTATAGGTGATATGATTGTAACAAGTCCAAGCTGATTTGATTATTACAGGTCCAAGATGGTGTGATTATAACGAGTTCAAGGTAATGTGACTGTGATGTCTTATTCTTTCGATTAACCATCGTTTTCCAACTCCCTCTCCTCCCTGCAGACCTATCACTACGTTTGCCATGCCTGCATCCCCCTTTTCCTGTTCTCAATCTTTTCCAGACTTCTCCTAATCATCTTTAAAAACATCATCACCCCACCCCTCCCTCCCGCTTTTCACCCTCCCCACCACCTTGCAGATCGTGATTACCGAATTCGACCCGTGGGTCCCACCCTCCCTCCTCAGCATCAGCCCCCCTCCCCCTCCGCCTCCCCCTCCCCCTCCTGCACCCGCGCCCGCACCCCCTCCCTCCGTCCCTTCTTCTGATCCTGCCACCCCCACGACCACCACCCCAGAGGGACCCCCTCTCCCTCCCATCCCCACGGTTCAAGAATTCCAAGAGACAGTCACTGAGTGGCTTCTCCTCTCCTCGTGCAACTCCTTCATTGTTTCGACCTCCGCCTTTGGTCGTACGGCTGCCATGTATTCAATGCGCCCTATGAGCATGCACATGCCACGCTCGTGCGACCCTCAGACTCCCGTCCGCGTTAGCAGCTTCGGAGAGGAGTCCAAGCGGCAATTCTGATATGAGGTGACTTTTGAGTCGACTCAGAAGCTCGTGTGACCCTCAGACTCCCGTCCGCGTTAGCAGCTTTGGAGAAGAGTCCAAGCGGCAGTTGTGAGACCCATATGCATTGCGCACTTCACATTGCACGTTGCACATTGCACGTTGTAAACATGTTTTCAGCTGTATTGCTGGCTTTTGCTCAACTCGGTCCATCCTGCATCGTGCATCCCATGAGCATCTGCAGAGCATTTAGAGACATGCAAGGCCCGCAGTATAGTCATACTACCACCCACTCACACCAGTTTGGTCGGCAGCAGGGATTGAAATACACAGCCCCGTGACTCAGAATTGCATTGTGTTATGTTTGTGCTTTAGCTGCTTCCACGGGGAATACCATATTCTGCAAAGGGTAATAAAAAAATTGTTATAAAAAACTGCAAATTTACCGTGGAGGTGTGATCTTTGTGGATATTGTAGTGATATTTGAGGCACCTAACAGATGTGAGTACCAACACTCAGAACTGCCGCCGTGACCGGGAGACGAGACTGCTGATGGGCATGGGCGCCTATGGCTTACATGAATGCGCAAAGTAGGTACCTACCTACAAGATGAAAGATGCGAGTACCAACACTCAGAACTGCCGCCGTGACCGGGAGACGAGACTGCTGATGGGCACGGGCGCCTGTGGTCTGCATGCGTGTGCCATGTAGATGCTCATCGGCTGCATTGAATACATGGCAGCGACTTGAATGCATTGGTGGGGCACCCTAGAACTGCCGTCGTGATCGGGACACGAGACTGCTGATGGGCACGGGCGCCTGCGGCTTGCATGCATGTGCCATGTAGATGCTCATCGGCTGCATCGAATACATAGCCGCCGTACGGCCAAAGGCAGAGGGCGAGACAACAAACGAGTCGCACGAGGACAGGAGAAGCCACTCGGTGACTGTCTCTTGGAATTCTTCAACGGTGGGAATGGGAGGGAGAGGGGGGCCGGTTGGGGTGGGCGTGGGTGGGGTGGGGTTGGAAGGAGGACCAGAGGAGGGAGGGGGTGCGGGTGCGGGCGGGGGAGGGGAAGGGGGAGGCGGAGGAGGGGGGAGGATGAGGAAGGGGGACGGGATCCATGGGGTGAATTCGGTTATGACAACCTGTGAAGGAAAGGTGGGGGGAGAGAGAGGGGGAGGGGAGGAGGAGGTGAGAGGAAAATATTTTTCATCAAGAGCCTTTGGGGCGGGGGGGTACTGATGCTGAGGAAGGGGGATAGGATCCATGGGGTGAACTCGGTTATGACAACCTGTGTCGGAAGTGCGGGGGGGGGGGGGGCGGGGGGGGGGAGGGGGGGGGGAGAAGAGTTGAGGAAGGACTGTTTCGAAGTCAGGAATAGTTATGACAATCTGAGGAAAAGTGCGTTGGGGGGACGTGTGCACAGTGCACTGTTCCCGCTTTCCATAGGTACCCTGCCCTGTTTTCAGCCGTTCAGTTCGACACTTAGATATAGGAGCTATGGATGACGCTTAATGCTGGTTGCGAAATTTTAAAATGGGCGGGTCCCATTGCGCTACTTCCATTCATTAGTCACATTACCTTAGACTCATTTCCTTTCATGGCCTCTTGTTTGAGTTGCAGCGAGTCGCTAATAACGAGCCACTTCACAGTGAGGGCGTTTGAATACCACCAGTTCTGCACACTCTGGTGGTGTGGGATGGGGATGCAGGAGCAAGAGGAGAGGAAGGTGCATTGCTTGAGCTGTAACGAGTGGCTACTGACATGCCCGATAACGAGCCACTTCACAGTGAGGGCGTTCGAATACCACCAGTTCTGCACACTCTGTTGGTGTGGGGTGATGGGTGCACATGAACACGGGAGAAAGGTAGATTGCTTGTGCGGGCAAGGAAAGAACATTCACAGTGAGGGCGTTGGAATACCACCAGTTCTGCACAGTCTGTGTTGTGGGGTGATGGGGGGTTTTGGGCATAGGGAGAGGGAGAGCTGAATTGAGTGGATCGGGCAAGCCCTTGGCCGAACTGCCTCACATGTTGGCCGATGCTCACCACCTTGTCTCCCCTCAGCTGCTTCTCACAGATCTGGATTGAGTGGGCCGGGCGGGCCCTTGGCTGAACTGCCTCACGTGCATGCCGATGCTCACCACCTTGGTGTGGGGGGATTATTCAAGCTCCCAAGGGGCTACCACCAACTCACCTCAGTGCACTGTTCCTCTTCCTGTCCCATCCACTGTTGATCCCAAGGGACCACCGACTCACCTCAGCGCACTGGAAGGCGGGTCGCACGGAGTCGTTCATTCCTTTCTGCAGCTCCTCTGGGCTGACCGTGGCGTTGGGCCGGGCGGGCCCTTGACCAAACTGCCTCACGTGCAGGCCGATGCTCACCACCTTGTCTCCCCTCAGCTAAGACTCAAAGCGGAGAGGAGGGGGACTGGGGGACTACCCTCAGCCTTTCACACGCAAGCCTACTCACCCTTCGAATAAGAAAGCCTCACCTCAGCGCACTGGAGGCTGGTCGCACGGACTCTTTCATACCTTTCTGCAACTCCTCCGCGCTGACAGTGGCGTTGGGCCGAGGGTTGGGTTCAGAGGTAGGAGGGGAAAGAGGCTCCCCCAAGGAGATTACTCACCTCAGCGCACTGGAGGCTGGTCGCACAGACTCGTTCATACCTTTCTGCAACTCCTCCGCGCTGACAGTGGCGTTGGGCCGAGGGTTGGGTTCAGAGGGAGGAGGGGAAAGAGGCTCCCCCAAGGAGATTACTCACCTCAGCGCACTGGAGGCTGGTCGCACAGACTCGTTCATACCTTTCTGCAACTCCTCCGCGCTGACAGTGGCGTTGGGCCGAGGGTTGGGTTCAGAGGGAGGAGGGGAAAGAGGCTCCCCCAAGGAGATTACTCACCTCAGCGCACTGGAGGCTGGTCGCACGGAGTCGTTCATTCCTTTCTGCAGCTCCTCCGGGCTGACAGTGGCGTTGGGCCGGGCGGGGAAGGGGAGTAGGGGCGGAGGTGGGGGAGGGTGGGGCCGGCTCCTCCTCCCAAGGGACCAACAAATCACCTCAGCGCACTGGAAGGCAGGCCGCACGGAGTCGTTCATTCCTCGCTGCAACTCCTCCGGGCTAACGGTGGCATTGGGCCGGGCGGGGCCTTGCCCGAACTGCCGCACGTGCACGCCGATGCTCACCACCTTGGTGTGGAGGGACTAATCAAGCTGCCAAAAGGGGCAACTACTCACCCTTTCAGTGGGAGAGCCTTACCTCGGCGCATTGAAATGCGGGTCGCACGGAGTCGTTCATGCCTTTCTGCAGCTCCTCTGCACTGACCGTGGCGTTGGGCCGGGCGGGGCCTTGACCGAAGTGCCTCACGTGCATGCCGATGCTCACCACCTTGTCGCCCCTCAGCTGCTTCTCAAACGGCTGCATCCTGTGCCACACCTCCGGCTTGGGCCTGGAAGGTATAGAGGGATTATGGGAGAGGGGAAAAGGGGAATTGATGAGGCAAGCCCACCTGTGCTCACCACCTTGTCCCCCCTAAACTGCTTCTCAGACGGCTGCATCCTGTGCCACACCTCCGGCTTGGGCCTGGGTAAAGAAAGGAGTGGAGTGGAGAGAGGGAAAGGGGACGGATTGATGAGGTAGACCTGTGTTCACTACCTGCGTCCCCTCAGCTGCTTCTCAAACGGCTGCATTTTGTGCCACACCTCCGGCTTGGGCCTGCAATGTAGGAAGAAAGTGGGTATGAGAGATCGGGAAAGCGGAAGGATTGATCCTAAGCGTATGCTCACCTCCTCTCACCACCTTGTCTCACCACCACCGTGCTCTCACCTCAACAAGTACCGAACGAAGCAGCCGAAGGAGTACGGGATACTGATGCCCATCTCTGTGAGTCTCTCTTTCCACGCCGACCCACTCACGTCCTTCAGCATATGCACCAGCCGGCCCTTCCTTATTCCACACCAACCCCACTGTCTCACCTCAGCAGGTATCGCACGAAGCAGCCGAACGAGTAAGGAATGCTGATGCCCATTTCTGTGAGTCTCTCTTTCCACGCCGACCCACTCACGTCCTTCAGCATATGCACCAGCAGGTCTCTGTTCCACACCACACGCAGGTTCCTCGCAGCTTCCACCTCCGGAAACACCTTTTCCGGGTTCGACCGGTCATTCTTTTCCAGGTCAACCACTACGATATCGCTCGCTCCAATTGGCGGATCAACTGCCCCGGCCTTCAGGCCCCGCGGAAAAGTTTCGTTTCTGACCGGCTCGAATCCCACGTCTTCTTTCGGTTGCCAGTCGATCAGCGCCGGTTCAAACGCCATGGGTATGCACGGGTGCTTTATAACGAAGGCCCTGTTAGTGAGGATGGCTACAGTGAACGCTGACGTCAGCCCCATGAGGGTCTCCCCGAGGCTGTCGCAGTGGCTGAGGCCGTCAAAGGTGAGAAATTTCACGGGCGGCGTGTCGGGCGGCGGGGCAGAGGAGGGATTTTTGCTGGCTGCCCGGATCTGCTGGTGCATGCGAGTGTAGTTATGGTGCCATGTTCCACAGAGGTGGTCGGGGAATCCGAAGTTGACGAGAGTGGGGACGTCCGGGAAAGCGTCAATGATGGCTCGAGACTGAAGGGGGGAAGGTGTGTGTAGGGGGGAGGTGGAAGTGGGTGGGGGATGGAAGAAGAGGAGTTTCGGGTTGCAGAAGTGACTTCAAGATTTGCTGGTGCATGCGCGTGTAGTTGTGGTGCCATGTGCCACAGAGGTGGTCGGGGAATCCGAAGTTGACGAGAGTGGGGACGTCCGGGAAAGCATCGATGATAGACCGAGAATAAGGTGGGGAAATGTGAGTTTGGGGAGGGAAGGTGGAGGATGGAGGTGAAGGGGGAGGGGGAAGGAAAAAGGATCTTGGGGATGGGGAAGACATAGGAAACATGAAGCTCCTGGTGGTGCATGGATGGACGTGTGGCTTTGGTGCCAGATAGGTGCCAGTCGTGCTGTGCTTACGTCATCAATTCATGCTGCACTCACATCATCATCGCATCATCAGACCATGCTGCACTCACATCATCATCGCATCATCAGACCATGCTGCACTCACATCACCACATCATCAGACCATGCTGCACTCACATCACCGCATCATCAGACCATGCTGCACTCACATCATCCCTTCATGCCATTCATCCACCCACATCACATCATGACATCATCCCTTCATGCCATACATTCACTCACAAGCACATCGCGGTTGTGACCACGTTCGTCTGCAGCGGCATATCCAGCCTGTTGTGACAATAACGGGGGAGGAATGAAGAGGAGGAGAGTAGGAGAACTCGTGAGATCCTAAGAAACTATCATGTGACAACAGCCGGAGGTAAAATCTGAGTCGACTAAAAAAACACATTCCTTCTAAACTGAGCATCAAACTTGGGTTGGGTCCACTCCTTTGATCCGGAGAAACTCACGAGCAGGAAAGGAATGGAGAGCAGCAAGAGGATCCGCGTTATAGATGAAACCCGTGGTACTGAGGAATCATGTAGCGCGATCATGGTCTCGATCGAAGTAAAGAAACACAGTTAGCCTGAGACGACTGACAGATACAGTATGTAATATCACATTGGTTCAACAGAATGAAAGGACTGCTTCTATCAGACCTCCGAAGGAGAGTCAACTGTGCAAGGACGCAGTTTATGGAAAGTAGAGACAGCAAGGGATTAGTGGTAATCCTAAGACGATTTTCTGTGGGTCCTGACCGTTTCCCTTCCATTCCGCCCATTCCACCTCGCAGCGTCGTATTTTGATGACGATGGAGTGCATTTCAGAGTGGTGCATTTAGGAGCATGGGAAATCAGTGGCGCCGTCGCGTCACGCCCCCTGAGTTCCTCCCTCGCTCGGCAGAATGCCTGTTCCTATCATCTGTACTGTTTGGGCTTCACAAACTGCTATGTAGGGGAGAAAAATGCCGGCCAAAGGGGAGTTTCTAAGGGTTATACACGGTACAGCACGTTTCCATGCATTGCAAAACGGTTACAAAATAGATCTTCTCAGCCAGGGACGTTCATTGCGATTGCGCGTTCATTCGATTGCAACTTGCAAGTCAAGCTGGCTTTCATGGTGAATCCGAAATACTCGATATGGTTGCACTCGCTAACACGGGTTAAGCGGGGCAACTCCTCCAACACTCTGCAACTATGTGAAACACCATTCACTACAACACTCTGAATATCAAGTGGAAATTGTGTTACCCTAAAGTGCCTTGCCACCATGTAGTATCTTGGCTTTTCACAAATGCCACAAAATTTAGTTATGTTTCCACTAGTACTAAAACCTAATATTGCAATCAAGGCCTCTACTTCTTCTCCTCATACTCCGCCTCCTGAGCTCCTCCAGTCGAACCCCCTCCAGAAGAGGACGAGCTGCTGCCGCCACCCGCTTGCCTAGAGATAGCCTCTCCGATCTTGAGAGAGGCCTGCTGGGCGGCGGAGATCTTCTCCCGGATCTCCTCCAGATTCTCCTTTTCCAACGACCCCTTGAGATCAGCAATGGCCGCTTGCACTGCGTCCACAACATCCTGTGAATCGGGAACACACATGAACATTAAACAACAAGTGCGAGTATTCCAATGAGAATCGAGACAAGACTTAGGTGCCTCACAAGCAAGCCACTTGCACTGCCCCCACCACAACAAAATACAGAGACAAAATACAGAGACAACGGAGGTAAATAATCCACTCACACTGGGCACTCGCATTGGCCAGCTTGTCCTTGTGCTCGTTCAACGACCGTTCCCGCGTCGTTCCTCGCCTCAATCAGCACCAGCGTTTGAAACCCCACACAGGGGCATGGAATGCTGGGATTGTGCACTCACAGTCGGCAGCTTGTCCTTGTGGGATTCCTCGTTCAAAGACCTCTCGACAGAGTACATGGTGGTGTCTGCATCCTTCCGTAAGTCCCTACCCAATCATGCTCGCAACTTGAACTTACACTAGGCAGCTTGTCCTTGTGCTCATTGAGTGACCGCTCCACAGTGTACATGGTGGTGTCCGCGTCGCTCCTCGCCTCGATCAGCACAGACACACAGGACTGATGGGCCATGGACAGTGAAGCCTGAACTCACACTGGGCAGCTTGTCCTTGTGCTCGTTCAAAGACCGCTCCACAGTGCACATGGTGGTGTCATCATTCCTCGCCTCGATCAGCACCAACCTTTGAGACCTCACACCCAATCGCACGGGACACAGGGGCATGGAATGCTGGGACTCTGCACTCACACTAGGCAGCTTGTCCTTGTGCTCGTTCAAAGACCGCTCCACAGAATACATGGTGGTGTCCGCATCATTCCTCGCCTCAATCAGTGCCTTCCTCTCCTTGTCCTTGTCTGCATACTGCTCCGCCTCCCTCACCATGCGATCAATATCCGAGTCCGACAGCCCACCAGACGACTGCGAGGTGAGATAGGAGAACAGCAAAGAACAGGTGGGTATGGGGTAACAGGAAAGCGTTGAAACAAGGGAGTGCAAAAAGCGTCTCCTCTCCTTGTCCTTGTCTGCATACTGCTCCGCCTCCCTCACCATGCGATCAATATCCGAGTCTGACAGCCCACCAGATGACTGCACATGATGGTACGCAATACACAAGGGGGGGGGATTACAAAAATCAAGAGAGGTTAGCGCTTCTTCTCCGTGTCCTTGTCTGCATACTGCTCCACCTCCCTCACCATGATGTCCGAATCTGAGAGTCCTCCGGACGACTGCACATGATGGCATGGCACATGCAAGGGAAAGGTTATGAGAATCAAGGGGAGTAAGCGCCTTCCTCTCCTTGTCCTTGTCTGCGTACTGCTCCGCCTCCCTCACCATGCGATCAATGTCCGAGTCTGAGAATTCTCGTGACGACTGCAAGGTGAGATAGGAGAACAGCAAAGAACAGGTGGGTAGAGGGTAACAAGTAAGGGTTGAAACGAGGAAGTGCAAAAAGCGTCTCCCCTCCTTGTCCTTGTCTGCATACTGCTCTGCCTCCTTCACCATGCCACCAATGTGTGAATCCAACAGCCCGCCGAGCGACTACATGATTGGATGGACGGGGGATGACAGTGAACAGCCCGGTCGCAAGGTGACACGTTCATAACGAGGGGAAGCAAAAAGTAAGACTACAATCGCCTTCCCTTCTCCCCTCTCCTTCCATCCCTTCGCCTCTCCTCTCCGGTTCCCTTCTCCCCTTCCCCCCCCCCCCCCCCCCCCCCCACACCTGGATGGTAATGGCCTGCTCCTTGTTGGTGGCCTTGTCCTTGGCGCCCACATGCACGATGCCATCTGATATGGCAATGTCAGATCTCACTCTGATCTGAGGCAGCCTCAATCCCTCCCACCCCTCGCCCCTCACCCTCCCCCGCACCTGGATGGTAATGGCCTGCTCCTTGTTGGTGGCCTTGTCCTTGGCGCCCACATGCACGATGCCGTTGGCATCAATGTCAAACGTCACTTCGATCTGCGGCATGCCTCGGGGAGCAGGGGGGATGCCGACGAGGTCGAACTGCCCCAGCAGCTTGTTGTCTGCCGCCATCTCCCTCTCTCCCTGCAGCACCTTGATGCCCACCTGCGTCTGCCCGTCTGCCGCTGTGGAGAACACCTGAAACCGGAGGAGGGGAGAGCGGGGAGAAATCGGGGCAAAAAAGCGGCAGGAAACAGGGGGGAAACAGGGGAGGAGAGGGTGAGTGGCAGGGAGTGGCACGGAGTGGCAGGGAGTGGCAGGGTATGCGGCACGGCATGCCTCGGGGAGCGGGGGGGATGCTGACGAGGTCGAACTGCCCCAGCACCTTGTTGTCTGCCGCCATCTCCCTCTCGCCTTGAAGGACCTTGATGCCCACCTGCGTCTGCCCGTCTGCCGCTGTGGAGAACACCTGAAACCGGAGGAGGGGAGAGCGGGGAGAAATCGGGGCAAAAAAGCGGCAGGAAACAGGGGGGAAACAGGGGAGGAGAGGGTGAGTGGCAGGGAGTGGCACGGAGTGGCAGGGAGTGGCAGGGTATGCGGCACGGCATGCCTCGGGGAGCGGGGGGGATGCTGACGAGGTCGAACTGCCCCAGCACCTTGTTGTCTGCCGCCATCTCCCTCTCGCCTTGAAGGACCTTGATGCCCACCTGCGTCTGCCCGTCTGCCGCTGTGGAGAACACCTGAAACCGGAGGAGGGGAGAGCGGGGAGAAATCGGGGCAAAAAAGCGGCAGGAAACAGGGGGGAAACAGGGGAGGAGAGGGTGAGTGGCAGGGAGTGGCACGGAGTGGCAGGGAGTGGCAGGGTATGCGGCACGGCATGCCTCGGGGAGCGGGGGGGATGCTGACGAGGTCGAACTGCCCCAGCACCTTGTTGTCTGCCGCCATCTCCCTCTCGCCTTGAAGGACCTTGATGCCCACCTGCGTCTGCCCATCCGCTGCTGTGGAGAACACCTGAAAAACATATAAATTTTAGGAGGGGGAGAGGGGGAGATGAGAAGGGGGCGAGGAGGGGAGAGCAGGGAGAAATCGGGGTGAAAACGAGGCAGGAAACGGGGAATAAAGAGGGAGGAAGAGGAGAGGTGAGAGCGGTGGTGGGGCACGCGGCATGCCTCTAGGCGCGGGGGGGGGGGGAGGATGCCGACCAATGGTTGTAATCTAACTTGCGGCATACAATCAGGCAAAAGAAAGCACCGACATGGCTCTTCTTAGTGGGAATTGTAGTGTTGCGGTTGATGAGCATCGTGAACACCCCTCCAAGCGTCTCAATGCCCAGCGACAGTGGCGTCACGTCCAGCAGCAGAATGTCCTTCACGTCCCCCCGCAGCACGCCTTCTGAGGCGCCTCAAGAGGCAGAGAGATGCAGCGAAGGCAGGGGAGAGGCAGGGAGAGGTGGAGAGAAGCAGGAGGCACCGACCTGGCTCTTCTTGGTGGGGATGGTGGTGTTGCGGTTGATGAGCCTAGTAAACACCCCTCCCAGCGTCTCAATGCCCAGCGACAGCGGCGTCACGTCCAGCAGCAGAATGTCCTTCACATCCCCCCGCAGCACGCCACCCTGAATCGCCGCCCCCATCGCAACGCACTCGTCCGGATTCACGTTCTTGGACGGCTGCCGGCCGAAGATCTCCTGCACCACCTCTTGCACCTTGGGCATGCGCGACATGCCGCCCACGAGGATCACTTCGGTGATGTCCTTGGCTGATATGCCCGCATCCCTCAAGCAGTCCTTGCATGGCTGGCGAGTGCGCTCCACCAGAGGATTCACCTGGGCAGGTCAGGAGGAGAAGGGAGAAGGGGGACGGGGGCAGGGGACAGGGGGCAGGGGGAGGGAGGTGCAGGAAAGAGGGAGTGTGAGAAAGAGGGTGTTAAGATCTCCTGCACCACCTCTTGCACCTTGGGCATGCGCGACATGCCGCCCACGAGGATCACTTCGGTGATGTCCTTGGCTGATATGCCCGCATCCCTCAAGCAGTCCTTGCACGGCTGGCGAGTGCGCTCCACCAGAGGATTCACCTGGGGAAGGGAAGGGGTGGTAGAGGGGAAAGGGGACAGAAGGAGGAGCAGGAGAAAGGGGGTGAATTGTTTCCTCCTTGGCCGATATGCCCGCGTCCCTCAAGCAGTCCTTGCACGGCTGGCGAGTGCGCTCCACCAGAGGATTCACCTGGGGGGGTTGGGGGAAGGGGGGCGGGGCACAGGGAAAGGGGGAGAACGGCGGGGGAAGGAGGTGCAGGAGAGGGAGTGAGAGTGATTAGCCTTCTCCGCCACCCCCCTCAGCCGCTGCAACGGCTCTGACCCGCTCTGCCCCTGCTCTAACTGTCTGCTTCTTTTCCCAGCTTTGAAACTCACAAGCAAGAACGTACCAGAGTCTCGAACTTGGAGCGCGTGAGAGTGTAGCTCAAGTGCTTCGCCCCAGTAGCATCAGCGGTGATGAACGGAATGTTGATGTCCGTCTGGCTGGTGCTGGACAGCTCGCATTTGGCCTTCTCAGCTGCCTCCCTCAGCCGCTGCAGCGCCAGGCGGTCCTTGGTGAGGTCGATGCCCTGCTCCTTGCGGAACTCGTCCACCAGATGCTGGAGAAGGGCGTTGTCGAAGTCTTCTCCACCCAAGAACGTGTCTCCATTGGTGGCCTTCACCTGCCGACAGAAGGGGACAATGGAAACAAAAAAAAGGGAAAAGTGGAGGAAAATAGGGGAAAATCAGAGCTCAAACGGCCAAGGAACAAGCATGGGAGGCAGCCGCTGCAGCGCCAGGCGGTCCTTGGTGAGGTCGATGCCCTGCTCCTTGCGGAATTCATCCACCAGGTGTTGGAGCAGAGCGTTGTCGAAGTCTTCCCCTCCCAGGAATGTGTCGCCATTGGTAGCTTTCACCTGAAAACAAGGAGAGGACGGAAGAGCAGAAAAGAGGAGGAAACACGGAAGCAGAAATGGTCAAGGAACGAGCACAGGAGCAGGCAGGGAAGAAGCATCAAGCCAGGCGGGCCTTGGTGTTGCAGGAGAGAATAATCGAAGTCCTCTCCTCCCAAGAAGGTGTCTCGTTAGTTGCCCTTCTCCTGGCAAAAACGGTCCCCGCCACCCAGGTCAAACACGGCCACGAGCCCCTCCTTGCGGTCCATGCCATACGACAGGCTAGCCGCGGTGGGCTCGTTGATGATCCTCAGCACGACCAGCCCCGACATGCTTTTTGCTCCTCCCTAGCCCTTCCCTCCGTCACACAACGACGGACGCACCTCACACACAGACAAACAAACGCACCTCAAACACGCCGCCAGAGATGTCGAGGATAGAAATATCGAACGTGCCGCCGCCCAAATCGAAGACCGCAACCAGCCCCTCCTTGCGGTCCATGCCATAAGACAGGCTCGCCGCGGTGGGCTCGTTGATGATCCTCAACACGTCCAGCCCCGCAGTCTTCTTACTAGAGCGGATTGCACTCCCTCCCATTGCACTCCTTCCCTCAGCCACTCACAGAGAGGGAGAGAGCGACGTACCTCAAACACTCCACCAGAAATCTCCAAGATAGAAATATCGAAGGTCCCGCCTCCCAAATCGAAAACCGCGACCAGCCCCTCCTTGCGGTCCATGCCATACGACAGACTGGCCGCCGTGGGCTCATTGATGATCCTCAGCACGTCCAACCCGGCGATCTTGCCCGCGTCCTTGGTGGCCTGGCGCTGCGCGTCGTTGAAGTAAGCCGGGACTGTAATAACCGCCTTGGACACAGGGCGTCCTAAGTAGGCTTCGGCTGTTTCCTTCATCTTGCCCAGTACAAAAGCCCCCACCTGGGAAAGGGGAGAGCAAGAAAGCAGAGGGGAATGCAAGGGCCAAGGGGGGTAAGCCAGCCAGCAGGGTTCAGGGCGCCGTGGGCTCGTTGATGATCCTCAGCACGTCCAGGCGCGGCCGATGTCCAAGGCAGATAGGCACTTGTGGGAGAATTCGAACAGCCGGCCAGTGCCGACCCAAATAGGCACTTTCTGCTGATCGAATTTTTCTAGTTGGAGTTGGAAAGGGGAGAGTGAGCGGATGGATGGGATGGGTACGTAGGGGGGACGGGATGGGAAGTCAGGCAAGGGAATTACAGCAGTTGTGAGGGCTTGCTCATGATAAGCACGCTACTTACGTATCATCTACCGTTTCCTCTGCCGTTTCACCTGCCGTTTCATCTGCCGTTACAACTACCGTTTCAGCTCACCTGGCTGGGCGAGTATTTCTGGCCGCCCGCCTCCACCCACGCGTCTCCATTCGGCGCGCGAACAATGCTATACGGCACCATCTTAGCCTCCTTCTGCGTCTGGGGATCGTCAAACTGCATCCCATCCACCACCTTTCATTTGTCAATACAACTCCAGTTTCAACTTTCAACCCCCGTTTCATCTACCGTTTTGATGGCCTTTCAGCTCACCTGACTGGGAGAATACTTCTGTCCGCCCGCCTCCACCCACGCGTCCCCGTTAGGCGCGCGAACAATGCTATACGGCACCATCTTCGCCTCCTTCTGCGTCTGCGGATCATCAAACTGCCGCCCAATGAGCCTCTTAGTGCCGAAAAGGGTGTTGGTGGGGTTGGTCACGGCCTGTCGCTTGGCCGGTGTGCCAACGAGTCTCTCGCCCTTGGGAGTGAACGCCACGACGGACGGGGTGGTGCGCGCGCCCTCGGCGTTCTCAATCACGCGGGGCGTCTGAAAATGGGTTGGGAGAAGGGGGTAGGGCGGAGGGGAGAGGGGTAGAGGCGGGTTGGTCACGGCCTGCTGCTTGGCCGGAGTACCAACCAGCCTTTCGCCCTTAGGGAGTGGTGCGCGCACCCTCTGCGTTCTCAATCACGCGGGGGGTCTGGGGGCGGGAAGGGTGGGGTGCGGGGAACGGGCGGGTGCAAGAAGGAGTGAGAAGGAAGAGAGGATAGGGTTGTTCACGGCCTGCCGCTTAGCCGGAGTGCCCACCAGCCGCACGGCCTTGGGGGTAAAGGCGACAACGGAAGGCGTCGTACGCGTGCCCTCTGCGATCTCGATCACGCGGGGGGTCTGAGCGGAGCAAGAGGGAGCGGCAGGGACGGTCTGTGGGACACGGCAGAAAAGGAGTCCTGCGCGCTTCCTCTGCGTTCTCAAACGCAACTTCTCACCTCACTTTGTGTGATGCATAACAGCAAAGTGACATCGAGCAACATTGTAACGATGTGACTCTTGACTCGTTTCAGGCGCATCAGAACAAGATATAGGCTCAAAAATCCGATCTCACCTTGCCCTCCATGACAGCGACGCAGGAGTTGGTGGTACCGAGATCGATACCGATAACGTCGCCGCCCGCTGCGGAGCTGAACGGGAAAAACAAAGAGAACGGGCGAATTCCACAAACGGGAAGAGGGAGCGGAAGAGAGGGAAAGAGCAAGAGGCCGTGATCAGTACATGGAAACGAAAAGGAATGGCGGAATGCGCCACAACGGGGACCGGACGGTATGCTGCCGAAATTATCAACTGCCGAATTGCAGATTCAAATATGACAGTACCTGAAGGCTCGTGCGCCGTTGGTCCATCGGCGCATGATGGACGATGCGACGGAGGCCGCTGGTGACGCTGCAGCTACCTCCTGTGGTACAGACAATGCCGAGTAACGGAGACAGATCAGGTGGAATAATGGTCAGGTAAGAAAATGGAGTACGGAAGCACACGCAAGGAAAGAAAACCTAGACAGAAAACGAGGACTGCTAGAATGAATTCACCACTGGAAGAAGCATCTTAGACAACGGCAAGAGAGGAGCGATCGAGAGAAATTTGCAAAGTGAAGCATTCACCTTACATGCCGTACTACTCTCTTATTTTCAGCTACTTAATCTGAGACCCATTGATAAGCATAGTTCCACTTCAAATACTTGATCTATTAAACATTGTAAGCCTACTAAACTATTTTCATAAAACTGGTGAGGGTAGAGGAAGGATCTGACGTCAATCTGGTGTGGTGACGTCTGGAATCCCAGCTTGAATGATCTGACGTGGATCCGCAGAGATCTGATCTGGCACTTACTGCTGACTCAGGCAGAGCCCTCTGCAGGAAGCTCTGGGCCGCTGCTGACGTGGAGAAGCTCGCTATCGCGCTGCCGGCATTTCTATTGGCCGATCGGGCCAAAAGCCTCGCCGCTAAGTACGCCGCCATGGTCGGTCTCGCGAATCCGATACAAGAAGTTCGACTTGTAACGAGTCGACGATGGGATGATGGTGAGGTTCGTGGTTGGAACGGATCGGATCGACCGGTGACGGACGGTGGATGGGACGGGCTCAGATGATCTGACGACCAAGCGAGAACGAAGGAGCCTAGAGACCAGCAACGTGCGACTCGCGAAAGCCCTCGCAACAGCAAGAGAAAAAGGCCTCCCAAGAGACACCACAGCAAGAATGCAAGGCAAGGCGTGTGAGCTTGCTTTGTGGTCTCTCCGCTGCTGGGAGGTGAACGAGAGCCAAAACAGCTAGCGAGATTTGCGACACGCTGTACCAGGCTTTTTGTGGTTAGCGAGGAAACTCGTAATAAGGGTTACGGATTCTGGTTACGAGGACGTGAAATATCCCAAAGATGGCGGCGAAGCGCAGCAGCTTCTAGAAAGGTGAAACTCGCTGGATTCTTCGCTGCCATGCCCACAGCCACGGAGATTGCTGACGTGGGCTGCGATTCAAGGAACGGCGAAGGCCAAACGCTTCCAGCACAAGCAACCAACGTCATGACTAGAGAAAGTATTTACTAAAAGCGTTTGGATATAGGCGTTTCCACAAGGTTACCAAGGCAATTGCCCACCACTACTACTGATTAGGAGCATGGATTGTTGGATAGTGGTCCCAGAGGCTTGTGAGGAAACGGTAGAAAAGACTTTGTAATGCGCTTTTTGCACTGGTACCGTGTGCCTTCCCCTTATGCATTACAAGGCAAGCTTCAGTTTCAAACCAGGAGTTTGCCCTGTAGGGCATAAAACTAAATGAGCACTACCAAGTACAGATTATTGCAGTAACCTACCCTACTTGTATTCTAGAAGCATATTGTTCTCCGGTGCAAGACCAACACACGCGCGGAGAACATTCTCGAGCATCGCTCGTTGCTTGGCCAATGCATTGACGACAGGTGTGCCAGGAGGGACCTGCAGAGGACACGACATGACACATATGAGCAAGGTTCCGCACAGCAAAAATCAAAGCTCCATACTGCGAGAAACATACCAAGCCTGACATTGGTGTTGGTGTGCATGTGAGGCTTGGGAAAGCAAAAAAAGGAAAGAAGACACCGGCTCTTCCTCAGTATGCGTCGAGTAAAAACCACCATGGCTAACATGCCAAAGTGAGAGAGTGAAGAAACACATACCAGGGGTGCCTTGGAGAGGTAGCTCAGCAGAGACGCGACGGGATGGAATGAGTGGAACTCCTCCTCCTCCTCCCGGCGCAGCTGGATGCGGGTGAAGAGCTCGGCGAGTAGCACGAGGTCGAGGATGAGCGGGGCGGCAAGCAGCGAGTCCTCACATGTGTTGTGCATCACGATGGTGTTCCTGCCTCCCATGAAGATCTCTGATGTGTACTCGTCCATGGCCCGCTTGCTGTCGCCAACATACGGCACGTACTGCAGAGGAGGATATTAAAGGGGAGAAATAAGGGTAATGATAAGCTAGGGCGTTGGCCTTTGCTACACCCACACAGGGCACATACTGCAAAGGGATATTGTAAGGGAGACAATACAATGCGGAAGGGGGATGTTAAGCGGGGGAGGAGGGGATGAGGATTAGCTGCCCGGGTGTAACTTGGTTTATTGTAATGTGGTGATTGTGTCTCCTGGTTTCAGCCTATTGACCAGCTTTGCATAAGCATCGAGTGACAGAACTAGGGTGATGAAGAGATGATTAGAGTGAGGAAGGAGGTTCAATGAATGGGCAGATGGGGGTCGATAGGGGGGGTGGGCCAGAGAAGTCAGAGGGTGCGGGGAAGGAGGGCAGAATTAGTGGAATGGAGGGAAGGAGAGAGCGAGGAAAGGGGGGAACGAGAGACGAAGTGGGTGGAAAGGGGATTTGAAAGGACGGCTGAAGGAGGGAATGGTGACAAAAACAAGGAGCGGCGGGGGTGAGAAACGAAAAGGAAAGGAACGGGAAGTGGGGGGAGAGCGAGAGGGGGGTTGTGGGTGTGGGGAGGGGAGGGGAGCGGGGTGCTGGCCGTTGTCGTAGATGATGGCGTTGGGGGCGACCATGTCGTCCACCACGTTGCTCTTGGAGATGCTGGAATCACTGTTGAGGCGACTCAAAAGGGGGAGCGAAGGGAGAGACAGCAAGGGCGTACCTTGATGACGACGACGTGGTCGGGGTGCTGTCCCTTGTCGTAGATGATGGAATTAGAGGCCACCATGTCGTCCACCACGTTGCTCTTGGAGATCTCCTTGGACCGGAACGTCTGTGGCGCCGACAAGTTCATGCCGTCGTTGTTGCCCAGGTGGTTGTAGCTCACTATCGACATGGGCTGCGGGGAGAGGAGGGAGAGGAGGAGGGAGAGGGGACGATGCATGGGAAATGCAGGTCAGACGATTTGATAAATACCACATTTAATGGGTTGATGCCGTCATTGTTGCCCAGATAATCTAAACAGAGGTTGCAGGAAGAAAAGGGAGGGAAAGGGGTTGGGGAAGGGAAAGACGAGGGGTGTGCGGAGGGAATGAGAGGAGTTGCAAAGGACGACAAGACTAAGCCAGACAAAACCGTCACAAGGCTGATGAGTTGAAAACCCCGCCTGTCCCTGGCATATCAGTGTTTGCACCTGTTCGGCTGATACCAAGATTCTTCAATGAACACTCGTTGCAAGTGCTGAAACTGCTATCTGCAGCATCCTGCTACCACGTGCATCCGTGCTAGCCCTACAACCGCGTGTTTACTCTATCGTCCCGCTGTAGCCTACACATCCCCCCGACTAGCAGTCACCCTTGGGCCTGGAAGCGGCCTCTGTGTTGGTCCGCTATTCCCTCTCGCTATACCCTCACACTGACAGTCTTCCTGACTAACGAGTTGTTAGCTCACCAGCACGCTACCTTCATAAGTAAATAAAAGGTATTAATCGAAATTCGCCTAGACCACGTATGGAAAAACACCTTATTTCGACTCACTTGACCCATTATTCTAAAGCCTCTAAGCCAGGCTCACCTTAATTCCAGCGCTGACGAGGAAATCCACGAGAACGGACTTCATTTTCGTCTGCCCGGATTTGAAATCGTCTCCGCCAATCAGGCTATTGTTCTCCAGTGCGTATTCAATCAGCCCCGGAACAAACGTGTTCTGCGGGCTGCCGTTGATGAAAGGAACCTTTTCGTGGATGCACGCGGCGGCGTATAGCGTGGACGGGGAAATCTCGCGCTCGTTGCGCTCGATCGCGTTAAAGAGGTTCTCTTTTGTGTCGTTGAGGCCGGTGAGCACGTCGCTGTAGCGCTCTGTGTTGGCCGTCCAGAGAACGACGACGGAGTCCACGCCGCTCGTCTCCTTAAATTTCCTGCAGCAAGGTCAGGGAAAAAGAGAGTCGGAACCGAGAGACAAAATCAGGGAAAGAAGGCAAGGAAGATGGCATGTAGTGTCACAGTCAGGGTTGGGAGACGACGCGGGGGGTATGCATGTGGGAAGTGTCGCATACGAGAGGGGACGGCAGATGAGAGGAACGGATCAGGCGAGGACGACGGGAACTGCTGTCAGCTCTCGACGAGTATACTGAGTGGTGTAGAGAACTGAAAGAACGAACAAGTGATGAGGCGAACAAGTGAGCAGTCTATAGACAGCCAGTTCATTTCAGCACTAACCTGATATCCTGAATGATCTGCTGCATCTGCTCCTTCTTTGTACCCTTGATGACATTGTTAGCGCGAGCCTCCTGATTCGAGGCGATGAAATCTGGGTCGTAGATCCCAGGAAGGGGTGTCATGTCCTTCATGTGGCTGTAGAGCTGCTTCTGCAGATCGATGTCCAGAACCTTTGCTCTGGCCATGGCGTCAGCCAGGTTCATGCTCGAAATGTCCCAGCCGCCGAAAACAACATCATTCGGATCAACCTGGAGGGCGAGCAACAGGATAAGAGAGACTGAGCCAACTAGAAGACTTGAAGCATTCTGTGAAAGACCACTAAACTCTAATGCACTCCGTACGCGGCTTTTCTTACTCGTGGTCGGGACTAAAAAGTGCGTGGGTGGCAATGTCAATACACACCATCGGGAGCAGGCTCTTGAAAGGGACGTAGATCTCCTCGCCCTTGTACGAGCCGACACGGCAGGTTGACGCCTGGGTGACCGAACCGAAGTAGTTAGCAACTTGAATGCCATCTTTTGTCAGCCAGGAGATTCCTCTGCAAAGCACATTGCCAAGCATAAGGACTTGTGTTCAGACATGGTTTGCATGAGACTGGAGGTTGAGAGGTGGATGGTCATATGTTAAAACAAGGCCACAGATGGGGATTGTTTACTAGTGAACTTGATGAGGCGTGACAAGCGTAGACGGTATCCCTTACTCTCTGTTGGCGATAACTCCAGCTGTCAAGGTGGATCCGTTATTGCCTCCCCAGCCGACGAGCATAACGCTGCGGAAAACAAACAGATAATAAGCAACATTAGCGAAATACCTTAACGTAAGAGCTAATGTAGTTGCGACAGAAACAGGGCTTACCCTAACTTCGGGACTTTAGTCTGCGTCTTGAATTCATATTGCTTGCTGACTGGCTTAACCGTCCAGTCGAACTTCCCATCCCTGACAGCACACTCTAGGTCCGTAGTCTGGTACGTATATTTCGAGGTTATGTACTCATCACCGTAAACAACATCTGGGCTCGCGACCTTGAAGCTTTCGACCAACATATTGGCGGCTCGAGTAAGTATTTATACAGCCTACGGACACTTGCTACTGCAAAGCGGGGACTCAGGAACAATACAGCCTGGACAAGCTCTAGAGAGAAACGGCAGCTTCTCGTAGAGTTGCTTCGAAGCTAAGCAAGAGTTGTAGAATGAGCAGCCAAGAATCACCTTAGAACGAAAGCACGAGGCAACAAATGACCAGCCTGAGCTGTTGCCAAACCACTTTTCTTTCATTCTCAGGGCCTCGTGGGGCCTTGGTTCCCCGTACAGCTCATTGCTGAGGGCCCTTCCCCTCCGCTCGCTCAAATCCAGCCACACGGGAAAGTTCGCAGGGGGGCTGACCTCAGAAGCGGATTACAGGGGAGGGGCGATCCGGCCGGGGGATTTGGGTTGTGGAGGGGGGAATTAGGCGGGGACGGCGGGACATCGGAATGGAGTGACGGGGCCGTTTCATTGGTTCCGCAAGACAATGAAGCTACCCCCGCCTCCCTTCATCATTCCCCACCAATCACCCTGCAGAACAGACGCGCTGGCGGACACTTGTGTCGTGGGGTGGGGGGTCAGAGGGAGATTTGCCGTGCGACCTGAGGTAGAGGGATGGCGCATCTGCGATTTGAGCAGAGCCCCCCCACTGCCTCGCGAAAGCCCACATCCCAGTTGATGGGGGAAGAATGTCCAGAAGGGTTTCTGGCGGCTGACGAACCTCGAGAGTGGCCAGAAGTTGCCGCAATCCCTCCAAGCCATCATCGTGAAATCCTGACCGTAGAGTGTTCTCCGAGATACACTGCTGTGTAGCCAGCGATTGTGCCACGTGATCACTAACGTAAAAAATATTTAGGCGCCAAATTTCCTTACCTCGTGTAAATCGAACGTCTCTCATTGGTGGGCTTTGTCATGGCCGTGAAAAATTCCACGTTCGTGCAAACCCCCATGCCTCCAGCCATCTGGGAAGACTGTCATTGTAGCAAAACTCCGCTATTGTTTGTCGTAGGATTAAAGCACAGAGTGATGCTAACAGGGTACATCTTTTATATAAATAAAGCGTTTTCTGTAGGTACTGGTGCAGCTCTGACTAATGTGTGGAATTTTAACATAATGAATGCATGGAAGTAGGTACATTGATCTAAAATATGTTCCTGTAAAACATCCTAAAAGAAACATGATAAAAGTATTTGAACCATCACAAAGGTATAGAAAGTTGGTATCTATATTTAAATACGCTGCATGAGAAAGCATGCGAAACAAATACATTCATCAACATCACAGCATAAATTTTATTTTCTAGCTTTAAATTGTAAGGAATTTTCTCGAATTCCTTATCGGGGTTGACTACTGCGCGTACAACCCGATTTTCGGAGTTCGCACGTTCGGGCGATTTCCACGCTGCCGAAGCTCCTCGCGTCGCTTTCGGCATTTCCATCGCCAAACCTGCACCCAACCTCGCTCACCCGAGGTTTCCTCCTAGCTAGGCTAGCCCTACATTAGTCTGTGCATTCATTGTATTCCGAATTCATTCAGTCACAGTCTCGTTATTCGTTTACCTGCGTACTCTCTTTTACAACTCATAACACCTGGTATCAGAGCTACTTTCCTAGTTCACCCCGCTTTTCAAGGGTAGTTTGGTGGCATAGGGTGTGGTTGGTTTAGTGACTACACGACGGTTGGCTGCAGAGGTTGTTAACTCAACCCTGCCCGACTCCGATAGTTCGTGTTTTCACTTGCCGGGCGGCCACGGGTACCCAACTGCCCACCAGACGTAGTGCTAGAAACATGGATCAGGAGGCTGTTAACCGACTGATGGCGCAAGTGGCAGAAATGGCGAGGGGCATGGAATCGCTGCAAGCGGAAGTGACAACACTGAAGGAGGAAAACGCCGAGCTACGCCGGACGCGAGGTGAAGCGCGTCAGACGTCGCCTGTGGACGAAGGCGAGGGCAACAGTCAAGTGATGGGCAATCCTCTGGACGAGCTCACACGCGACTTCGAAGAAGAAGATAGGCAGCGAGCGGCGGCAGCGCCAGTTGCAGTTACGACGATCAAGATCAAGCCCGTCAACCCGCCCCCGTTTAATCCTACGGACAAGACGACTACAGTGAAGGGGTGGCTGTTCGGGGTTGAGGTTTTCTTCACTGCAGCCGGAGTTAATAACGATGTCACGCGCATTAATTACGCAGTCTCGCTTCTTCGAGGTGCAGCACTTGAATGGTGGCGCCGGACCTTGGAAACAGGGACGCCGACAGGTGTGACACATGCGGCAGACGGGACCTCTACAGTGGTTAATCAAGTTGCAGAACCAATCTTCGGTGTGACCAAGATACGCACATGGAAGGAGTGGGGCGCAGCCTTACGGGATCGCTTCGAGCACGTATCCGCCTCGGAGCAAGCTCGCATGAAGCTGCGTGCATGGTCGCAGATGGGATCTGTCCAAGACTACACGGCGTCATTTATGGGCCTCGCCGACCAGGTCGATGACATGTCGGAAGCTGAGCGGTTGGATAAATACGTGAGCGGCCTTAAATACGAGATACAGTTTGAGGTTCGTCGCAGCCGCCCGACATCGTTCCTCGAAGCAGTACGCGTGGCAGAGTCTACTGATGCGCTGATGCAGTACGCGAGAACGGCTTCCAGGGATGGGAGAGGTTTTCGTGGCCAGACCCATCGGGCCACAATCAACGCCGTCCATACACCCGACCGCCCTCCTAAGGGTCAGTGTTTCCGGTGTGGGAAGGTGGGTCACTGGAAGAACGAATGCAAGGAGAAAATGCCGCTGACAGAGAACGACAGGAAGGAGCAGGGAAATGGGAAGAGTCAGTAAGTAACGGGCCCTTTACTGACTATGCTCCGTCGCCCGAACACCACCATCCCCACCGAGTCGTGGTTCCGATTCATGCAATCGATCGCACTCGGCCGAATAACGGGGATAACCATGTGGATCACCCTGTGCTGGTCGCTGGCAAGGTGGGGAAACATCATTTGAAAATGTTCGTCGATGGAGGGGCCAGCCATAGCCTCTTCAACTTGGCGAGCGCAAAAAAATGCAACATGCAACTTGACAGGTGTCTGCCCGAAATCGACGCACGACTCGTGGATGGGACGCCTCTGGCGATAACGGAAGAAACACGGACGGTGCGGATCGAGTGCTGCAAAGATTTCGGCTTCAGCATGAAGTTCCTCGCGACGACGCTGGATGGCTGCGACGTGCTGCTGGGACGCGATTGGCTGCGACGACACAACCTCGTCATCGACTGGACAACGGGAGCGTGCTGCGTCAGCAAGCACGAGGGGCTAATTAAGTTGCCTGCATGGACACCTGAAAACATACAAGCCCCGTGCGTCAAAGCCATCACCATCGCCCACCACTTCAACAGGGGTGCGCAGCTGTTCGCCGTCTGCTTGCGCGAGTTGGCAGTCGACACCGACGGAAAGGACATCGAAAAGCTGTGTGCAGCTGTTCCTCCGGATTTAGCGGAGCTGATTCGACGGTACCCCGACATCTTCTCGGACGATCTGCCACCTGGGCTGCCACCCGAAAGACCCGAAGACCATAAAATCCAGCTGGAACCTGGCGCGCAACCTACTGTTCGGACACAGTGGCGGTTGACCCAGCCGGAACTCGAGGAACTACGCCGACAAATTGTTGCACTGTTGGAGAAAGGCTTCATTCGGCCGAGCACCTCCCCGTTCGCGGCACCGATCCTGTTCACTCCAAAGAAGGACGGCGGGCTTCGCATGTGCATCGATTATCGCGCGTTGAACAGGGTGACCATCAAGTCTCGCTACCCAATCCCACGCACCGACGACCTCCTCGATCAACTTCGCGGCGCTCGCTACTTCTCGAAAATCGACTTACGTGGCGGTTACCACCAGATTCGGGTCTTCGCCGACGACTGTCACAAGACCGCGTTTCGTACACGCTACGGGAGTTACGAATTTACAGTGATGCCTTTCGGCCTCACGAACGCGCCTTCGACATTCCAACTGACCATGAACAGGGTTTTTCGCGATCTTCTAGACCGATGTGTCATCGTCTATTTGGACGATATCCTGATTTTTAGCAAGACACGGGAGCAGCATCTCCGCGACCTGGACGCAGTATTTAAACGGTTGCAGGAGAACCGCCTCATCACCAAGGGCTCTAAGTGCGAGTTTTTTAAGCAGGAGTTGGAGTTTTTAGGGCACGTCATCTCCCGCGACGGCATTAAAATTGACCCGGCGAAGATTAAAACCATACAGGAGTGGAAGGCCCCGACTAATGTCACGGAGCTTCAGAGTTTTCTGGGGTTCGTGAATTACGTCCGGCGGTTTATCCCGAATATGGCGGGGATAACCGGCCCGCTGACCGACCTGCTGCACAAGGACAAGAATTTCGTGTGGGGGGAGGAAGCAGAGGTGGCTTTCCAGGAGCTCAAGAATTTTCTCGTTTCCCCTCCTGTGCTGCGCATCGCCGACCCATCGAAGCCGTTCGAAGTCGTAACCGACGCCTCTGATTTCGCCATCGGAGCAGTGCTTCTCCAGGATTTCGGGAACGGGCTGCGACCGATCGCCTACGAATCACGCAAGCTGCAAGCTGCCGAGCGCAACTACCCGATCCACGACAAGGAGATGCTCGCCATAATCCACGCGTTTAAACTGTGGCGATGCTACCTGGTGGGCGCCAACGTCACTGTGCGCACGGACCACAAGTCCCTACAGTACCTGCGAGCTCAACCGAACCTTAACCCGCGACAAATTCGGTGGCTGGATTACATGGAGAGCCACTTCACCTACCGCATCACGTACAAGAAAGGGGCGAATAACATCGCCGACGCCCTGACCAGACCGACCGTACAATCCGCTGCTGTACTGATCACCCATTCGAACCCGCTACTTACAGGACTATTCACCCACGGCTACACTACGGACCCGTTCTTCACGACAGGAAATCATCAGCAGGCCACGACGCAGAAGGGGGATTATTACCTAAAAGCCGGCACCGACAGGATTTGGGTCCCCGCTTACCGGCTACTGCGTGAACTTCTCATCCAGGAGGTCCACGATTCGAATTACTCCGGACACTTCGGGGTTGATAAAACCCAGAAATTACTGCACCGTCAATATTACTGGCCCGATTCTTCTAACGATGTGCAGCGTTATGTGTCCTCATGCAGGGTGTGCCAAGCCATGAAATCGACACGTCAGCGACCAGCTGGGCTGCTGCAACCCCTCGAGCCACCCGAACGACCGTGGCAACAGGTGACGATGGATTTCGTCACGGGGATGCCAGCTGGGCCGTCCGGCAACGACGCTGTCCTCGTCGTTGTCGATCGCTTCACGAAAATGGCGCACTTCGCACCATGCCGAACGACGATCACAGCCGAAGAAACTGCGCGCCTCTTCATCTCAACGGTCGTGCGACTACACGGCATCCCTTCGGCGATCATCACCGACCGGGACCCGAAGTTTACATCCAAGTTTTGGAAGGAAACATGGGCGCAGTACGGCACGAAGCTACAGTTCTCATCGGCCTACCACCCACAGACGGACGGACAAACCGAGCGAACCAACCAGACGATGGAGCAGCTGATACGGACAAACTGCCCCGACCCCGCACGATGGGAAGATTCCCTCGCCATGTTGGAGTTTGCCTTCAACAACGCACCATCGAGCACGACTAATCACTCCCCGTTCTTCTTGAATTACGGGATGGATCCGACGGTGCCCACGGCAACTTCGCTCGACAACCCGGTCCCGCGATCACAAACTTTTGTGACGGAACTTCAGCACATCCGCGAGAAAGCAGCAGACGCAATTCGCAAAGCGAATATTACTTCCCGCAAGTACACCGACCTCCTACGCCGGGAACTCGTCTTGACCACTGGGCAATTAGTGCTCCTCGACACGAAGAACCTGCATCTGCCCGGCCCATCGAAGCTACGGCCCCGATTTTGCGGACCGTTCAAGATTATCAAGATGGTGACACCTGTCACCGCGAAGCTGTTACTACCGGACGACTGGCGAATTCATGACGCCTTCCACGTCAGCCTGCTTCGCAAGTTCGTGCCAGCCACGACCGACATCGCACGTCGGCAAAGTCGCCGTCCCGACAGCTCGACCTGTCCCGGAGCCGACACTCGATCCATCGAAGATTCTCGCTCATCGGGTTCGACTTGACGCAGCTGGCCGACACGTGGACTTCTTAGGCTGGACTGATCGCACCAGTGAGGACGACACGTGGGTGCCATCCGCCTCGCTCGACGCCTCGCCACTTGTTGGTGATTATTTGGCACGCAAGCGTGTTTCGGATATTGACCGCCTTTCTTAAGGGGGGGGTGGTGTAAGGAATTTTCTCGAATTCCTTATCGGGGTTGACTACTGCGCGTACAACCCGATTTTCGGAGTTCGCACGTTCGGGCGATTTCCACGCTGCCGAAGCTCCTCGCGTCGCTTTCGGCATTTCCATCGCCAAACCTGCACCCAACCTCGCTCACCCGAGGTTTCCTCCTAGCTAGGCTAGCCCTACATTAGTCTGTGCATTCATTGTATTCCGAATTCATTCAGTCACAGTCTCGTTATTCGTTTACCTGCGTACTCTCTTTTACAACTCATAACATAAATGTTTCGAGTATACAGAACATGGAATGCTGAAGTTTCCCGATGCTTCGTCAATACAGTACAAGGTGCAAGAAATTCGCACGTCGGCTGCGAATCAGCATGCGGGAATTGCTCTCAAATGCGTCGTGTCGCTTCTAGAATACCCATGTGGCCTCGCCAGGTCAGTCGCCACGTCGCTAACGAAGGTTCAGAAAGATCGCTGACTCGGCAATCTCGAGAAAGATCTCTTTCCTCTTCAGTCCCACCCGCCTTTCTGACTGCACCTGGCTTGGACTTGCATTCACAAATTAGCTCTACCACGCATTTCGAAATAAAAACCAGCAAGATATCAGAATTTCTGCTTTGATTAGAACACCAGCTCTTCTCGCTATATTTCATTAGACTAGTCGTTCGGATCTGCGCTCGGCTGTCAACAGGTGATTGTCTCACAGTTTCATTCTTCCGGTTTAAGCTGCTGTTGTGATTCCTATGGAGGAGGACATGGACTTCAACGCCAGCGGCGAGATGCCTACGGACATCCCGATGGGGGGGGACGAGGAGGACGAAGCTACGTACGCTCCGCAGGCGGAGGGAGAGGAGAAGGATCTGACCAGCGATGGCGGAGTGAAGAAGCTGATTGTCAAGGCCGGCGACGGCTGGGACAAGCCCGAGGCTGGAGATGAGGTGTCAGGTGAGGATTGGATATTCGATCTGGCTTAATCTAGGATCGAGTAGGGTGTACTTAGTAGTTTGATTCGTATGAATTTATTGTAGATGTTCGCTTCTTCTGTTTTCATGCCGTCTTTTATTGTGTCGAGTCATGGTTTAAGTGCTCAACTTTTGTTCCATCATGCTGTCTTTTGCCGGGTCTCGATTATTTAACCTTCTCCGCTATCTCTCGTCTCTCTCCCAGTTCACTACACCGGAACCCTTTTGGACGGAACCAAGTTCGATTCCAGTGTCGACAGAGGAGAGCCGTTCAACTTTAAGCTCGGGCAAGGCCAAGTCATCAAGGGATGGGACAAGGGAATCGCATCCATGAAGAAAGGCGAGAAGGCCGTGTTTACAATCAAACCCGAGTACGCTTATGGCGAGGCTGGGTCTCCGCCGACGATTCCGCCGAACGCGACGCTGAAATTCGAGGTGGAGCTGCTGTCGTGGATCAGCGTGAAGGACATCTGCGGTGATGGCGGCGTGTTCAAGAAGATTCTTGTGGAGGGCAAGAAGTGGGAGACGCCCAAAGACATGGACAAGGTCACAGGTACGCCTCGCTGCGCGAAAGGTCACAGGTACGCCTCGCTGCGCGAAAGGTCACAGGTACGCCTCTTCGCCCAAAGGGTCACAGGTACGGCTTCTTGAGATGACTTCGGAGCTGTGTCGAAAGTGTTGTTGATGGTTCTGAATTAGTGGAGGGCAAGAAATGGTAGACGCCGAAAGACATGGACAAGGTTACAGGTACGTCTTTCTGCACGAAAGTGCGAAAGCCCACAGGTAGACGCGTTCGTGAAGAGACGCGAGAGTTCCTTGATATAATCAATCCCGAGTAGGCTTATAGCGAGGCTAAGACTGAAGTATTACACCTCCTCGTCTCAATCCGCTCTTCTCCTCGTGCGTGCAGTGAAGTACGAGGTGCGGTTACACGACGGCACGGTGGTAACCAAGACTGGCGACAACGGCGAGCAGTTTTACCTCAAGGACGGCCACTTCTGCGCGGCTCTCCCGCGCGCCATTAAGACGATGCATCAGGGGGAGAAGGTTCTGCTCACCGTGAAGCCTCAGTGTGAGTGTTCCTTTTGAGCTGCTACAGAGTTGCTTTTGCAGCTGTGCAGTCGATGCGCCAAAGGACGTGCTCACAGTGAAGCATCAGTGTGAGTGTGACTGCTCACTGAGTATCGTCTTGTTGCCTGCTGCTCTCGCCCCGAGTGTTATCGTTGTCTAAAGCTCTTTCTGTCAACCGTAGCCTGACCTAAATCAAAATTGTCTCGTGTTTTTATGCTTCCCTGAGTGGCAACAGACGGTTTTGGAGAAGCCGGCCGTCCAGAGACTGACGGCCAGCCGGCAATTCCGCCGAACGAGACGCTGAGCATCGACCTGGAGCTGGTGGGGTGGAGAAAGGTGGAGAAGGTTACAGAGGACGGGAAGGTCATGAAGGAGGAGATCGAAGCTGGGGAGGGTTATGAACGACCAAACGACGAGTCGGTGGTTAAAGGTGCGTGCTCTGGTTGTGTTTTGTGTTGGTGAGTCGTCCACTCTTGCTGAGTATTCGAGTGGCGGGTTCTGAGTGAAAGGTGGGCGTTGCAGTAGTGGTAGCTGGGGTTGGCTGGCGGGGCTGGGATGGGTTTGGCTGGTTTGGGCTGGGCTGGGTTGGGTACGAGTGTTGGATGATGTGTTGGCATCAACGACGTGCGTGCAGCACGTGGTATACCATACAGGGCGCACGTGGAGATCAGCCCGCGACTCATGCCCATTTGCTGCTCGTGTGTGTTCCCGTCTGTTGTTCTGCTACCAGTGCGCTACACTCTACGGCTCACGGACGGGACGGTGGTGGAGGAGAAGGGCATGGGCGATGGGGAGGACCCATTTGAGTTCACCACTGATGAAGGTGAGTGGGGCGTTTCAGAATAAAGTTGTGAAAGAATGCGATGATGTTGTCACGGGAGGGTCACAATCAATCTGTAGTTTACACGCAAAGTGGCAGATCTTGAAAGCCTCAATCGTTTCCTTTTCCCATTTTGCCACATCCTCCACTCTCCTCTCCACATTCGCCCCGTGTCTCGCTCTGCTGTGTCCAGTCAGCATGGTTGTTAAAACCATGTAGGAAGGGCTCACTTTACCGAACTAAACCTTGTTGTTTTGTCAAAACCATTGCATCCCTTCCTGCTTCACATCAGAGCAAGTCGTGCCTGGGCTGGACAAGGCAGTGATGAAGATGAAGAAGGGCGAACTCGCCACCATCACCATCGCCCCTGAATACGCCTACGGCTCCGAGGAAAAGACCCTGGAAAAGGGCACGGTCCCGGCTAACTCCACTCTGGTGTATGAGCTTCGGCTGGTGGAGTTTATCAAAGATAAGGAGTCTTGGGAGCTTGGGGATGAGGAGAAGGTCGCACACGCGGCGAAGAAAAAGGAGGAGGGTAACGTGCTCTTCAAGTCCGGAAAATACGTCCGGGCAGCGAAGAAATACTCCAAGGCGCTGAAGCTGATCGAGTACGACACACAGTTCAAGGACGAGGAGAAGAAGGCGTGCAAAGTGCTGAAGGTCTCGTGCGGGTTGAATGAGGCGGCATGTCAGCTGAAGCTGAAGGATTACCCGGCCGCAGTGAAGCTGACGAGTAAGGTGCTGGAGCTGGAGGGGACGAACGTGAAGGCTCTGTATCGGCGCGCTCAGGCGTATATGGGCACTGAGGACTATGACCTGGCGGAGTGGGACGTGAAGAAGGCCCTTGACCTCGACCCGGAGAACAGGTGAGCATGTGGGTGAAGCGTGGGTTTCTCAATGTATGATAGCAGCAGGCAGAGGCAGTCACAGGTAGGTTGCTTGTCAGCTGAAGCTGAAGGATTTCCCGGCAGCGGTGAAGCTGACGAGCAAGGTGCTGGAGCTGGAGGGGACGAAAGGCTCTGTATCGGCGTGCCCAGGCGTATATGGGGACTGAGGATTATGACCTGGCGGAGTGGGATGTGAAGAAGGCTCTTGACCTCGACCCTGAGAACAGGTGAGACTCTAGGGGTATGAGTTTACTAAGTGACAAGGTGCAGCGTTGTATCAGCGTGTCCAAGCGTATATGGGCACGAGGGATTAAGACTGGGTGGAGTGGGATGTGTGAAGAAGGCTCTTGACCTCGACCCTGAGAACAGGTGAGACTCTAGGGGTATGAGTTTACTAAGTGACAAGGTGCAGCGTTGTATCAGCGTGTCCAAGCGTATATGGGCACGAGGGATTAAGACTGGGTGGAGTGGGATGTGTGAAGAAGGCTCTTGACCTCGACCCTGAGAACAGGTGAGACTCTAGGGGTATGAGTTCACTTAGTGACAAGGTGCAGCGCTGTATCGGCGTGTCCAAGCGTATATGGGCACGAGGGATTAAGACTTGGTGGAGTGGGATGTGTGAAGAAGGCCCTTGACCTCGACCCTGAGAGCAGGCGAGCGCAGGGTGCTGAGTCTGCCTAGTGGTAAGCTGCAGCGCTGTATCGGCGCGCCCAGGCGTATGGGATGTGTGAAGAAGGCCCTTGACCTCGACCCTGAGAACAGGTGAGACCCTGGGGATCTTGATGTCAACTTGACAGGCATGTGGCTGTATGGGATGGGCGCGCCCAGGCGTATGTCATGGAGGATTATGACCTGGCAGAGTGTGATTGTATTGAAGGTACTGACATGTTTCCCTTGTTTTCATTCCCGTGTATCCCCTACCAGGGACCTGAAGCTCGAGTATCGGCAGCTGAAGCGCAAGATTGCAGAGCAGAACCAGAAGGAGAAGAAGATATATGGCAACCTCTTCGCACGCCTGCATAAACTCGAGGAGAAGGAGGGCGTGAAGCGCGCAGAGGGGACTCCTGCTGCTGCTGCTGCGCCTGCCGATGGTGCTGCTACGGCTGCAGAGGGGGGAGATGTGATGAAAGAAGATGTGCAGAAGGCTGATGAAGATGTGAAGGAGGGTGGAGAGGCTATGGCAGCTTAGACAATGTGTTTACTGTACGCTTGTGGAAGTAACTGCATGCATTGCCATGTGGTGGGTGGGGGGGTTGTTTCTAGATGCCCACTTGTTAAATGGAAACTTGTAAAGTGGGAGCGCATCCACGTGCAGAAATGAATTGCACATTCATTACACCGATGATGTATCATGGGTATGTAACAAACAGAGAGTTTGAGTCGTCCATATATCGTACAATGGAATTAGCAAGCTCTTACTGGAAGTATGGCGCAGAGTGCAACGGCAAACGAACATCTCATGGCGAAAATTCAAGCACCATGCTTGCACGTATCACATATGCAGTGTTGCATGCAGAGTCAGGAATTAAGTTGTTTAGCTGTAATGCTCAATTTAGGCCGTGAATAGTTTTTTTTTTTTGATATCATATACATTACAAGAATGTACAGACATCGGCAGTCGTAACTGACATAGGGAGGGGAGCGCCACAATAGCTAGTATCGCAGATCCCCTCTAAGACAGCTACGGCGGTTGGTGAGTCATGCTGGGGTTGTCCCAGATTGAGCTGAAGCTGATCTTCCACGTCAGCGGTACACCGCTGCTGCACATACGTCGCATCACCGTCCCCTCGTCAGCTGCCAGGTGTGTCCAGCCACCATCCAGCGTTTGCCCTCTCTTCCTTGCTGTCGCCTCGCGCGCCAAGCATTAGACCCTTGCATGTGCGACGAAATTTATCACCGCCAGCCGAGCCACCCTCCCAGCCTGGAACGTCTCATTCCTCCACGCCGCGTTACACCTTGCCAGCCATATTTGCTGTAGAACAGTTGCAATCCACGTCCCTTCCGGAAAACCCGTCTTCGTGCTTCTTTGCATGAAGAGCAGATCTTCGAGGTCTTGCCACGCTAGCCCCGGGTTCATTGCCACCAACCCTCTCCTCAGCAGGTCCACCACCGGCTGCACTGCAGGGCAACCGAGGAGGCAGTGGTCTGGGGTTTCTTCACCTCGGCAGTGCGGGCAGACCACACCCATGAAAAACAGCCTCGATCCCACTTGCAGGTTTCTACAGTGGAGCCTCAGGAGGACTTCACGTGCCCGCCGTGGCGTAGCAAGGGAGTCCCTCTGCGTGATGACCCTGTCCCACTCGATCACTCTTCTCTGCCCTTCCCACCTCCTTTGACTCTCCTGCCTGCCAGCCGAGCTTGCCAACACTTCCCTTATCCCTCTCAGTGAAAGCAGCTCCCCACCCTCGCATGCCTTTGACAGCAGCAGCTTCGTTCGCACGTCGCCCATGGCCCCCAAAAACACACAGCCTTCCGTGAACATCGGCACTCCGCTACGAAGGCTAAAGTCCATCGTGAGGCTCCCCGCGTAGGGTGTGAACTTTCTGCCATCTTATATGGTGCACAACCTCCCAGACACTTTGTCTCCTTTCGCCTCCTCGACCCGCCAGTAGGTAAAGTTCCCAGTCGCGCCGTTGTTCGCCCGTAAAAGCTTCACCGTGGCCACAACTTCCTCGCTTGACAGCTTTGTTAACACCATCTCCTTCCAGCTTGTAGGTACCGCTTTAAATGCCCGCAGCGCCCATTTCGCTTTGTCTCTGTTCCCCAACTCCCTCGCCAGCTCCTCTAACCCCTTGAGTTTGCACGATCCGTCCAAAGCCTTCTTTATCAGATCCCCCACGCGGATTCCCAGCAGCACATCCGTTCCCTTCTGGTTCCCGAAAGGGCTTGTGCCACTAAAGGGGATACTCGGGTTGAACGCCAGGTGCTCCTGCTCCACTTCCCAACGGTTTGCCGGCATGCGCGGCTTGCAAAACGGCGAGCCCCAGAATTTCTCGACCAGCTCCTTCCAACGTGCACTTCCCTTCACCCAGTGGTTCAACAACGATTTGTGAGCGAAGATGGTGTCCAGCCCCAGTGGCATGTCGGCCGCCTTCTCCGCCAACTACTTCTTGACTGAGTCCGACTTCAGCACCAGCCGGCAGACATTCCGGATAGCTATACTGTCGAATCTCAACTCGGGGCAAAGCAGCCCCAACCCCCCGTCCTCCCGAGGCGTGCAGGCCAGCTTGTAGTTCCAGAGGATGAAGCGCTTTAGGCCGTGAATTGTTGTCACATATGGTGTACAAAGGTAAGATGTCACCGCGCGACCCGCAAGGTTGATTATGTCGAAGACATTTGATGGCGAAATCTGGCAAGCACGTGGGTCCCCAAGATTGTTCATTCACGGTCCGCATTTCGTCTGACGGGGGATAACTTCCCCGCTGACTTGGTGCCACGTTTCACCGGAATCACGCGGTTACCAGAGGGTAAGCTGACTCCTTTTATCCCCAAGAGCCGCAAAAGCTGTGGAAGCTGTTTCGTGCATTCGCTATTCCCAGAATCCCCGCCACTCTCGTCCGCGTGACATGACAAGCATGACATAAGGGCGTGTGTGATATTTTTTCGAACTTTTAGAACGGTTTTACACGGTAATATATGATTAAGAGATATTTTGCCACGATTCAGAGCGGTTTGAGTTCGAACTTTGGAGGTTTTCCAAAAATCACACACGTCCTAATGCGCGTTTCAGAACAGAAGCCTGTGGCTGCGCTCTGGACAACCCACCGTTTCGAGGTGGTTGGGGAAAGAAGGCTCAGGGATTGCCGCCGAACTCCCCTACCATCACCGTTTCTTCGTGAAACGACGACGCTCGAGACCTCGACGGAAGGGTAACCATCACCAGCGAAGCAGACCCGTATTCGCTCGGCCCTGGTTCGCTCCTCCGCTCCCCCTTCCAGATTCTTGCTCCTACAAATGCTCCACTTCAGTGTCTGATTCTTTGTCATCCAATCCACTCATTACCTTATCTTAGTAGTCTCCTCTGCGTGTTCTGCTCTGCTGCTTCTCGTGAGGTGTGAGCGGCCGCCCCCAGCTCTGCCGGGGTTTGTGCTCTCGTTCCTCCTCGAGCGCTGACGCAGTCTCTCGTCTGAGCAGGTCGGATTCCAGACTTTTTTCCTGTCGTTCTCGTTCGTGCAAAAGCTAGAGCAATTCCGGTCCGCCCGTCCAACCATGTTCATAGAAAGAATGTAGTTACGATTGTAGTTACGATGTTATCTCGTTAGCTAGTTTCAGCAGCATCCGCAGTATCTCTTCCTTCGACCTGTTTCACCTTTTCTTTATGTGTTTTGCCTCATCGTCGTTCCGACTCCTATTCTTTCTCTCGTGACCCTTCTTCCAGATTCGTTCTCGGATTGGGATGGCCTCTATTGTTGCCTGCTCGGCTGTAGCATCATCCAGCCGCATCTCATCAGGCCATGTCGTCTCCTCTCAGGAGAAGTTCGGTGTATCCGCTTCCCCTGTCCGCGTGACGTCATCCGCGCAGCTGCGTACCTCCGCGTCCTCTCCCTGCCTGACCGCGCTGTCGCACAGCCAGTCGCAGACCGACCTGGAAGTCGCAAGCAGGAGCGCGTACCTTCCGGCGACGTCGCCGGCGATTCCCCTTGACTTCGAAGAAACCAACGAAGTCACCGGCGAATTGCCGTTTCCTCGCGAAGGCTATTCGCTGGCGTTCGTGTACGGCACCCTGAAGAAGGGATTCGGGAATCACTGGCTTATGCAGAAACTTATGGCCGATGGCGACGCCGTTAAAGTCGGAACCGCTCAAACGCTACAGAATTACCCGCTTGTTTGCGGTCCGTTTCAGGTGCCGTTCCTGCTTCATCTGCCTGGTAGCGGTCACAGGGTTCAGGGTGAGGTGTACGAAGTGAATGCGAAAGCGGTTGCTGCGCTAGATGTTCTCGAAGGGACGGACCGGGGACACTACATGCGTTGTCCGTTGATGCTCTCGGATCTTGTTATGAGCGAAAAATACGCCGCTGGTCTCGGCGTCAAATTCGCCAATCTGAAGCATGAGAATGACGGAGCCGAAGCACCTGTAGCGTTCATGGCGGAAGCGTATTTCGCGGGGCTTGCGCACACACCAGGACTCGCCATGGCCCGTCCTATTGAGAGCTATGACGCGAATGCTGCAGCGACGTATGTTCCAAGGAAATTCAGACCTGAAGGGAAGACGTTTCTGGAGCACGTGCATTCGTGGATTGTTGACAAGAGGTTGCTGGTTGGTGTCAGAACGAAGCAGTACAAGTACCCGCTTTCTGTCATTTGAATCGGATATTGATGGGCGTGAGATTGGGTTTGAATTGTTTATAGCTTTTAAACAGCAGAATGCCATTCTTGGCCAAACTTTGGCGCAGTTATTTTCCTGTCATTCACATTACCACAGTCCTCTCCTGTGTACCGTAACTTGTGAATTGAAATGTGGTATGGCCTTTGCAAGGGAGGGCATTTTCAATAATCTGATGAACAATACCGAGCCATCAGCTAGTTAGATATTATACGTACCTACCATCAAGCTACACTATCATGTTAGCTTGCCTTTCACCTGCTACACCTATTGGAGGCATGTTGACAATCCACTACCAAAATAAATACTTGCACAACCCTTTGTGCAAAGCAAACCATCAACTCCAACCTAGTACTGTCAAACGCTTGGAGGTCTTGACTCTTGAGTGCCTGCTGTGCGTCAATATCCAGGTGGATCAAGTCAACTCAAAAGGCACCTCGCTTGGAGGACTTGAGTGCCTGCTGCGCCTCAATATCCAGAGCTCTGTGTGTTCCCACTATCCCGCCCATCAGCGCCGTGTCTGATGCTTCTTCCAACCCCTCCTCGTCCTCTTCCTCGCTGCTGTCATCAACATATGCTGTCATGGCTTCAGACCTGCGAGAAATGGGGAAGAGGGGAGAGAAGATAGGGGAGTTAAGTATAGGCTGGGTTGAGGTGGCTTAAGGATAGAGGAGCGACGGTGGCTGGCATAAGAATAGAGGAGAGGAGGTGGAAGGTATGGGAGGAGAAAACGACAGTATAAAGAGGTGTAAAAGAAGATAATAATAGCATGTGTGGTGAGTGCGCCAGAAACAAAACATAGGAGTGAGAGAATAATGATAAGGTACAAGCAAACGCGTACTCTTTGGCACGATTGATGTTCCGTTGCCGCACCCAGCACACACAGACTACCAGAAGGCAGAGGCCAGCACCCAGAGTCACTCCTGCGAAGGGGGATGGGTTGATACAGGTAGAGGTGAACGGGACATCATGAAAGCAGATCAGCACACACAGACCAGCACACAGACCAGCACACACAGAAGCACGGAACATTAGCACAGGACAGAGCATTCAGATTTCACTTACCCAGCACGATCCCCAAGATGCCCTCTGCACTGATTTGCCCGGCAGCCATCGTGTGGTAGCCCCATCACACAGCTATCCCGCCTTCCCCACGAGACCTACTGTACGGCCTGTTCCTCACTCACCCAGTACGATTCCCAAGATGCCCTCTGCGCTGATTTGCCCGCTAGCCATCTTCTCGTAGCCTTCAGAGTAGCTGTTACTCGCCGGAGCTGCAGGTTCGGATCCTTCCGAGCCTGACCCGGTGGTAACGGAGTCAGCCATCTTAGCTGCAGGAGCGTCCTGAGAGGCCGGATTGCTGCTGTTAGGAAATGCTTCGTCAAAATTAGACGGATTGTTGTCAGAAAACAGATCGTCGTCAGGATTCCCACCATTAGGGTTAGCATCCACGGGGCTACCAGGCGTTCGGGTCTGCTCTGCTTCGTTATAATCACTAGGCCCGTTAGCGTCATCAGTAGCATTAGGGTCGGTAGAGTCACTGTTAGAACCCGCATCTTGCCAATTGTGCTTCCGCTTCTGCCATTCCTCCTCCTCGGGATCATCCCCGTGAAAAAAGTAGTCACTATTGTCCCCCCTCTCGTCTCCCGCTCCCCCTTCCCCTTGCCCTGCCCCTGGCTCTCCCCCCCCTGCCTGTTCCCCCATCTCCCCCCCCTGCCCCCCGCCTTGCGCCCCGCCTTGCCCGGATTGATCCTCCTCGAAGGTCCACGCGTCCCCTTGCGCGGGCTGTTCCGCGCCCCCATCCCCCTGCGCCGGCACGTTCCGCTCAAACGTCCCGCCTGTGTCGCCATACCCGTTATCAGCTTCCTGGATAGTCGCAGTGCCGCCCACGCTCTCGTCCCCGACCTCCTCCTCTGCGCTTTCCCCCGCTTCCCCCGCCGGCCAATCACTGCTCGGCTCCTCTTCCGCCTCCGCCTTCCCGCTCAGCCCTTCCGCAAAACTGTTCCCCCCGCCCGACTGGTCGTTCTGCGCTTGCGCCTCTGCCTTTCCGTTTAGGCCTTGCGCAAAAGCATCCTCCCCACCCGGCTGGTAGTCCTGCGCTTGCGCCACAGCGGCGGAAGAACCTTCCCCCCTCCCGTTTTCCACCCACGGGTTTTCCGGCTCCTCTTCCGCCAATTCCTCTTGCGCCTCCCATTCCGCCGCTCCCCCTTCCTCCGCTCCCCCCCCTTCAGCTTCCCCCACCGCTTGCGCCCTCACTCCCTTTTCCGCTCGCCCCTTCACTCCCCTCCCCGCTCCCCCCTCCGCTCCCCCGTCCGCCTCCTCTTCCTCTTCCCCCGGCACTAAATCGCCTGGTTTGCGATTACCCGGAATAACGTTACGGTTCGCCGCGTTTCCCGGCGGAACAACCGCTTCGACGTCATCTGACGTGTCTACTATCGTGTCATCCCCGTTAGGGTGGTCTCCGGGAAGAGGATCCTCCCAATCGTCTGAATACGTATCTGCTTCGTCTCCGCCGGACCCGCCGCCTCCGCCGCTTCCGCCGCCGATTGCGGCGCTGAAAGCGTCCGCGACTTGAGTGTCGTCGGGAAGGGCCGCAGGCTGACCTGTCAATGCCTCGACGTCCTCCGGCTGTGAACGACACGTGGCGAGCCCTAATAGGAGGAGAGCTAAGACTGCTATCGCGGCGTGGCGGGTCGCTCCTAGCCTCTTCATTCTAGTTTCTGCCTATTACTCCTTATATGATGGTTCAGCTCCTTACGTCAATGGTTAATGGTTAGATACGTCCTTACATAAACGGTTAGATACGTGGCTGGTGTGATTGTCGAAGCAAAACGAGCCTTTTAGGCGGCTTATATTTCTGCAAATTAATACGGTGTACGGAGCGCCGGAATCGTCGCTGCGTGGGTCACGGGACGAGGTGGCTATTATTCTATCGATTTATTACCTGTTCAGTCGACGCGAATGTTAATGGCTTTAAATACGTGCTGATGACAATTGAACGTGTCGAAAATCGTTGAATAAGGTGGGTGGCTGGCTAGTGATGGAAGGAATCTTATGGTCGCGCGCGTGCTGTCATATTTCGGTCTTTATTGACATTTCCGTGATGCACGGTCCGGAAAGCACACTGATCAGGGAGCGCAGCTGTAGCCCGTGAGTGTGAAACGAGCCGTTTGTTACGACAACAGCAGGTGAAGCTAGGTTGAGAAAATAGACAGTATGGTAAAAAGGCTTCTAGCGTGGTTTCTGGTGGTGCGGGATAGCAAATGAGGTGCGGTGAAGGGGAGGTTGGTGGGGGGGAAAGTGGGAGTGGTGAAGGGCAATTAGGGAGGGAGGGTGAAAAAGACGGTGCGGATCGGTCGTGTCGGGTCGGGGGTCGAAATGGGGAAATGAAGGCGAGAGAGGGAAGCACTGCCAGGGCGTCTTGACAGGGAGACGATAACTGAGCCAAACGATGGAAGCAACGTGCGTACAGGGCGACAAAGGTGTGCTTTTACAGGATGCATCCGCGATTCGTATTAGCGCTTCGGCACGGAGGGGAATTTTTTGGTAGCGTGCATGGACGGCTGGATTCCCTCGAGGAAGATCTACGACAGACAGACTCTGCCTGAATAAGCAATTGATGTTTTTGGCTGGACGTTGAGTGCTCCGGGCAGGACGACGGAAAAATGCGTCCAACAGTTTTTTCCCGAATGTTCCTGCAACGATGGCCGAAATGTACCGTCAGGGCAGGCCCCTCTTGACATCGTTACCTTCCTCCAACCAACCAGTTCCCGCCCTTCGAAGTTGCTGCTCGTGCTCGATACTGAAACTTCGATTACATGAAGTTTTTATGTCACCCCTCCAAGTGACACACATACGGTATTAGATAAATATATACTATATACTTGGAAGTTAACATGGCCCCCTTCACGTACCGTACCTTCAATGGATGTGAAGTGAAATTGCATAACTGGTGTTAATCAGATGTAAAAAGACATGACAGTTATTCTAGACTAGACATGCCATGCACCATCATCTGCTACATTTCATCAAATCCCAACCCACTCAAATCGGAAGGTGTACCATTAGCGGCAAGCAACCTGTGGGGATTCACTTCACTACAGTACATCCAAAACACGTAAGAAATGCTGGTACGGAAATCTCCATTCAGCAGCCTAGGAGGACTCCTTAGGAGGGAAGACCTGCTCCTTGATCCAACCGAAGGGCTACACTCAGCAACGGGACAGAGGAGGGGGTAAAGAGGAATAAGAGAATAGCTAAGTTGTCAGGTGGAGAGTGACGGCTCCAAGGGCGAAAAAACCAGGAGAAAGTAGCAAAGGCGCTGATCTCTGAGCCACGCTAGGGTGAGAGCGCTGGTTGCAAAGCTATATGCACTAGTAACTCAAAACTCGCCGTCCCTAAACCGAGTTTTGACGGATGATCGCTGAGCCGCATTAGTGTGAAAGGGATAGAAGCAGAACAACAACCATGACGTCCCTAAATCGTGATGTTCGCACCCAAGAACCGGGATCCCTTCGCGATCGCGATCGTTCACCAGCCACAGTGTGCCGGGGACTACAGTCGTCTCTTTAGATCGGTAATATTGTAACGGGCTCCAACGGGACAATGCAGTTATGCTATATCGCGGACAGGACGTAAACATCGCACCTGAATCAACCACAGCGCGCCGACGACTCCAGTCGTTCCCCATGTAACGGCGCTCCGCACGTCCCCGCGCTGCGGTAGGTACGACGGCGGGATGAAGCGGAGCAGAGATCCGGCGGCCTTGGCGGAAGACATGGCGCGCGGAAAGAGGGGACCGTGGGTAGCCGGGAAACGGAAACGGGAGAACGCGAGGAGAGGAAGTACGGCGCGGCGACTGTGGGACGCTGGAGGTTTAGAAAGGACCGTGGAAGGCGGCGTGAAATGAGTGGTTGCTGATTCTGACAATGAGGGAACCGACAGGCTCAAGGAACGGATGGAGCGAGGAAGGATTGTCTCCGTTACAACTGAAGTATGGAAATAGACAAAGCTTGCTAAGTTAGTTACAGTATACATTAGCATAACTTACATGGTTCCTAAAGCAAGCTTGTACCACACATTCACTTCCTCATCCTATTAGTGACACAAGCCCAATCGGAAGCTGCTGTAAACACTAGAATACTTTCAAGGCATTGTCAAGCAGAAATGATGTGCCGTGAAGAGCACAAGCGTTGAGTTGAGTTAGGCTGATATGATAGTGTCTTGGAAAGTGTTAGGCGGACATAACGCAAGGGAGGCTCCGACCGAGGAAGAAGCTCTTCAAGATGATTCTTTCCACTCCATCCGGGGACCAATGGTAGGTTGGGATGTCCGAGATTATTTCCCTGAACATAGAATAGAATAAAATAGAATGAATAAAAATAAAAGTGTGACCACGGAAGGATACGAAAGCAAAATGAGTCATAACCAGTTCTCAAGAAAACCACAACAATCATTATTCAAACTCTAGGTCTCAGTTACAAACCTGTGGGGAGTGAGGAAGTCCACGTATGCCCCTTTGATGACCTTGGCGAAGCGCACGCGCATGGCCTTCGGGTTGAATGCGTATTAGGGTTTCACAGTCGCAACGGCAATGAGGATGTGATCACACACTCACCGATGAGGTGTGAGGAAGTCCATGTACGACCCCTTGATGACCTTGGCGAATCGCACGCGCATGGCCTTGCGACAGCTGTCACTTAGTACGATCCATCGCCGCTGCTCCAGTGCCACCTCCTCAAACACCGCATTGAACCGCTTCAACCTGCAGTAGGTGGGGAGGGATGGAGTGATGGGAAGGTGGACGAAGGGATGCGGAGATGGTTGGGGAGATAGATGGGGAGGTAGATGGGGAGGTGATAGAGACATGCACCCATGGTGACATGCACTTATATCCACATGCACACACGGTGGCATGCACTCATGCAAGCCAGCACGACCAGACACCCACGTGAGTGCACTCACCGCTGCTTAACACCGTCGGCGCTCATCTTGGCGCTCACCTCCAATGGCTCCAAGCATGCCAGCAGCTGGTGGGGAGGGGTGGGGAAGGGTGGAGAAGGTTGGGGAGGGGTGGAATCAGGTTAGGCGGGGTGGAGAGGGTGAGGGCACACGATAACGACAGTGGCGAGTTGCTAATCATGCCTTGCACAGTGCTGCTCTCTCAAAGGCTGCCTCGTAGTCTGCCAGACGGTCAGAGTGATGGATGGGTGACCAGACGCCCCCGCTCCTACCTTGCACACTGCTAGTGGTACCTGCTCGGCATCTCCCTGCATACCTTGCACAGTGCTGCTCTCTCAAAGGCTGCCTCGTAGTCTGCCAGACGGTCGGAGTGGCAGATGGGAGGCCAGAAAACTGCCTCCCCACCTGCAAACCGGTAGTGGCACCTGCTCATACCTTGCACAGCGCGGCTCTCTCAAAGGCCGACTCATAGTCTGCCAAGCGGTCGGAGTGACGTATGGCGTCCCGCATTCGACCCGAGGAGCTGGGAGGGAAGGGGAAATAAAAGTAGAAGATAGGGAGGAGGGGGGTTGGCTTATAAGGAGCTTGCAGTGTGAGATTCTCAACAACACACCTGCTGCACTCCACTACCTGTTTGCAGCATGATAACTCACATGGAAGAAGCGATTTAGTTGGCTTTATTCAGCACAAAGAGAGCGGACAAAGGCCCATCAGCGATAGTTCTCCCGCGTGCCTCCATGGAGAAGTAGAGCGCATCCAACAGTGCCTCCATGTCCGCCCCTAGCTCCTGCTTCCTCTGCTTCTGTACCGCACTGTACCGCTCAGAACACCCAAAAGAGCTGTAACTCACATGGAGGAGGCGATGTAGTTGGCTTTATTGAGAACGAACAGAGCAGCAAGCGGCCCGTCTGCAATGGTCCTCCCGCGGGCCTCCATGTTGAAGTAGAGCGCGTCCAACAGTGCCTCCATGTCCGCCCCTAGCTGCCTCTTCCTCTGCCTCTGTACTGCACTGTACCGCACTCTACTGCTCCCCACAGACTCACATGGAAGAAGCGATGTAGTTGGCATTATTCAGCACAAAGAGAGCCGATAAAGGCCCATCAGCGATAGTCCTTCCCCGTGCCTCCATGTTGAAGTAGAGCGCATCCAACAGTGCCTCCATGTCCGCCCCTAGCTGCCTCTTCCTCTGCCTCCCACCCGCCCCTTTGCCCTTCTTCCCACCACCACCGCTACCACTGCCACTGCCGCCACCGCTGCCAGCACCATTACCATTTTCGCTATTTAGAGCCTTTTCCTTGGGGGTTCCAGGCGTGGGATTCAAACCACCACTGCCAGCAGCAGCAGCAGTGACAGCAGCAGGGGCAGCGGCAGCAGGAGCAGAATCGAGGGCAGTATGCGAGTCGGAAGGGACACCTGCGGTGGCAACAGCTGCAGCAGCGGCAGCACCGCCAGCTGGAGCAGGATTTTGGAGAAGAACCGCTTCCTTGGCTGTCCCTGCCGCTCCCTGAACAGCTGTCTGTGGCACATGGCTGGGGTGCTGGCTATTGCTGCTATTGCTGCTGCTGCTGCTGCCAGGCTCTTTCAAATGGTCGGCTCCGTGGCTCCGGTAAATCTCCTCCAGCACAGCACAGTAGTTGGCCCGAGAGGTTCTGCAGGAACGGGGTGGGCGTGGGGTGGGAGAGGGATGGACGCGTGCTGCCTGCCTTGTGACTCAAGTAAATTTCCAGCACAGCACAATAGTTGGCTCGAGAGGTTCTGCAGGAACGGGTGGTGAGAGGAATGGAGTGGGATGGGTGGGAATCGTAAGGGGAGAAACAAGTGGTGGTTTGAGCTTCTGGGCTCTTTCAAATGGTCCGCTCCGTGGCTTCTGTAAATCTCCTCCCGCACAGCGCAGTAGTTGGCTCGAGAGGTTCTGGAAGATGGAAGATGTAATATGAGTGGTGAAGGGGGGAGATGGAAGGAAATCGGAGAGACAAGGAAACGAGGAAAGGGGTAATTGCTGAGCTTGTGTCTATCCAATCACTGCCCCATGTGACTCTCTCACTACCTTCTATTGACTCGTAGCAGGTATCAGCTACTATCCATACCTGTCCAACAGCTGCCCTATGTAGTTGACGACGTAGCTGGTAACCACATGCACCGACACGTCACTTGCTCGCACCCATGATCTAGGTTGTAACTGTTATCAACCGCATGCACCGACACGTCACTTGCTCGCACCCATGATCTAGGTTGTAACTGTTATCAACCGCATGCACCGACACGTCACTTGCTCGCACCCATGATCTAGGTTGTAACTGTTATCAACCGCATGCACCGACACGTCACTTGCTCGCACCCATGATCTAGGTTGTAACTGTTATCAACCGCATGCACCGACACGTCACTTGCTCGCACCCATGATCTAGGTTGTAACTGTTATCAACCGCATGCACCGACACGTCACTTGCTCGCACCCATGATCTAGGTTGTAACTGTTATCAACCGCATGCACCGACACGTCACTTGCTCGCACCCATGATCTAGGTTGTAACTGCTATCAACCGCATGCACCGACACGTCACTTGCTCGCACCCATGATCTAGGTTGTAACTGTTATCAACCGCATGCACCGACACGTCACTTGCTCGCACCCATGATCTAGGTTGTAACTGTTATCAACCGCATGCACCGACACGTCCACATCATCCCTCATCTCACTGGTAGGTGCTGCAGTAAGCCGTACCTGTCCAGCAATTGCCCAATGTAGTTGACAACGTAGCTGGTAACCGCATGCACCGACACGTCCACACCCGTGCTCTAGTTGGCAACTGCTGGCAACCGCAATCATTCCGTACCTATCCAGCAATTGCCCAATGTAATTGACCACGTAGCTGGTAACCGCATGCACTGATACATCCATTAGCAGGTGAGTGTCATACCTATCAGCAGCAGGTGAGTGTAACATAAGCCATACCTGTCCAATAGCTGCCCTATGTAGTTGACCACGTAGCTGGTAACCGCATGCACTGACACGTCCACGTCATCCCCGCTCTGGCTCTTCACCTCCTGCGCCTTCCAGGAAATTATCCTGCAAGAAGATTGGGTTGGGGAGCGGGGAGTAGAGTAGAGGGTGGAATGAGTCGAGTCCAATCCAAACTAGTCATCCCCGCTCTGGCTCTTCACCCCTTGGGTCAGGAAATTATACTGCGAGAATGGGGGAGTGGAGCGCGGAACAGAGGGTGGAACGAGTCGAGTCCAATCCAAACTAGTCATCTCCGCTCTGGCCCTTCAGCTCCTGCGCGAATATCCTACGAGAATGGGGGAGTAGGGAGCGGGTAACAGAAGGTGGAATGAGTCGAGTCCAATTCAAACCAGCCATCCCCGCTCTGGCCCTTCACCTCCTGCGCCTTCTAGGAAATTATCCTGTTAGAATTGGTGGGTGGGGAATGGGAAGTGCGGCGTGGGGAGTGGAGGGTGGAGGGCAGCAGGGAGGAAGTGAAGAGTGGACGGTGGAAGGATGCGCAACAGAGGTTTACAGAGAGAGACACAGCCACACAGAATAGAGACAGATGAACATGCTCAGGAGCTCCGAACGAACCTGCAGATAAGCACCGAACAAACCTGCTGAGGAGCTCCGAACGAACCTGCTGAGGAGCTCCGAACGAACCTGCTGAGGAGCTCCGAACGAACCTGCTGAGGAGCTTCTTTTTAGGCGCGACGGAAGAGGGCATGGCAGCCGGAGTAAGCCCATTGACGTCTCTCAGCGTGCTGTTGAGCTCGTCTATTGTCTCGAACACGGCACATGCGAGGAGGGACACACAAACCTCCTTAGGTTAACCTGCTTAGCAGCCCTGAACGTACCTGCTGAGGAGCTTCTTCTTTGGAGCAACAGGAGAGGGCATGGCTGCAGGGGTGAGTCCATCGACATCCCTCAGCGCGCTGTTGAGCTCGTCTATTGTCCCAAACACGGCGGCGCATGCAAGGAGAGACACAATAAACATACCTGCTCAGGTCGACCTGTTCAGGAGGACTGAACGGACCTGCTCAGAAGCTTCTTCTTGGGAGCGACGGGAGAGGGCATGACGGCCGGGGTAAGCCCATCGACATCCCTGCGAGTGCTGTTGAGCTCGTCTATTGTCTCAAATATAGCACATGCGAGGAGGGCAGGGAGGGCTTGAAAAGCCTGCCCGCCCCCCTTGCGGTGCTTGTCTATCGTCCCAAACACCGCAGGTGGGGTAGAGACAGGCAAACGTACCTGCTGAGAAGCTTCTTCTTTGGAGCGACGGGCGAGGGCATGGCTGCCGGGGTAAGCCCATCCACATCCCTGAGAGTGATGTTGAGCTCGTCTATTGTCTCGAATATGGCACATGCGAGGAGGGCAGGGAGGGCTTGCCACTGCGGCCAGAGCGAGCCTCCTCCCACCCCTGCTGCTGCTATCAGCACAGATTGCACCTGAAAACGGGAGGAATGTGGAGGGAGAGAAGAGGCATTAAGGTTGTGTGGGCTTTCAAACAAACACTGCAGAGGCGAGGAGGGCAGGGAGGGCCTGCCACTGCGGCCACAGAGAGCCCCCTCCCACCCCTGCTGCTGCTATCAGCACGGATTGCACCTGAGCGAGTGGGATGGGAAGGCAAGGAGGTGAGGGGGGGAAGGGGGGGTCAGCTCGTCTTCTCCCTGAGAGTGCTGTTGAGCTCGTCTATCGTTTCGAATACGGCACAGGCGAGGAGGGCCGGGAGGGCTTGCCACTGCGGCCACAGAGAACCCCCTCCCACCCCTGCCGCTGCTATCAAGACAGATTGCACCTGAAGGGAGGGGAAGGTGGGGTAGAGAAGAGGAATCAAGTTGATGGATTCTCAATCTCAACCGAACATGGCTCATGTGAGGAGAGCCGAGAGGGCTTGCCACTGCGGCCACAGGGAGCCTCCTCCCACCCCTGCTGCTGCTATCAGCACGGATTGCACCTGTAAAACGGAGAAATATGGGGAAGAGAAGGGGTTTAGGTTGAGAGTCTTCTCCAACAAACACCGCACATGCGAGGAGGGCAGGGAGGGCCTGCCACTGCGGCCACAGGGAACCCCCTCCCACCCCCGCTGCTGCTATCAGCACGGATTGCACCTGAGAACGAATGGTGGGGGAGGGGAGAGAAGAGGGATTGAGGTTGTGAGCATACTCTACCAAGCGCCACACATGCGAGGACGGCAGCGGTGGTAGGCCCTTGCTGCAAATGCCACAGAAGGGCCTGCCACCGCTGCCCTCCTCGCATGTGTGGCCGCAGTGGCAAGGGCCTAACACCACTGCGGCCACAGGGAGCCTCCTCCCACGCCCATCTGCTCTCTTCCCTCCGTACCCTCACCTGCTCCCTTAGCCCAGTGGTCGCTCCATCCATGAAGCTAAGCGAAGCAGGGGACCGGGTCCCTGTGTGAGCCAAGCAGCCTCTGTTTTTTAAGAATTCTAGAAAAAACCTACATTCCCTCCCTACCCTCACCTGCTCCCTCAGCCCAGTGGTCGCTCCATCCATGAAGCTGAACCAAGCAAGAGGTCGCTCTATTCTGCGTCCCTGTGTGAGACAGGCCAAGCAGCCTCTCTTGCTCCCATACGTACATTTCACACACCACCTGCCCTGCCCTGAGAGTCCTGAATCACGACTCCTGATTGTACCAGTCTCCTGATGCTCACACACCAGATACCCCCTCCGAGGTGACTTTTGAGTCGACTCAAAAGACACCACATACCCCCTTCGCCTCACCTGCTCCTTCAGCCCTGTGGTAGCTCGAAACATCTCCATGAAGCTAAAGATTTTTTCGAGGGACCGCGTTAAACCCCCAACAGAACGAGCCGTGCCGTGCAAAGCTCTCTTGCTCCCCCACTCCACAACATATCCCCTTCGCCTCACCTGCTCCCTCAGCCCAGTTGCCGCTCGGAACATCTCCATGAAGCTAAACACCTTCTCAGGGGACCGCGTCAGCCCGGCAATGGAACGAGCCGTGCCGACCAGCTTGCTGACCGAGCCCTCCACGCAGGGCGAGGCCGACAGAAGCTGCCGATACACTCCGCCCGTGTCGAGCTCCGGGGCGTCCTCTAGGACTGCCTCGCAGAGGAGACGCTCCCCCTCCAGTAGCACTCGGATCTGGAATGAATGGGGAGAAAGGGGAAGAGCAGAGGGAGGGAGACCGGGGGGAAGGAAGGGGAGAGGACGGGTCAAATAATGAGCTCGGGAGCGTCTTTAGGACTGCCTCGCAGACCAACACACACCATTTACAGAAGAAACTACGCCGTGACTAACCCGATACAACACGCCCCCTTCACAATCGTACCAGTATGTTAGCGTCTCTCAGACACATCTTGATGGTGGGCTCCAATTGGCTCCACGGCAGGGCCTCTAGTCCAACAAGAGGCACAGCTACGCACACCATGTACGGAAGAAACTACTCCGTAACTACCCCGATACAACACGCCCCCCTTCACAATCGTACCAGTATGTTGGCGTCTCTCAGCCACGTCTTGATGGTGGGCTCCAATTGGCTCCACGGCATGGCCTCCAGCTCAGCAACGCTGCGCTCCTTCAGGTCAAGACAAGCCGTGCCACTCGCTATGCTCGGCCCGCGGGCGGCGCTGCGAAAGATGGGAGGCAGGATGGAAGGAAGGCGATTGGGAAGGCAGGGTGTGCTGTGCAGCGGCTGATGGGGCTCGTTCAGGGTTTCATGGGAGGGAAAAATGCTGAAAAATCTAGAAAATACAACGTTCTGTGGTTCCATGTCTTGGGTGTGAGCGTGCTCGTTCTGGGTTTCACACTCACCAGTATCTTGCACAGCAGCGAGTAAGCCCACCAATAGCAACGATCCGTGTGGCCATCTTCCGTAACCAGCCAAACTCAGCCACTGGTAACCACTCCCCCCACCCACACACACTTGCATACAAGCAAGTACACACGCACGCACACAACACACTCACCAGTATCTAGCACAGCAGCGAGTCAGCCCACCAATAGCAACGATCCGTGTGGCCATCTTCCGTAACCAGCCAAACTCAGCCACTGGTAACCACTCCCCCCACCCACACACACTTGCATACAAGCAAGTACACACGCACGCACACAACACACTCACCAGTATCTAGCACAGCAGCGAGTCAGCCCACCAACAGCAACGATCCGCGTGGCCATCTTGCGTAACCAGCCAATCTCCGCCACTGGTAACCACTCCCCCCACTCGCTAAACGCCACCCGCCAATCCACTGCCCCCACCCCCCCTCCCGCTGCCCCTCCTGCTCCCCCTTCTGCCCGCCCTGCTTCAAGAGTGGGAGAGGAGAAGGCAACCAGTCGGGGGCGCCTGGAAGCTGAGGGTGGGGTAACGGCACCACCACCACCGGTGGCAGCAGCAGCAGCAGCAGCAGCAGCAGCAGCAGCAGCGTTTGCAGCACCAGCAGCAGCAAAGGGGGCGTCAGCCGCACCAGCAGCAGCGGCAGCAGCAGCAGAACCGGCAGCAGTAGGGGATGGAGATAGGGCCGGGGAGGGATGGAGGGACGAGGGCAGAGACTGGGGGGGTCCTGCAGCTAAGGAAGAATGACTCTCAACAGCAGCAGACCCTGGAACATTGCTGTTATGCGCCCCGCTGCTGCTGCTGCTGCTGCTGGTGGTGGTGGTGGTGGTGCTGCTGCTGCTGCTGTTGCTGCTAATGCCATAAACGATGTTGCTAATGGTCCTCTTAGGCTGTTTGCTTCTCCTTTTATCCTCCTGCCCCGTTGACGGCTGAGCCTCCTGCCCTGGCTGATTCACAGGCCTGGCGTCCCCGGACCTGGCTGCCGAGCCTGGAGTCAGGTTCGGGAGGTAGTTAGCATCAGGCTCGGCATCGTCCTCGTCCGGATGGATAGGGATGGTGATGCGGGGGGGAGTGGGGCGCACATAGGGAGAAGCAGACGAGGAGGAGGGAGAGGCAGAGAAGGAAGAAGAACCAACCGCGTTATAAGCATATGCGTTATGGGGAATGTAACCGGAGGTGTAGGGGGACGCGTAGGGTGAGTTAGAAGCAGCTGTTGAGGGAAGGGGTCCTGAATACATAGGCCACAGACCACCAGACGCACCACCACCAACAGCAGCGGCAGCAGCGGCAGCAGCAGCAGCAGAAGCAGCAGCGGCAGCAGCATTCAAATGCCCGGAGTGGTCCTGGGACAAGAAACCTGCTGCTGCTGCTGGCGCTGCTGCTGCTGCTGAGAGTCTTGATGAGGTTAGAGGGAGGGGAGGCGTCAGAGCAAGGAGGGGAGAGGATAGGCGGTTGCTGGGCTGTAGGGCTTTCAGTGGGAGGCTCGCTTCCTGTGCTGCTGCCGGTTACGCTCACTGGGATGACAATGCGGTTACCACCGGACCTGGTCTTGAGGCTCGGGTTATTACTGTTAGTGTAGGTGCTGTTGCTGTTGTTAGATGCAGCACCTGTAGGGCTTATGATTGGAGTCCCATGCGAACTATCCATAACAGTAGCGCCGGCAGCAGGAGAAGCAGCACTAGCACCAGTGGCATCACTACTGCTCCCATCAGCAACCAGCAGCAGCAGCACCACCAGCAGCAGCAGCAGCAGCAGTGGCAGGAGCAGTGCCGGCAACGGCAGCAGCAGCATCAGCGAGAGACGCATTGAACTCAATCATCATAGGGTCATCAAAGAGAAAACTAGAGGAGGATTTCCATAACCGCCCCTGATCAGGCCTATGCCCGTGCTGCTGCTGCTGGTGGTGCTGCTGTTGATGATACTGCTGCTGGTGCTGCTGCTGGTGCTGGTGCTGGTGCTGCTGCTGCTGCTGCTGTTGCCAATCCATCTGCTGCTGAGAAAAATGATGCTGGTGGTGGTGGTGAGGATAATGGCCCGCAAAAAGACGGCGGGACGACGGTGAAAAGGGCGGCAAGTTCTGTCCTGACGTGCGCATCCCGGGGGAGCGCGGGCCGGCAGTCAGGCCAACGGGACTACGGGGAACACCAGCAGCAGCAGCAGCGGCAGCAGCAGCGCCAGGAGCAAAGCCGGCAGCAGCAGAGGCAGAAGGTAGGCCGCGGTGAGCGAGCGGGCTAACAAGGGCGTGTTCGGGATACTTGGAAGGGTTACTCAGGCTTGTGGGGGTAGTGCTGGTGTTGACCCTAGCAGATGCGGCAGCAGCGGCAGAGAGAGAGAAGTCAGAGGAGGTGCGGGTGAAACGGGTGGTGATGGGGGAGAGGCCGGTGGCTCTACGGGCACGGAGAGAGGGCGCTCCCCCTGCTGTTCCTACACCAGCAGCAGCAGCAGCAGCGGCAGCAGCAGCGTTGGCACCAGCTGCAGCAGCAGCGGCAAAATTCTGGGCGTGGAGAGCAGACTTGAGGGTTGGGAGATCCAGCGGCTTGCTGCAGAGAGAAGGGGGGAGGAGGGAAAGGGGGGGAAAAGGAGGATGACTTGGCAGCGTTGGCGAAATTCTGGGCGTGCAGAGCAGACTTGAGGGTTGGGAGGTCCAGAGGCTTGCTGCACGGGGAAGGGGGTTGGCGAGCAGGGCCGAGCGGGGAGGGGGAAAGCAAGGGGGGTAAGAGTGGGGGGGTGTCAAAAAGGTTGTAGAGTCAACTAGGTAAGTCGCAGCAGCAGTGGCGAATTCTGGGCGTGGAGGACAGATCTGAGCGTTGGGAGATGATCCAGTGGCTTGCTGCTCCCCGTGCGAGGAGGGGGGGGAGAAAGCGGGAGGGGAAAGAGGGGTGTCAAAGGAGATTGGAAAGCTCACCCGTGTTTTGAAAGAGTCGCTTCAAACCCCTCTTCCAGCAGCATCAGCACATTCTTTTGTGGTTCGAGTAGACTCAGAACACACCCAGGTGGCAGATAGGCTAAGAAACACAAAAGGATGTGCTGGTGCTGCTGGAAGAGGGGTTCTGGTGCTGGTGAACCCACCCGTGCTTGGAGAGAGTCGCTTCAAACTCCTCTTCCAGCAGCATCAACGCATCCTCGATAACAGCCTCCACGCTTATAAGCACATCCCATTGTAGCACGGGGACAGCAGCAGCAGCAGGAGGAGGAGGAGACATTGCAGCAGCAGCAGCAGTAGCAGGAAACACAGTAGAGCCATCTGCTGCAGTTTCTTTCTCATCCGTCTCCTCCTCGCTCTCCTCCCCCTCTGCTCCCCCCCTGCCCATATGTAGCCTTTTCCGTACCCCTCCCTTTTCCAAATCCTCCTCCCTTTTCCCCACCTCCGCCCCCTCCTCTTCCTCTCCCTCCTCCTCTTCCTCCTTCCCCTTCCCACCATCGTCACCCGAGTCTGCTCCTACGTTCGCTTCACCATTTCTCGGTACCTCATCCAAACAAACACCTTTACTTTTCTCCTCGTCCTCCCTGTGCCCGCTCTCTCCCTCCCCATCTTCCAACCCCAAAGTTTCACCTTCCCTCTCGCTTCCTTCCTCCACTCCTCCACCCACTCGTTCTACCACTCCACACTCACCCCTCCCCCCTTCCTCCTCCCTCCTCTCCTCCACTATCCTCCCCTTTCCCCTCCTCTCCTCCTCCTCCTCCTCCTCCTCCTCCTCGTCCTCCTCCTCTCTCTGCTGCTCCTCCCACGCCGCTCTCAGCTTCCCACGGAGCGCTGCCAGGCTGTCAAGCGCCGCCAGAAAATCGTCCAATCGGAAGCGAGGCGCCTCTGACACGCGCTGCGCCAGCTGGGGAAGGGCAGCAGCCGCCCGCTGCAGCATGCGTTGGCGCTTCTGCTGGCGGGATAGGCGGAGAGAACGCTCTTCCTGCATGGGGGAAGAAGGAGCGGGGCGAGGGGAGGGCTGAGGGGAAGGTACTGCCCGCTGCAGCATGCGTTGGCGCTTCTGCTGGCGGGATAGGCGGAGCGAGCGCTCTTCCTGTAAGAGGGGAGAGGGAGGGGGGTAAAGGTGGGGGGGTGTTTGCAGGTGGGAAGGGCGGACGCCGCCTGCGCTGGCGGTTCTGCTGGCGGGATAGGCGGAGCGAGCGCTCTTCCTGTACGGGAGGAGCGGGTGCAGGAGAGGAGAAAAGACGGAAATCAGCGGGGGGGGACAGGGAGCGGAAAAGAGGGGAGGCAAGGAGACAGGAGTGAGGGTGTTGGGGGGGGGGGGGGGGGAGTACAGCTCATTGCAGCTTGCGCTGGAGCTGGTCCCTGGGGTTGCCACATTCACGTGTCGTACCCTTGGAGTTGCCGCGACTTCAGCCGCCCTGCCGTCCTTCCCCACGTCCAATCGCTGCATGGCACGTGTCACAGCTTCCGCCTGCGCCTGCCGCCTCTCCTTCCATCCCTCCCCTTCTCCCTCCTCCTTCCCCCCTTCCCCCTCCCCCTCACTTCTCTGCCCCTCTCCCCGCTGCTTACCCCCCTCCCCCGCGCTCCCTGCCCTCTCCTTCTCCCCACCTGGGATCACCAAAACATTTCTCACGGGCAGGCTGACGCTTGTACTCCGAGGAAAAACCGCGGCTTGCTGCTTTTCACCTTTTGCCTCTTCACCTGCCCCAGCTGCCCTCGAGAACATCCTTTTCCCGGGGGTTGGTACCACAGGCGTCTTAGGGCTCGGCGCGCTTACCGAACTCGAGTGAACCAACCGAGGCACGGCCATTTTGGGCCTACGTCTTACTGCGGGTTTTCCCGAACCAGCAGGCTCGGGTCTTACCGAGTCGACATGGCCGGACAAACCTCCAGTCAGCACCTGATCCCGTACGAACCCCTCTTCACCGATTGCTAATCCTACTCCGCCGTCGGCCACCCATTCCGTCTCCTCTGCTTCCATTCACGCACCCGAGATTCTACTGGTCTTTAACGGCCTGATGCGGGTAACTGAAAGAAAAAGCCGTCGAGCTGTCGGCCTCTATTGGCGATGATTAAGACCAGTAGATATACAAGCCAGACAAAATATACAAGCCTACCTGAATATCTACGTCTCGAAATCTGAGCGTTAATATACGCAATGCTTAACCTTTTTTTCTCCGTTACAATGCCAACAGCAGCGCGTGTCACGAGGGAAATGTTAATAACTTATCAGCCAGTGCCGCTGTGAGGCGCCTGAAACGCCTAATGCGGAAAACGCGGGTAGTAAGCGTGACAATAGTAGCGAGGAGTGCTGACATACCATAGACGGTAAACAATGCCGCTGCGACTAACAAACTGGGTCAGATAAAACCAAGGAGATATCAGCGTCTGCCTTTTGCTTACGCGAGCATGCTAACATTAGAGGCCTTATTGCGTCACGAGCCTAGCGCTACTCTACGAAACATTGGTCGGGAACGGGGTGACGTGTCCTCGACACTATAAGGACGGCAACAACTCAAGAACGAGGGGAAATAATAGAGATACGGAAACTAATTAGCTCCGCCGATTGGAATCATCTGTCTTGTGGGAGTCCAATTCTGCTCAAAACCCTATCTAACCGTTTCAAGGTCTAAACAAGCCGCTCTCAGCTTCAGGCGTTTTCAATTCGGTTTTTGGAAGTTTGTCGTTCTTGATGGTGTGTACTCAAGCGTTCTCAATCAGGAAGAATCTTACTCAAACGCAATAAACCGAACGTTTCGACCAACAGTCCAGTCTGTCCCTAACGAGGAACGCTGACAGGCCAACGAGACTGCCGAGAGAGTTTGGCGCAAGCAGATTGGGGTTGGGGTGAAGCCAACGCAAGGGCGGCGGAGGCTCCCCAAACGTGCGCTAGGTTCGATAACGGAATCGAACCTAGCCAGTCAGCGAAGACTCGTTTTGAAAGGAGGGGTTCAGTTAGTTTCAAGGTCCCTTTGGGTGAAGTACCGTACAAAGCGAGTTCCTCTTTCTGCTGGGACAACTGCACGCACTAGGTACGGAACGGTTATCGTATCACTCGGGTCAACCCAATGTCGGCTTGGCACTCTCTCTCACTCAACCCCTCCTCCCCTCCTTGTCCCCTCTCACACCCACCCCATCCATGCCACAGGTGCTCATGGTCACGATGGAAGTGGCGTGAAGTGAAAGTCAAGGCTTGAAAAGGAACAGGCAGAATCACTGCCAACAGTCAGCTATTACCCTGTTGGTAATAGCTCAAAACACTGAAGTAAGTCCTACACTGCAGCTAAAAGGTGAAAGCAATTAATAAAAACTATTATCCAATAAACAAAAGGTACTCACATGAGTGATACTATCAGCAACACTCATTTATGTACACCTGCCTAATGCAGAGTTCCTCAAAGTTAAAAATCTCGGGCACAATCATTAGTTGGCTTCGGAAGCACATTTGATTGGCACACAAGGCGCAACAAATCTTTCAGCTTGGATGCATTCAACTGCAGAAAAAAAGTTAAGAGCCTTCGCTCAGTGGCTCCATTCAGACCACAACATTACAACAGACCAAGATGTGAAGAAGCAGAGAACAAAAATGCTTACAGGTTTGCTCATGTATGAATCCATTCCTGCCTCTATGCACTTCACTCCATCCCCGATAAGCGCTTGTGCTGTCATCTGCAGGAAAGGAAAGCGCTTTCAGTTACAATGGACAATGCTGCCTCGTATATGTCTTTTAGGCAATAGAAAAACGAGAGTGACCAGGTGAGCTTACAGCAATGATGGGCGTGTGCCGTTTCGTTGTGGACTCGTATTCACGGATTCTCTTGGTTGCTTGCAGGCCATCGCAAACAGGCATTTGCACCTGAGATTGCACATGGGAGAAGGGAAGGTGAGTGCAGTGGAGGACAGGCTGGGATCTCGAACTGAGCGACGAAAGGGGCAGAATGTAACTGGTACTGAACTACACACACGGTGAAGGAGCAGAGATGTTGTTGCCATACTCACATCCATTAGTATCACATCAAACACTCCTGCCTGAACCTTCTCCACAGCTTCTTCACCATCACTGGCCAGAACCGCTTCGTGCCCCCACTTGCGCAGCAGGGTCATGGCGACCCGCTGGTTCACAATGTTGTCTTCTGCAACCAGCACCTTGAGACTCCTGTCAGCCGCTGCTGCTGCCGATGCCTCATCCGAAGCACTTGAATTCGACGCCGACAGCCCATCCTGCCAAAAAGTGAACGTGCGCGTGAGTGAGAGAATGTATCAGGATGCGATGGTGAGTGTGTATGTGGACGTCTGATGCCCGGCCAAGTAGCAGTGTGCAGCGAAGGTATGTTTGCAGAATGCTCGATGGAAGAATCAGAGCAAGAGAGAGCACCTGCAGGGGGAGCTTCAATGCCTGCTTGACTCTTCGCAGAAGCAATTTCCTCTTCACCGGCTTGGGGACATAGAGATGCACCCCGAGTTCCTTGCACCTGTTAAGCAGTATGCCCAGAAGCCAGAAACAAACGTACTCAGAAAAACGAAGTGTGGAGTGAATGCCAGATATACATATATATATATATTTATATATATATATATATATATGCGCTGTCACCGTGTTACGACGTTGGGTAATCACTTACAAGGCCTTGTCGTCAGGACCCCCTGGTGTCAACAACACCACAGGCAGTGCCGAGTCCTCTTCGCGAGGCTCGGGTCGACAACCCTCTGTGGCAGAGCAGGAACCCTGTGCCTGGCCGCACTTCTGCAGCCGCATCTCTTTTCCGTTGTCAGCTGTAACAGACTGAGATTCAGCCCTCCGAACTGGATGTAGCTGCTGACCGGAACTCCCGCCTGGTCCCTTTGCTGAAGCACTTCCCCTTGCTTTCGAAGAGAGCACACTGGCATCAGACTCTTCTTCTTCTGCTGCTGCGGTATTTTCCTGCTCCCTAGAGAATAGCCAGGCGGGAACAGGGGACTCGGAGTGCCCAGTGAGATCTTCCATCTCTTGCACGACACCGCTGCTACTGCATTCCCCGTTTGAGAATCGGCATCCAAGGTTGTCCTGATGGAGGAGATTCTGCTCCTTGATGCGTCGCAGAAGCTTTGCACAGGTGGTGGAGGCAGCATCATTGTCATAGGAGGAAGAGCATGAAGGGGAGGAGGATGACGAGGAGGGAGCATGGTGGGTGTCCTTGACTGCAGAGTCGACAATGAGAAGCGTGTATGGCGTCTCATCGTATGCTGCTTTCTGGAGCATTTCCAGAGCGGAGGCTGCATCAGCTGCATCGTCTGCCTTGACTTTCAGCTTCTGCAAGAAGAGGAAAAAAAAAAAAAAAAAAAGCGAACACATTGTATCACTTTCCCTCGTACCAGCAGCAACAAAAGAAACGATAGCGCTCGGGTAGTGGACCCACCTCAAGAGTCGAAAGGATGGACTTCCTCATTGATTCATTCCCATCCACAACAAGCCCGCGGAAATTGTTCATCTTCGGACACAGAGCACCACACCGTGCTAGTGACGATGGCTTTGCAGGCTCTGGTGGTACAGTGAACTTGGCTGTGAAAAAGAACGTTGACCCGCAACCCTCTTCGCTCTCCACCCACATATGGCCACCCATCGCATTAGCCAGGCGAGAGGAGATCATTAACCCCAGCCCCGTCCCTCCATACAGCCTGAAACATGTACCAAAGAGATGAGCGACTGATCTCTTCGCAGAACAACATTGAGAGGAATGATGGAAGTCAAACCTTACCGTGAATCTGAAGCGTGCACTTGACTGAATGCTTGAAACAGAAGACACTGCTTGGCTTGAGGTATGCCGATTCCTGGTAGAAACGAGAACGTAAGCATTGATCCAACATGACATTTGACACATTTTGGCCTGGAATGAGACGGTTTTCTAAGTACGAACCTGTGTCTTTAACAGCAAAAAGAACCTCTGCAGTCTGATCCTTGAGAGAAACAAGTGTCGCAGTTAACACAACTTCCCCCTTCTCAGTGAACTTGATCCCATTCCCTGAAACATTAAGCAGTATGCAAATGAATATCAGACCCTGCATACCTACAGACCCATAGCATACTTCCAATGTAAGTGGGCAATGAAACAAACTGGAACCTACCCAACAAGTTGATGAAGATCTGAAGCAGGCGTCCAGGGTCACCCATGAGACTTTCTGGCATGTTAGAAGACCTAAGCCATGAAACAAGTGCAAGGCCTTTCTTCCTTGCCCGATTCGCCAGGACAGACACAGCATGTTCCATCTGAAGAAAGAATTTGGTTGGATGGATTACCATTAAGAAACAGTACATCAACACCAGAAAAATTGAGCGATTGCAAAAGCAGCAGACCATTACCTGGTCCTGTAACGAGAACTCGATGTTCTCCAGGTCCATTTTCCCTGCTTCGATTTTGCTGAAGTCCAGAATGTCAGCAATCAGGCGCAAAAGATGCTTGGCTGAGTACAAGGACTGCACAAAAGAACCATCAATACATCCAGTCAGCCATGATTTTAGCGAAAGTAAAGGACACGAAGCAAAGAAACGAAATTGTGGCGTGAACCAAGTTGCGAAGAATACTTACAAGCTCAAGATACTCGATCTGTTCAGAGCTGAGAGCAGTATCCAAGCAGAGCTCTGTGCAATTGATGATGCCATTCAATGGTGTTCTTATTTCATGAGACATGTTCGCCAGGAACTCAGACTTCGCCTTGTCTGCTGAAACTGCCTGCTCCTTGGCAACCTGAAGCTGTAACTCCATACTCTTCCTCTCTTCCACCTCAGAGGATAGACCCTGATTCAGCAGTGCCAGGTCTTGCGTGCGTTCCACCACCTGAAACTTTAACATAGTCGCCTGTCACTAAAAAGCACTTTCACTTTCGAGCAACAGAGGGATGACCAGATGTTGAATGACCACACCACACCTTTTGTTCCAAAGTTGAGTAAGCACTGGAGATCTGATCAGCCATGTCATTGAACACACTGCAAAGCTCATCAATCTCGTCCTTCAAGCAGCCTCGTCGCCCATGAGCTCTTGCACTGTAATCACCCCGTGCCAATTTGCTTGCTGCATCGCCAAGCTCCATGATCGGACGGGAGAAATACTGCACAGCAATCCCTCACAACAGAAGTAAGAATACCCCCATACAAGCGAATATTACAAATTCGAGACAGAAATTCAAAGAACAAAATGTCATACCGTGGCTAAGGCATAGGCTGCGAGAATCCCTAGCACAAAAATGCAGGACATTGAAATGATAATGATCTTCTCAAACTTCCTTATCGAGGTGTATACTTCTTCTTTGTCAATTGTAGCTGCCAGACCTGCAATGACGCAAGTGAATTAAAATCAAGTTCAAGAATGGAGCACATACCACTAATTTAAGAAACCAGAATATACAGAACTCGCAAGACATACCCCAGGAGTCATAACCAATGGGCCGGTAGGAAGCAACGATATCAACACCACGAAAATCAGCCCCTTGGTAGTATCCTGTCTGGCCACTCGCTGCCCTGAAGGCAGCACCCATAAAAGTCGAATATCTGACAGACGGAGACTTGATTGGAGGAACTATGAACTTCACCCTGTCGTCGCCTTCACTGACATACGCAACAAGAAGCTCTCCCGTGGACTGAAGACCAGTTCCATCATGCACAGTTTGCTTGAACTTCTCCGCATCAACTGAAGCCAGAATAATTCCACAAAAGGTGTCCTGAAAGACCAAGAACGTCAGAAGAGAAAAGTAACAACATAATTCTTTCTGGAACGGATGAAATTACTCGACCTACCAGACCAGCTGAATCAAAATGCATACCTTATAGTCAACAGAAGCTGTGATGTCGATCAAGAATGTATTATTGCGACCTGCATAGGGAATTCCGGACCACACTGAAATGTTCCGACTCTGCACAATCAGTGCTCGCCCGTGCAAGCGCCTTGGGAGCGGATCCACATCAGCTGGATGCTCGCTGGAAAACAAAAGTTCACCATCGCTGCTGTATGCTCCTAAAGCCAGGACACTCGCTGCACTCATGACAGCAGAATTCAGATCTTCTGTGCCCATCTTGTAGTCATTTTTCGTCAGATTGGACTTCCCTTGCTTGTGCATGAGCAGCAGGGATGAAATGACAACGCGAGATGCAATCAGCTTCACCGTATCTTGAGTTCCAATGATGTAGGCCAGTATCTGAATTATAAAAAAAAAAAAACACATAACGTAGCACAACGGGATCATACCGAATTGACCAACACAGCAGCTCATACAGTTGGTAAAATAGCCAGACTTAGGGTAATACCTGCTCTTGACGAAGGCTTGCGACAGTGTCAAGCCTCTCCCGTATTTCTCCAGTCAAGGTTGATTTCGACAGCCTCCACAGAACGACGGCCAAAACACCCGAGCAGATGAGCACCAAAGCACCAACGAAAAACGTCAACTTCACCCAGAGCCGCGGCTGAAACCTTCGCCTTTTAACCCGGCGACGAGGGCTTCGAGCCAGGCCATGTCCTGAAAGAATAAGACGATACCTCAGGAGGAAATTTTCAATCATTATGATGGAGTTGAAACACACAAAAAAGATGCGCATGATACTGACTTTCTTGAATCTGGAGAGACGTGAAGTCTTCAGGATGCATGGTAGAAGGTCAAGAGCTACGGTGGTAATGGGAAATCTTAAGAATCAATCCTTAAGCTAGCTCCAGGGTCGGACAATTCGTAATTGCAACGTTCTAGGCACAGAGAGATAGTACTAAAGAGAAGGCTTATGACTCTACGTCGTAGGCGCCTAAGAAGTAACTGACATGGAAACAAGATCTTTTTTAATTCACTGGAAGCACGAAAATGATGCTCGCACCTCGTGACTGAAGATATTTCGAAGAGAAAAATCCGACCAAGAAGCTCGCGTGGTGCACAGGCGATCATCACTGGCGACATCATCCATTCTTGGCCTTTAATTTCGCCGTAAATGCCATGCAAGCAAGAGAACTGGGAGCTTGTTTTCCAGCCTGGAAGTCTAATCAAAGAGTCCCACCCAGCGGTGTTGGAGGGTAAGTCGGAAAGAGAGGCAGCGGTGGATTCTGCATCCAACCGCCTACTATTTCCCATAGCTGTTGAGGATATGAGCGGTAATGTGACTACTTTTCATGACTGAGAATGTCATGCAGAATCTGAGCGAACGGTAACCTCGATACAGGACAATGACGAAGCAAGGAGATTGCGAGGCGGAAAAACACGGTCAGCAATCTCGGTAGAGAGAAGTGATTGATGGGCGGGGAGCTTGAAAGCAGTGGGTGGCAATCATTAGCCAGAATTCCTGCATTTCGACTCCTTGCAGGAGAAACGACAGCATCTCAGACGAAATTTCGTGACCTGTTTCTCGCGAAGCAGATTCCCGCTGGAGAGTGGACGCTGATTCTGAAACATATTCCTGAGTTCCAGATCACCTGCCGCCGGTTCTTCTCACCCTCCGACTCGGCGCGCTACTAAGTGCTCGCTGATTTGGGTGCTGAACTCATTAGCTATTCAGTGCTGCTTGGCTGTGAGTGACTGCGCATGCAGAGCTTTGCACGGCTCAAAGGATATCTCAAGCGCCAACACTAATTATCCTCGCTTCAAAGAATGAGCTTTGTGGCCTCCTAAGGGCCATCCTCGTTTTCGCTGAAACTTGGTACACGGTGGTATAATTGCTTCAGCATTATGTACCACAATGCCAAACACAACACCTAACACATGTATTGTGTGAATACACACACCAGCCTAGTACATCATTTCTTTGTGCATTTCTTTCTCAGTCCATGTGCAGTAGAACTATAACGACCATACATTGCATCCATGTTGCTCTTCCAAGTTTCTATAACTGCCAGAGCTGCTGCTTACCAAGTCAAGCTGTCTCCTTTCCTGCTACCATACCTCAAGTTGCTTGCTGATGGGCCAACAGCAGGAAAAATAAATTCCTAATTTTGTCGCCACTGCTCTTGCTGCTGGTTTTTGTGCAGCTTCTCGACATCCTTTTCAGTGCTCTAACCTCCCCTCCCCTGCCTCAAACCGAACAACTCAAGCCTTCCTCCTGTTTCCCACCTCATAATGGCAACTCAACTCAAGGAGCACCTCGTTGCGCCTTGAGTGACACCTCTCTGACCCTTGACTGACGCCTGACTGCCCCCTGAGTAACACCTCTCTGCACCTCGAGTAACACCTCTCTGCACCTTGAGTAACACCTCTCTGCATCTCGAGTAACACCTCTCTGCACCTCGAGTAACACCTCTCTGCACCTCGAGTAACACCTCTCTGCACCTCGAGTAACACCTCTCTGCACCTCGAGTGGTAACCTCTCTGCACCTCGAGTAACACCTCTCTGCACCTTGAGTAACAACCTCCCTCCGCCTTGTGTAACACCCTTCTGCACCTTGTGAAACACCTCTCCACCTTTAGTGTCAGTGCTCCTTGCCAGTGAATTTCCCCTCACTTCCCCTCCCTTAGTGACAGCACTGCCACACCCTCTGCAATCGCTGCTGCCGTCTCCCCTCCCTTCCCTCCTGCTTTCTCCCCTGCACCTCCCTGCTTCCCCCCTCCTGCTGCCCCACCACTCTCATCAGCACCAGCACCAGCAGCACCAACAGCAGCAGCACCACCAGTTGCAGTTCCCACCTTCTCTCCTTCACCTATCGCACCAGCAGCAGCAGCAGCGGCGGCAGCAGCGGCGGCAGCAGGTGTAGGGCTAGGCATGACAGACGCAGGCAGCATACTGGCAAGTGCACTCGCACTACTAGACACTCCTCCTCCTCCACCCACCAGCCCCGACCCTGCTCCCCCTCCTCCTCCCCCTCCACCTCCTCCTCCCCCTCCTCCTCCCCCTCCCCCACGCCCACCTCTCCCTCGCCCTGCGCCAGGAGCAGCACCAATAGGCCCTGTGTGAGAGTACATCATCCTCCCATGTCCCCCAAACCCACCAGCAGCCGCAGCAGCAGCAGCAGCTCCCGCAGCACCAATAGCAGCGCCGGGCGCAGCGTTGGCGGGAAGAGGCAGGCCGGCAGGGCCAAAAGCAGGGTTGATTGGGCCGAGCGGCATAAGAGGCGGGAAGGGGAAGTCAAGTGGGCGGGCGTCTAGTCGAGGCTGGGAAATCAGGGGAACAGGGGGGAAACGGAAAATGGATGGGACAGGGAATCAAGGGAGCAAGAGAACAGGGGAACAGGTGAAAGGGGAGAGGAGTGAGTAAGTAGCTGCAGTGTAGCCTGGCACACCGGCAGGACCAAAGGCAGAGTTGATTGGCCGAGAGGCATGAGAGGCGGGAAGGGGAAGTTCAGCGGACGAGCGCCAAGGCGGAGCTGGGAGGAGCGGGGCAGAAAGGGGAGAGGTATGAGAGGCAAGAAGGGGTGGGGGAGGGGAGTGAGGGAGGGGGGCGGAACGGGAAGGCACAGAAAGGGAACGGGAAGGGGAAGGGGAAGGGGAAGGGAGCTGGGGAGGGGGAGGTGGGAGGTGCCCTAATTTGGGTCCTGCGGCAGCAGCACTGGTCCAACAATCGCCCCACTACAATCCGCCTCTGCTGCTGGCTTTTGATTCGACTCAAAAGTCAGCTTTTTACAATCCCAAGAACTCAAGAGAAATACCTGAGGCAGAAGCACTGGTCCCGGATTCCGCCCCACTACAATCCGCCTCTGCTGCTGCTGCTGCTGCTGGTGCTGCTGATGCTGCTGTTGCTGCTGCATATGCTGTTGCTGCTGATGTTGCATCTGCTGTTGCTGCAGCAGCTGCCGCTGCTGATGATGGGGATGCTGCTGCTGCTGCTGCTGCTGCTGCTGCTGCTGCTGCTGCTGCTGCTGCTGCTGCTGCTGCTGCTGCTGCTGCTGCTGCTGCTGCTGCTGCTGCTGCTGCTGCTGCTGCTGCTGCTGCTGCTGCTGCTGCTGCTGCTGCTGCTGTTGCTGCTGGTGCTGTTGCTGCTGCAGGTGCGGGTGCTGCTGCTGGTGAGGGAAGGGGTGGGAAGGGTGGCGGGCCTTGCGCTCCTGCATGGCGCGCTGGCGCGAGTCGTAGAAGGTAAAGTCGTCCAGAATGGACGTGCGGGACGAATAGCCCTTGAACAGCCGCAGCATCTCCTGCCCCTGCTGCAGTGGCACCTGGAGGAGGGAAGGAGGGGTACGAAGGGAAGGGGGAACGGAGAAGTGCAAAGAGAAGCGCATGGAATAGGGACTAATAGCCCTTGAACGGCCGCTGCATCTCCTGCCCCTGCTGCAGCGGCACCTGCCGGGGGGAAGGAGGAGGGAGGGGAGAATTGGGAAGAGCAAGGAGGTTATTGGTGACGAGGGAATAGGAAAGGATGGAATGGACATGCGCAACGAGAACGCTTTGAACAGCCGCAGCATCTCCTGCCCCTGCTGCAGGGGAAAGGGAGGAAGGGAGAACGGCGGGGAAATGACGGGGGAACGTCCTTGCAAATGCCCCTTCCTCTTGTCCTGCTGCCATTACTCCCCCACCCCATCCCCCTGCCCCACTTCCCAACCCCTTCAACACCTCATTTCCCCACTGCTTTACGCTCTCCCCCGCACAGAGTGCACACACACCAGCCACTGTTTTTTGAGATTTCTCAAAAAACATACTCTCCCCCGCACAGCGCGCACACACACCAGCCACTGCCTACCCTCTGCCCTCGACCACCCTCCTTCCTCACCTCATCGCCAACCCCCCTGTCCCACTTCTCACCCCTTTCCCCACCCTGTTTGCCCACTGCTTTACGCTCTCCCCCGGCAGCGCACGGTCACACACCAGCCACTGTCCTACCCTCTGCCCTCGACCACCCTCCTTCCTCACCTCCTGGGTGTCGCAGCTGTTGGTGACGGGCTTCCCATCATTAGACTCAATGATGATATGCCGGAACTGCGAGTTGGGCACGTCCTTGATGATATGCCACTTGACCATCACCTACCCTCCTGTGACCACCTCTCCTTACCTCTTGTGTGTCGCGGCTGTTGGTAACCGGTTTGCCATCATTGGAAGCAATGATGATGTGCCGGAACTGCGAATTAGGAACGTCCTTGATGATATGCCACTTGACTTGGAAGTGTCCGTTCCACTTGTCCTGCTGCCAGTAGTCCACACTTCGAGTGAAGTCCACTGGGGTCAGCATTTCTGCCACCCCACAGAACTGCCCACTCGCGTTCACCTGGGCAGGGCAGGGCGGGTTGGTGTGGGTGGTGGGCGGAAGAGAGGGGAGAATGAGAGGGGAGTCCACCGCGTGTGAGTGAAGTCCACTGGGGTCAGCATCTCTGCCACCCCACAGAACTGCCCACTCGCGTTCACCTGGACATGGGGGGAGAAAGAGGAGTAGGGAAGTCGGGGAGGGAAGATAGGGGAGGAGAAGAGAGTTGGGTGGGAAGTGTCCGTTCCACTTGTCCGGCTGCCAGTAGTCCACACTTCGAGTGAAGTCCACTGGGGTTAACATCTCTGCCACACCACAGAACTGCCCACTCGCGTTCACCTGGAGGGTGGGGAGGGCACATGTGGAAGCAGGGGAGAGGGGGATAGGGAGGAAAGAGGAGGGGGGAGGATTGTCTGGTTCAGAGTATCCGTTCAAAATGCCTGCTTTGGGTGTCTGGTTCACAAAAGTGTGTGGATTAGGGATTCCGGTTCAAGGTGTCTGATTCGGGGTTTGGGGTTTCTGGGTTAAGGTTTCTGGTGCAGGGCAGAGCAGGCGCGCGCGCGCGCGCACACACACACACACACACACACACACACACACACACACCAAACGTACGGAGAAGAAGAGGAAGACGGGGCAGAGGGTGGCGGTGCTCTTCCCTGCGGCGTCCTTCTGGTTTAGGGGTTTCCGGTCCGGGTTACAGCAGCAGGCACAAGCACCAGACTTACAGAGAAGAAGAGGAAGACGGGGCAGAGGGTGGCGGTGCTCTTCCCTGCGGCGTCCTTGAAGGCGGCATCGAGGCGCTTGTTGCCCGTGGGGGTGGACGCCCACACGCCGTACTTGATGCTCTTGTGCACATCGTCCTCGCTGTAGCTCTTTATCACGAAGAACCGCGCCGCATCGTACGACGCCTTGAAATCCGCCCGGTTATACTCGTCCGGACGTAGGGTTATCCCACCCCGGGCCGGCCCCCCCCCTACTGCCGCTGCTGCTCCCCCTGCCACCGCCGCCCCTCCTGCTCCCCCTGCCCCCACCGCTCCCCCACCTCCCAAGGCTGTCCCTGCTCCCACCCCTGCTGCAGCAGCTGCAGTAGCAGCAGCAGCGCCTATAGGCTCCCCTATGGCACCAGCAGCTGCGCCTATAGGCATAGACGCACTGGGGGCGCCAGTTGCGGAGGGGGCAGCTAGGCCTTGCCCCCTACTTCTGCCCGTTCTAGGCCCTCTGTTTTGCTCACTAGACCCGTCATACACGCCGTTTTGCTGTCCCTGCTGCCCCTGCTGCCCCTGTTGACCCATCTGCTGCTGGTGCTGCCCCTGCCCCCCCATGCTGCCTAGCAAACCAGCCCCTCTGTTGGCGGGGGAACCGGCTCCCCCAGTGTTCCCCCCGCCTCCCCCTGCTGCTCCCCCTGCCCCTGTGCCCGCTCCTGCTCCTCCCCCGCCTGTTGTAGAAACTGCTCCCCCTCCGCCTGCACCTGCACTTGCACCCGCCCCACTTCCGCTCCCCCCTCCGCCTCCCTGGTTCCCACCCCCAGGGCCTTGCCCCCGCCTGTTCCCCCCCCATCCGCGCCCACCTCCCCTTCCCCCTCCTCCGCCACCGTCCCCCCCACGCCCGCCTCCCCCGCGCCCGCCCATATTCTGCTGCCCCCCGCGGGGGAGGAGATTGTACCCCCCCCGGCCCATGGGGAGCGGGTTTATGGGGGGGAGGCGGAGGACATGGGGGAGGGGCGCGGGTAGGCGTGCATGGGCATGTGGGGCATGTGGGGAGGGGCGCCGATCACTGGGGGCATGTGACCCGGGCGGATGTGCGCGGATGCTGCGCCTGGCTGGGCGGAATCGCCAGGCTGGGCTGGGTCTGGGGGGAGGGGGGAACGAAGAAAGAAAGGAACGGGTGGGGGTGGGGGAGGGAGGGGGTTGGGGGAGGTGGCAGGAAAGGGGACGGATGGGGGGAGATTAGCATGAGTGAGAGTGGGGGAGGGGCAAGACTGGAGGCATGTGGAATGGGGTGCCGATCACTGGGGGCATGTGACCAGGGCGGATGTGCGCGGATGCTGCGCCTGGCTGGGAGGAATCGCCAGGCTGGGCTGGGTCTGGGCGGAAGAAGGTGTGTGGGGGGAGGGGGGAGGGGGAGGGGGGGGGGGGGGGTTGGGGTCGAGGAGGGAGGAGGAATGGGGGGTGGGGACACAGCATGAGCGAGAGAAAGGCCAGACTGGGGGCATGTGACCCGGGCGGATGTGTGTGGATGCTGCGCCTGGCTGGGCGGAATCGCCAGGCTGGGCTGGATCTGGGGGAGGGGAACGGGGAAACGGGGTGGGGGGAGGAAAAGGGAGTAAGGAGGGGGGGCCGCGTGTTGGTGGGATATGGGAAGGATGAGGGGAACACGGTCTCAGAGAGAGTAGACCACGGGCAAGCGGGGAGGGACGACAATTACTGGGGGCATGTGAGGGGGGTGTGGGCGCAATATGTTTCCCCCCATCAAGGGGGGTGCGCCCGTCCCTGACTCACAACTTACCTCCAGGCGAGGGGGGCCGGAGCAGGGGCGGCTGGAACATGGGAGGGCCTTGGAAGGGGTAACCGGGGGGAGGGGGGCCGAACATGTGTGCGCCCATCATGGACGGGTTCGTGCCCGGGGGCATGAACGGCATGAAGCCGGGCAGGGGGTGGTGAAGTGCCATGCCTGACTCACGACTTACCGCCAGGCGAAGGGGGGCGGAGTAGGGGCGGCTGGAACATGGGAGGACCTTGGAAGGGGTAACCGGGCGGAGGGGGGCCGAACATGTGTGCGCCCATCATGGATGGGTGCGCGCCCGGGGGCATGAATGGCATGAAGCCGGGAGGGGGGTGGTGAAGTGCCATGCCCTGCTGCTGCTGGGGTTGTTGGGGTTGCTGGGGTTGCTGGGACTGCTGTTGTTGCTGCGGCTGGTTAGGTTGCTGCCCTTGCTGTTGCACTTGCTGCTGCTGCTGCTGCTGCTGCTGGCCTGACGGTTGCTGTCCTGTCTGCTGGTTGCTGCTTTGTGCTTGCTTCTGATCCTGTTGTTGCTGCTGCTGCGCGTTTTGCGTCGGCTGCTGATCCTGCTGCCCCTGCTGCCCCTGCCCCTGCTGCTGCACCTGCCCCTGCCCCTGCTGCTGCCCCTGCCCCTGCCCCTGCTGCTGCTGCCCCTGCCCCTGCCCCTGCCCCTGCCCCTGCCCCTGCCCCTGCCCTTGCACCTGCCCTTGCCCCTGCTGCCCCTGCTGTGACTGCTGCTGCGCAGTCAACGGAGGCGGGGGTTGTGGCTGCCCGGGTGGAGGTGGGTGCATCATGTGCGGCTGGGGTGGTTGGCCGGGCGCATGGGGAGGCATAAGGCCGGGCGGCATGTGTGGGTGCGGGTAGTGTGGCACGTGAAACCCGAACCCTGGCTGTAGGCAAAAGGACAGGGGTAAAGCAGAGGTGAAATGAGAAAAAGATAGCTGAAAAGACACGGCATCCGTAAGAGGAGAGATTCAACACCTCTCGGCGGGTTTTTAGGAGGTTTAGGAGGCACGCTACTGAGCCTTTCAGCTAAACCGCAGATGGCGACGGCTTTGCAAACGGCTATCAAACAACCTTGTAAGCGGCCCCGGGCAAACGGTGTTATAGACTACCCAGACCCCCTACCGGCGGGTGCTGGCCGTCCATCATGCCCGCTCCCCCGTCCATCCGCGCGGCCATGCGCATGTACTCCTCCCACTGCTCCGGGAGCATGCGCGGGGGTTCCGCATAGCCTGCGTAGGGGGGAAAGGAGGGGGTTTGGGGAGGAGGGGTGGGGGGGTGGGTTGGGGGGTTTGGGTGGGGTGGTTCTAGGGTGTGTTCTGAAAAATCCCCCACTGCTCCCACTGCTCTTTAGGCATCCATGGCGGATCCGCGTTGCCTGGCGGGGAACATTATCAGAAAAAGGTTAAGCTGTTTAAAAGGGGGTGAGAGAGAGGCGGGAGGAGACGGGACGACGGGAAAACTGGACACCTGGATGTTGAGAGAAATAGCGGGAAGTAAATAACGGAGAATGTATGGAACGAAAATTTCATTGGAAAAAAAGGCGGGGATGGGAGGGCGGCGGGTGGGGGACGAATGTGTGGGAGGGGGGCCAGGGGAGGGAGAGAGTTGGGGGAAGCTGGGGGGGATTGGGAGCGGGAGTAACTGAGCTTGTTGGGCTAGTTAGTAAAGAACTGACCTGGCATGGAATAGTCATAGTAATAGTGGGGGATGTATCCATTCCCGGGGTAGTACATGCCATGCATATCCGGCCCCATAGGCGGAACCATATACGGCTGCATGTGCTGCATTCCCCCGGGCATCGGCTGCATCACAGGAGACGCGCCCGCCACCCCCCCTGCGCCGGGTGCTCCGCCTGCGCCCGGAACCCCCGCGCCTGGGGGAAGGGTTCCAGGCGGGCCGGCGATTCCAGGGCCCGCGGGCGCGGCGACGGCGCCAGGCGGTGGTTGGAAAGAGCCCCCTGGTGCTGTATGGGAACCCCCTGTTGCTCCTGGAGCCTGCATGGAATGAGAATGGCAGCGTAAATGGGAATGAGGCATAGAAAGTATGCGGAAATCGCAGAGTGTTTTGAGAATTCTCGAAAACATCTAGCAAGAAACCCTTGGCGGTGCACGGGAACCCCCTGCTACTCCTAGAGCCTGGATGGGACGAAGCGTAAAAGGGGATGCGCGGAAATCCCGCTGCTATTGGTAGTTGCCAGTGACGAAAACGTTTAATGTGAATCACTTCATTTCGTATATCGTCTTTATTAGGACGCCTTCTGGCTTGTCGCCGACTGGTCCAGTCCGTCAGATGGGATAGGCTTAATACCTCTTGCGGAGTATTTTGTGTATCGAGGAACGTTTGCAGACGAGGTGAATGCGGATTGGTGGACTCCAAGAATTCCTTTGAGACTAAAAAGGATATACTTTTTCTAGACAACGCGCGCATTTGCGACCCCCCCCCTTCCCCCCCCAAATAAAAAAGCTAGGTTCGCACGGAGAGGATAAGAGCACACCCTTAACAAATTATTTTTTTGAAAACAATTCAGAAGTCTTTAAGCTCTTATGAATTGTGGCGAATGTACCTCTGCTGATGGAGCCGCAGCAGTGGGAGCTGCTGCTCCGTTGGAGCCGCTAGATCCCTCTGGTTTGTTGGAAGCTGTTGATAGAGAATAACGCAGGAAGCCGGAAAAAGACCGTAGAAAAAAAGGAAGAAAAACTTTTATATATGACTGGTGCTAAGAGTTACGGCTGGAATGCACGCAGCAGCAGCTGCTGCTAATGCTGCTGCAATGAACTAGTTCATCATCAGTAGAAAACAGGTCCACAGAAGCTGAAGTGATGAAGAGCAGTGAATTCACTTCAGCGTTCATAGTGAACACGAGTAATTTGTAACATCCGGGAAAATAGCAAACATTGTCGACGTGAGATGTACACCTTGTCCGTCTTGCGTGACGCTGGACGCAGGTCCGGCCATGGCTTCTTACTTTCCGAATTAGGGTTCTCAGGAGATTTCGAGGATGACTAAAAAACTGCTACACAAGGCGTAAATTAAGGACAACAAAAATAAACCTACAACAAATGAAAATAAAATCTAAAGAGCTAATCGTATCTGCCTTGCATGTGTCCCTTGCAGGCACTATCTAGAGCTCTAGATCTCCATTCAGGGAATAGAATGGAGAAGGAAGAAGGGAGGAAAAGAAAAGAGCCTAGTTTTCGGAAAAGAAAGCTTGAATCTTGCTTCAATATCTGCCTCCTGGTTTCATGGCTCTCGGCTCTGTTCAGGAAGCTGGCAATTTTCATATTGGATGGTGTAGGATCGACTATATATCGTACTGAACCACTAATAAACTGCTTTGTAATCTTCCGAAACTCGTCCAACCGCGCTGTAAACATGTTTCCGAGGGTGATGGAACCTGGGCCTCAGGGCTTTCTGTCTTCATTCATCCCTCTTCCCTCCAAAACCACCCCGCACAACACACGCATCCCCCTTTCCACCGCAGTCTCTCCATGCCCCGAGGCATTCAGAGACGAGTCATCAACGCTCATTCGCGGGCCATGATCCATCTGGGGACTCCGATCTCGGCGAAGGTGCAAATCTCCTCGTTCTCGCGCCGGCGATTGTCGCCGAACCGATAGTATCTCGACCGTCCCAATTTCGCCAGATTCGCCAAGCACCGAATGACCCTGCCGAGTGTTGTTGGGGAAACCAGTATTGGAGGGAGCTGGCTTGATTGGTTGGCTCCGCCCAGAGATTGCCGTGGCACCTTGGGTTTGCTTTGCACCTTGCAGGGGGGATAAGTCCTCCATTGCAGCACATTACATTGACGGAAACAACCCTCAATCAAGCGCATGTTATACCTTTTTTAGGAGTTACAAAATTGACGTGCTGGAATTCACTCAACGTGCAAGGAAACTCTATCCACCCACCCATCAGGTAGCAATTACAATCGTTTCATCCTTCTAAAAGAAATGGCTGTCTCGAATGATTGAGAGGCGCACAACTGGATGTTGTTGGAATGGAACTCAAACACTAACAATTGATACAAACAATCTATTCGTTCCAATAAGTCGCCACTACACGTATTTACAGCAAATCCAGCAGCACGTTATAAAGCAACCTCACCCATTCGTCAGGGGGTCCTGGCAAGCAATAATGCAAGCAATCATTCTTCGGATTGTAGTGCCCATCAGCCCTAAGTGCTGTAATGGCATTAATATCCAAAAAGACACCACCGATGCCCTCAACCAGCCTTCTTGCCTCCTCATTCTGCTTCGCAAACTCGCCCCATGAAAATGGCAATGCAGCACTTTCCTGTGGCTCTTTCCGAGGCTCGGAGTACAAGTTACACATATCATGGCCTGGAGGTGTGCTTCGGTAGATTATAAGCAACTCCGGTGCAGCTGCACGCACTGTAGTGAGCGTGTGATTGAGTTCCCATACGAAACGCGAAGTCTCTACAAAGTGAGCGCCCCGGTTGAGAACCAGAACCGATATTGGCGAATCGATCAAGAGTTTCTCCTCGAGAGTCAACCCAACTCCGTTAGTAAGGCTTGTTAAAAGTTGGGCTTCTCGTGCTCCCGGAGATCCCAAGGTTGCAGCGGAATTCAACGGTACAGATTCATTCTGAAGTTTCACGTGTGCTATTGCTGCTGCTGCTGCTGCTGCTGCTGCTGCTTCTGATGCTTCTGCTGCTTCTGCTGCTGGTGCGGTGGCAGCAGCAATTGGATCACTGGTTTCCCGAAGCAAGTCCAGCCAGGGGATGTAGGCTGATTTAGACGTGCTGTTGACTGCTGGTTCCAAGTTCGTGTGAAGCCCATCATTCCGTACGAAGAGCACTGACACGTTCACCGAGTGGTTGACTGTTTCTTTGGCTGACCCGTTGACTGGCACGTTGACTGCACTGTTGACTGACAATTTGACCGGGTGGTTGACCGCCTCATCTACTGCTCCACTGACTGAGGTACTGAGAGGACCGGTGACCGAGTCGTTAACTGGGACGTCGAGAGAACCGTTGGTTGAGGTGGTGTTGTCTAGCCCATTGACCGAGCCATTGATTGGGGTTTTAATCAAGGTGTTCGTGGGACTTCCAGTCAAGGTGTTGATCGGACCTTCAGTCGAGGCTGGGATGGTGTTGGAGGAGGTGAAGGCTTGGAACACAAAGCCCTCGCAGGCTCGGGGAAACCGGGGCTTGTGCAGCTCTGGAAAGTCACCTGTGCGGATGTGACAAAAGGGAGGGACGACGCCAGTCACTTCAGGGAATGGTGATGATGGTAATTTTGAAACCCCTGATTCTTCCGATGCTGCTGCTGTTGCTGCTGCTGATCCGTGTGCTTCTGGCGCAGTTGCTGCCTTGGCTGCACCTTCTGCTGCTGCTGCTGCTGCTGCTTCTCCTGCTGCTGCTGAATAAGATGATGATGCTTCTACTTCTACTGAAGAGATTATAAGCGCTGCTTCGTTCAGCAGCCCCAGCTCTGCTCTAGTGGTTACCATGCGGAACTGGTTGCGCAGGGCAGAGTACAAAATGTGGTTGATCGAATCCCCCACTATAAGCACCTTCGTCCCCCCCAGCTTCTCAGCAAGTCTCAACCCATCCACATCCCTCCACTCACCGCACTCACCGCTCTCCACCTCCCACTGGTACTTAGCAGCTGGACGAACGTTCCATTGACTACCAAAGCCCCCTACTGTCCCGTTCACTCCTGCTGCTGTCCCTCCTGCTCCCTCTGCTGCAGCCTCTGCTGCTGCCCCTACTGCTGCCACTGCTGCTGCCCCTCCTGCTGCCTCTGCTGTTGCCCCTCCTGCTGCATTTGCTGCTAACCTTGCTGCTGCGCTTGCTGCTAACCTCGCTGCTGCGCTTGCAGCTAACCTTGCTGCTTTTAGTCGCCGCTTTCCCCTCCCTTTCCTCTTGCCTCTTTCTTCACCCATTCCCCTTGCCCTTCTTTCCGCTTCCGCCTCCCCGTCTGCTATGCCTGCACTCCCCCCTCTTCCCCTTCCCCCTTCCCCAATCCGCGCAGAATTCACCCCTCGCTTCGCTTCAATCGCCTTCGCTGCAATCACATCCGCGTCACGGAACGCCACGTGGCCGGGCGTGTGGATCCAACGGTCGTCACACTCCCACTCGCTCCGGTGGCTTTGCTTCCGCGACCACGGCAGCAGGCGCGGAGCGGGCGGAAGCACCCACTTTCCGCGCGTGGACAAGCAGCGCCAGCGCCGCCGCAGTTGCGCCAGATGCGCGCGGGAGCGCACGCGGGATCCGGGGATGAGCGGAGGTGGAAGTGGGGGAGGGGGAGTGGCGGAGGGCGCGGGATGGGGAAAGGGAGTGGCGGAGAGTGGCGTCAAGGTGTCAGCGATGGACGATGATTCGTCTTGATTTAGTTGATTACTGTCACCCGCATCACTAGTACTCATATACCCCATGCGAACATCATCAGTCGTTTGTAGCCACACAGCTGTCCCATGCGACTTAGCGGACCCGCCTAAAGCGAGGATAGTACCCTGAGGCTGGCTCACCCGAAATGCAACAACCGCCAGAAGCACCGCTAGGATCAGCAACAGCAGCAGCGGAAAAGTATTCTCGAGATTCTGCAGTCTCGCTGATTTTGGATCGCTGCCAAATGCTTGTTGCACTGCAGCGCGCCAATGCCACGTCAGATTCTGCGGCCTGGGAAGCACCTGAGAATCCGGGATTCTTTCAGGGTCGATGGGATGTGACACGTCAGGGGGGGGTGACTGGGTGGGAAGGTCCGGGTCTGCCGCTCTGGCGAAACGCCAGGGGAGAAGGGCAGGCGTGCGAAATAGATTCGACATTCGCGACGATCGTGGAGCGTTGTAACATTCGTCAGGCCCGGAAAGTTTCTCTCTGCATGATAATTCTGTAATCGCGTCGTTCAAGCTGCAGAGTACCGCCAAATCCGGCGATGATGATTCTGCTCTCTCTGAATCCCCTAATTCCAGTAATCCCGCTTGTTCTCCTGGCTGGTTCCGATACATGTCGGTGTCACTCGAAGGCATACCGCTATCCACTGTTCTGTCGGCTGATTCCGGACCCTGCCACGCGTTGGGAGGCATCCATTACCAGTTGAATATTCCAGTTGCAGCAGATTTGGGAAAACAAACTTGGGCGATATGACCCAATAAAAATTACTGCCACGTTAGCTATGGGGCTAGAGTGACTTTTGAGTCCATTAGGAAGCGTTGCAAACTACGGAACGGATACACGAGTTTCTCGCGTTGTTCGATCGGCAGGATTTCGGCGTGCTCTCGACGCACAAAAACTAAACTGTTTCAGTGGTCGGCTCGGCAATCGATTGCAGCTGATGAACTTGAAATTCCTCACGGATCATGCGGAAACCGGGTGAGCGAGTGAGTGAATCCAGTGAAAGGGTGAGGCATGAATCCTTCTCCCAGCTGACAGAAGCAGAGGGGAGAGAGGCGATGAGGGAGGGAACAGGAGGAGGGAGGGAGGCAGGAACGACGGAGCCGCGAACGGGGAAGGTTGATTTGTGAATGAGGGGCCAATTCCGATTGCCAGCAAGCCAGATTGTCCATTCGGAAGGATCGAACGGTTGATATTGATAGCGTCTGGACAAGATGGATGGCGGCTGGTAGAAACGAGGGGCGGCGGTTCCAGGACCCACGGCTTCGGCTATTGGAGGGTGCGGATGGGATCGCGGGAAATTGGGAGGTGAAGGGATCGTCGCGTCGCGATTCCTCTGAGCCCCTGCAAATTTGCAGGTTTTTTGGCATGGTTACGATGCGTATCTCTAAAAGTATCGAAGCTGCTGTGTTCGACCTATTTACGGTACTGACCAGTTGTATCGTAAGTTCTCCTGATTTACCACTTCAAAGCATCTGTGTGGCACAAACGGTAGTAGAGGCACAGCACATCTCAGTCACAGCAGGTCTTTATCATTATATCGTTGCACTAAGGAGGTTTTTCGGCCACTGAATAGTTGGTTTAGTACACCCGAGCCTTGGGTGGGAAGGTCTGCACTTGGTCGTCGAGTGTGTTCATGTGCACCGGGCGATAATCAAGTTTCACCTTGCCATTGTCCCAATACCTGAACACATGCAAGAGCACAATAGCTAAGGAGGTGAGCAGCGAAAGTGTAATTTGCGATAATAACGTTTGATTGAAAAAACATTAGGTGTGACAGGGGCAACAGCAAGCAAATCATTCAGCAGCAAGTGGTTTACAAACCACTCGTAAGTAGCAAAGGGACGGAAAGGAGTATGGGTGATGCAAAGGAGTGTGACTATACCCGACGGTGTGCTTCATCCAGTTGACGTCGTCACGGTTCTGCAAGGCACACCAGGCATGCCATGAGAGTTGGGGGGGGGGGGGGGGAGAGAAGACAGTCCAAGGGTGGGGGGAGGAGCAGATACAGGGTGCATGAAAAGAGTGAGAGTGAGTGTGCTGCAAGGTACAACAGGCACGCCAAGGTGCAATTGTGCGACTTCCCAGAGAGAAATCTTGCGGGTCACTCAAGGGCACAAACACAGAGTGACGCAGAATCCTCAAGCGCACACCGGAAAGTCTTCACGTGCGTGTGCGCCTCTGCTCTCCTTCCTCGCTTCAGCCGAGTGCATGGTGATGAGTGCGTTGGTGAGCAGAGAGAGAGGGGGGCATACGAGTGCACAAGAATAATGACAGCCACTCACCGGGAAGTCCTCCCTGGCGTGTGCGCCTCTGCTCTCCTTCCTCGCTTCAGCCGAGTGCATGGTTATGAGCGCGTTGGTGAGCAGTCGGGCGGGTTGAGAAGATGTACTGAGTGTGCTAGTGCAAGCGCTCACCAGAGAAAGGTGTACCGAGGGCGCCCACCGGGAAGTCTTTCCGGGCGTGCGCTCCTCTGCTCTCCTTCCTCGCTTCAGCCGAGTGCATGGCGGTGAGCGCGTTGGTGAGTCGAGGGAGAGAGGCGTGTGCATGCTCTCACCAAAGGAAGGTGTCAATACTTCAAGGTCCATGCAAGGGCTTGCACTCACCGGGAAGTCTTCCCTAGCATGAGCTTCTCTGCTCTCCTTTCTCGCTTCAGCCGAGTGCATGGCGATGAGCGCGTCCTCGAGCAGAGAGAAAGGGGGCATGCGAGTGCACTCACTGGAGGGAGGTATTGATTTCCCGGTCAGAATGAGGGTGTATGCTTACTGAAAAATCCTCCCTGGCGTGTGCTCCTCTGCTCTCCTTCCTTGCTTCAGCCGAGTGCATCATGGTGATGTGCGCGTCGGTGAGCAGAGACAGCGATCGTATGCTTACTGGGAAATCAACAGCCACTCACCGGGAAGCGTTGGTGAGCAGATTCTCCAGCTCCATCATTTCCACCAGACCCGTGTTCCACACCAGCTTGCTGTTCTCTGCCCTGCCCTGCTCTGCCCTGCCCTGCTCTGCCCTGCCCTGATCTGCCCTGCCCTGATCTGCCCTGCCCTGCTCTGCTCTGCCCTGCCCTGCTCTGCCCTGCGCTGCTCCATTCTGCACACACCCTACCCTAGCCACTCAGCTGAGTGCATGGTGAAGAGCGCGTTGGTGAGCAGAGAGAGCGAGGGGCGTGCGCATGCAATCACCGGTAGGAGGCACAAACTCTCAGTCAAAATCAGAGCCAGAGTGTACTCACCGGGAAGTCCTCCCTAGCATGCGCTCCTCTGCTCTCCTTCCTCGCCTCAGCCGAGTGCATGGTGATGAGCGCATTGGTGAGCAGATTCTCCAGCTCCAATGTCTCAATCAGGTCCGTGTTCCAGATGAGGCTGCGGTCCGTTACTCCCACTTGCTCGAATGACTTCCACGTTTCGTCAATCAGCTCACAGCCTGTATAGCCAAGGGCGTCAACAAGGGAAGGGGGGAGGGACGGAATGGCATGTGGTGAGCAGATTCTCCAGCTCCATCGTCTCAATCAGGTCCGTGTTCCAGATGAGGCTGCGGTCGGTTACTCCCACTTGCTCGAATGATTTCCACGTCTCGTCAATCAGCTCACAGCCTGTGAGTGCATGGGCGCGGGCGTCAGCATGGGAGAATAGGGGGAGACGGAATGACATGTGGCATATAGGGAGTGTGTGATTCTCCAGCTCCATTGTCTCCACCAGGTCCGTGCTCCAGATGAGACTGCGGTCGGTCACTCCTACATGTTCGAATGACTTCCAGGTTTTAATGAGCTCACAGCCTGTGAACGCATGGGGAGAGCGGGGAGGCGTTAAGAAGATTCTCCAGCTCCAACGCCTCCACCAGGTCCGTGTTCCAGATGAGACTGCGGTCCGTATTTCCCCGCCCACGCACCTTCCGCCAGAGTCTCCTGGGTGCGGAACACAGCAGCGTTGTTCTGCATCACGCGCTGCATGTTGCCTCGGATCTTGGCCGTGCTGAGCTCACTGTGCTGTCTGCCAAGCCCTTACGCATCCCGAGAACCCCAAGCATTTCCCCATCCCTCCTACCCCACTCACTCACCTTCCTGCAGGGTCTCCTGGGTGTGGAACACAGCAGCATTATTCTGCATGACACGCTGCATGTTGCCTCGGATCTTGGCCGTGCTGAGCTCACTGTGCTGTCTGCCAAGCCCTTACGCATCCCGAGAACCCCAAGCATTTCCCCATCCCTCCTACCCCACTCACTCACCTTCCTGCAGGGTCTCCTGGGTGTGGAACACAGCAGCATTATTCTGCATGACACGCTGCATGTTGCCTCGGATCTTGGCCGTGCTGAGCTCACTGTGCTGTCTGCCAAGCCCTTACGCATCCCGAGAACCCCAAGCATTTCCCCATCCCTCCTACCCCACTCACTCACCTTCCTGCAGGGTCTCCTGGGTGTGGAACACAGCAGCGTTGTTCTGCATCACCCTCTGCATGTTCCCTCGGATCATGGCCGTGCTGAGCTCACTGTGTGCTGTCTGCCAAGCCCTTACCCATCCACCCTACTCCAAGGTTTCCCCAGGCCCACCTACCCCAATCACTCACCTTCCTGAAGAGTCTCCTGGGTGCGGAACACAGCGGCGTTGTTCTGCATGACCCTCTGCATGTTGCCTCGGATCTTGGCAGTGCTGAGCTCGCCCTTGGCGTATCGCAGCCTGTCCATCCACTCAATCGTCTTCTGCCCCGCATCTGCAGGGAGAGGGGGCTGGGGCGCGCCTGCGGTCACGTGTGTTTGAGAAGGAGGCAGAGGAGAGGAGCAGGTCAGGGAAAGAAGGGGTAAAAACGGTGAAGGGAAGGGGCATAGAGGGAGCATGGGATCTTGGCAGTGCTGAGCTCGCCCTTGGCGTATCGCAGCCTGTCCATCCACTCAATCGTCTTCTGCCCCGCATCCGCTGGCAGAGGGGGCTGTGGCGCTCCTGTGAAAGAGGAACGGCATCATAAGGAGAACAAAAACAACAAGGTGTGAGGGCTCGCCTTTGGCGTATCGCAGCCTGTCCATCCACTCAATCGTCTTCTGCCCCGCATCCGCTGGCAGGGGCGGCTGTGGTGCACCTGCACGGGAGAGAAGACAAGACATCATAGGGGGAAGTGAAGGAGCAAGAGGTGAGGCGTTGAGCTCGCCCTTGGCGTATCGCAGCCTGTCCATCCATTCGATCGTCTTCTGCCCCGCATCCGCTGGGAGAGGGGGCTGTGGCGCTCCTGCAAGTATGGAAGGACGTGGGCAGGGGAGGGAAGGGCACAGCAGGGAGACAGGAAACAGAAGGAGAATAAGATCTTGGCCGGGCTGAGCTCGCCCTTGGCGTATCGCAGCCTGTCCATCCACTCGATGGTCTTCTGCCCCGCGTCTGCAGGGAGGGGCGGCTGTGGCGCTCCTGCAAGCAGGAAAAAAGACAGGACATTATCGGGGGGAGGGAAGGAGCAAGATGTGCGTGGTAGCCCTTGGCGTATCGCAGCCTGTCCATCCATTCGATCATCTTCTGCCCCGCGTCTGCTGGGAGAGGGGGCTGCGGTGCTCCTGGAAGCATGCGTGGGGGAGGAAGGGAGAATGGGGAGAAAAATCAGGGTGAGGAAAGGGGAGCAGCAGGAGAACAAACACTCAAAGACACATGCACAGGGACAGTCACACCCACCCGGCTTGTGAATCTCAGCCACCCGATTAGCGCACGCCCGGCCAAACACCACGATGTCCAGCAGGCTGCTGGCGCCCAGACGGTTGGCCCCGTGCACCGGGACACAGGGGCACATTGGGACCGGGACACAGGGGCACTCACAGACACAGGGACATGGAGACCAACCTGGCTTGTGGATTTCAGCCACTCTGTTAGCACACGCCCGACCAAACACCACGATATCCAGCAGGCTGTTGGCGCCCAGACGGTTGGCCCCGTGGACCGACGCACACGCCAAGGACAGGCACACAGATGGACACACGCACACCCACACACTCACACTCACCTGGCTTGTGAATCTCCGCGACCCTGTTAGCACACGCCCGACCAAACACCACGATGTCCAGCAGGCTGTTGGCGCCCAGACGGTTGGCTCCATGCACCGATGCACACGCCGCCTCGCCTGCTGCCATGAGGCCTGGCACGACTGCATCGGGGTTACCTTCCTTGGGTGCCACGACCTGATACACAGGAAAAGAGACATGGAAAGCAAAGGACGGGAAAAGGAGGAAGTGAGGGGCTGTTGGCGCCCAGACGGTTGGCCCCATGCACCGACGCACATGCTGCCTCTCCTGCTGCCATGAGGCCGGGAACAACTGCATCAGGGTTACCGTCCTTGGGTGCCACGACCTGATGCAGAAGAACCGAATACAGGGAGAGTGATAGGGAAAGGAGGGCGAAAGGAGGGGAAAGGAGGGGTAAGGATGGGTAAGGATGGGTCAGGATGGGTAAGGATGGGTAAGGATGGGTAGGCCCGCAAAGATGCTCCTTGAGCTCATCTCTCCCTGCTCCCTCTCCCTCTCACTCCAGCTCACCTCGCCGTGGTAGTTGGTGGGGATACCGCCCATGTTATAGTGCACCGTGGGCAGCACCGGAATCGGCTCTTTCGTCACATCAACACCTGGGAAGAAAACCCTTCTCTCTCTTCACTCACCTCGCCATGGTAGTTGGTGGGGATACCGCCCATGTTATAGTGCACCGTGGGCAGCACCGGAATCGGCTCTTTCGTCACATCAACACCTGGGAAGAAAACCCTTCTCTCTCTTCACTCACCTCGCCATGGTAGTTGGTGGGGATACCCCCCATGTTATAGTGCACGGTCGGCAGCATGGGAATCGGCTCCTTGGTCACATCAACGCCAGCAAAGATCGCAGCAGTCTCTCTCCCTCCTCACTCACCTCGCCGTGGTAGTTGGTGGGGATGCCGCCCATATTGTAATGCACGGTGGGCAGCACGGGAATCGGCTCTTTGGTCACATCAACGCCAGCAAAAATCGCCGCAGTCTCGCTGATGCCAGGCAGACGCTCCTTGAGCACTTCAGGGGGCAGGTGGTCCAGATGCAGGTACATGTGGTCCCTCAACGGCTCGCACCCTCACCCTCTGCCTCACACTCTCCCCCTCGCTCCGCTCCCTCTCTCTGCTCCCATTCTCGCTCTTTCCGGCTCACCTCCCCATGGTAGTTGGTCGGAATGCCTCCCATATTGTAGTGAACCGTCGGCAGCACTGGAATTGGCTCCTTCGTCACATCCACTCCCGCAAAAATCGCCGCAGTCTCGCTGATGCCAGGCAGACGCTCCTTCAGCACTTCAGGCGGCAGGTGGTCCAGATGCAGGTAGATGTGGTCTTTGAGTGGCCCGCACCCGCGCCCCTCGCGAATCTCCATGGTCATGCTGCGAGACACCACATCCCGGGAGGCTAAGTCCTTGGCCGTCGGAGCATAGCGCTCCATAAAACGCTCTCCCTCGCTGTTGCGCAGAATGCCACCCTCTCCGCGTGACCCTAAGGAGTGGAAGCGGGCAAAAGAGGCAGCAGGGAAGCAGGGAAGCAGGGAAGCAGGGAAGCAGGGAAGCAGGGAAGCAGGGAAGCAGGGAAGCAGGGAAGCAGGGAAGCAGGGAAGCAGGTTTTAGTCAGGGGAGGGAATGGGGTGGGCACAGGACCCTCAGGTTCTCAGGCGGCAGGTGGTCCACATGAAGGTAGATGTGGACCCTCAAAGGGCCGCACCCGCGCCCCTCGCGGATCTCCATGGTCATGCTGCGGGAGACCACGTCCCGGGAGGCTAAGTCCTTGGCTGTTGGGGCGTATCGTTCCATAAACCTCTCGCCCTCGCTGTTTCGAAGGATGCCTCCCTCTCCGCGTGACCCTGAAGGTTGGACGGGGGGGCAGGGAACAGCAACACTTAACGGTCATGGGAGGCTAAGTCCTCGGCTGTGGGAGCATAGCGTTCCATGAACCGCTCCCCCTCGCTGTTGCGCAGAATGCCTCCTTCTCCACGTGATCCTGAGAGTGGACGGGGGAACAGGGAACGGGAATCACATGACAAACAGGTGACAGTCACGCCAGGTCCTTGGCTGTGGGCGCGTATCGCTCCATGAATCGCTCCCCCTCGCTGTTGCACAGAATACCTCCCTCCCCACGCGACCCTGGGAGAATGGAAGAGGGCAGGGCAGAACAGGCAGCAGGGAAGGCAGGAAGCAAACACGACAGTGAGGAAGTAACGTGGTCAACAGCGGTACCAAGAGAAGGGGTCCGCCGCACCACACCGCACCGCACCGCACCCGCGCCCCTGGCGGATCTCCATGGTCATGCTTCAGAAGACAAAGTATTCATACGTTGAGTGATAAGTAGAATGTACCTTCAGTAATAAGGCAACCCGCGCCGTCGATCTCAGTGGGGTGGAACTGCACGAACTCCAGGTCCTGCAGTGGCAGCCCCGCACCACAATGCCTGAATCTACACCTAGAGCGATAAGGCTTATTTACCTTCGGTGATAAGGCATCCAGCCCCATAAATGCCAGTGGGGTGGAACTGCACGAACTCCAGGTCCTGCAGAGAGGCAGCCCTGCACGCGCCACCATGGTGCCTGCCTTGGACACATACACATATCTACACCTGTAAGCGGCAAACACACCTTCAGTGATAAGGCAACCCGCCCCATAAATGCCAGTGGGGTGGAACTGAGCGAACTCCAGGTCCTGCAGAGAGGCAGCCCTGCACGCGCCACCATGGTGCCTGCCTTGGACACATACACATATCTACACCTGTAAGCGGCAAACACACCTTCAGTGATAAGGCAACCCGCCCCATAAATGCCAGTCGGGTGGAACTGAGCGAACTCCAGGTCCTGCAGAGAGGCAGCCCTGCACGCGCCACCATGGTGCCTGCCTTGGACACATACACATATCTACACCTGTAAGCGGCAAACACACCTTCAGTGATAAGGCAACCCGCCCCATAAATGCCAGTCGGGTGGAACTGAGCGAACTCCAGGTCCTGCAGAGAGGCAGCCCTGCACGCGCCACCATGGTGCCTGCCTTGGACACATACACATATCTACACCTGTAAGCGGCACACCTTCAGTGATAAGGCAACCCGCCCCATAAATGCCAGTCGGGTGGAACTGCACGAACTCCAGGTCCTGCAGGGGCAGCCCTGCACGCGCCACCATGGCGCACCCGCGTGCCCCACCTCCCCCCCCCCCCACACACTGACCACACTGACCTTCGGTGATAAGGCATCCAGCCCCATAAATGCCGGTGGGGTGGAACTGCACAAACTCCAAATCCTGCAGGGGCAGCCCTGCACGCGCCACCATGGCGTTGCTGTCGCCCTCAGTCATACCTTCAGTAATCAAACAGCCAGCGCCATAAATGCCGGTGGGGTGGAACTGCACGAACTCCAGGTCCTGCAGGGGGAGTCCTGCACGCGCCACCATGGCGTTACCGTCGCCCGTGCACGTGTGCGCTGACGTGGCAGAGAAATACGCACGCCCGTAGCCCTGAAGCGGAGGGCAGACGGAGGAGGAGGGGGGAGAAAGGGGAGAGGGAGGGGAGGGGAGAATGGGGGAATGGGGAAGGGGCAACGTGAGTGAGAGAGTAAGACCATGTGTTCACATCATAGCAAGGTGGGCTAGAGAGAGCAGAGAGAGCGCAGGGGAAGCCCTGCAGGGGCAGCCCTGCACGGGCCACCATGGCGTTACCATCGCCCGTGCACGTGTGCGCTGACGTGGCAGAGAAATACGCACGCCCGTAGCCCTGAAGCGGAGGGCAGACGGAGGAGGAGGGGGGAGAAAGGGGAGAGGGAGGGGAGGGGAGAGGGGTGGAATGGGAAGGGACAACGTGAGTGAGTGAGAGAGTAAGTCCATGGGTTCATATCACAGCAAGGTGGGTTAGAGAGAGGAGAGAGCGCAGCAGCAGCAGTCCTGCAGAGGCAGCCCTACACGGGCCACCATGACGTTACCATCGCCCGTGCACGTGTGCGCTGACGTGGCAGAGAAATAGGCACGGCCGTAGCCCTGAAACGGGGGAGGCGTAGGAGAGAGAGGAGTTAGAAGGTGAAGGGGGAAGGAGGGGAGAAGGGGGTGGCAAGGTGGGGAAAGGGGGTATGAGAAGCATCAGGGACAAGCCGTGCTTAATCAGCAGCACCAGAGCAAAAGAGCACCAGCACTCATCCCGGTGGCGAGAATGGCGGAATGGCAAGGACTCACCTCACTCGCCTAGAAGTTAAGTACTCACCCCAGTGGCCAGAATGGTGGAGTTGGATCGGAAGCGGTGGAGCGTGCCATCCTCCATGTTCAGCGCAGGAGGAAGAAGGAGGAGGAGAACGGACGAGCCATGCTTACAAGGACTCAAGTCAAGCAAGAAGGACTCACCCCGGTAGCCAGAATGGTGGAGTTGGATCGGAAGCGGTGCAGTGTGCCATCCTCCATGTTCAGTGCGATCACTCCCCGACAGGCTCCTGGTACAGTGATGCGCACAATACAGTCACATTCAGGATACAGTCCTAGTTCTAATCTTAGTTGCATGCATCACGCACACCTGTGAGCATACCAGCGCTCAAGAACTGAGACAACTTTTGAGGACCCTCACAAGGGTGTTTTGAGACGTCTCAAAACACTTTTGAGGCGCCTCACAAGGTGTGCAAGAGTTACGCCTCACACTTTTGAGTTGTGCAAGGTGTCATGTGCGCCTACCTGTACGTTTCTTACCTAAGACATCTCGAAACTAGACGTCCCGACATTAACTCACCCTCCTTGTCCATGATCAGGTCGAGAGCAAAGCACTCCACAAAGAACTGCGTGTTGTGCTTCATGGCTTGTCTCTCCTGCCCAGCATTTTAGACGGCTCACTCCCCCTCTCTCCACTCACCCTCCTTGTCCATGATCAGATCAAGAGCGAAGTACTCCACAAAGAACTGAGTGCTGTGCTTCGCTCATGGCCTGCCCCACTTGCATGTGCTATGCTTCTGACACGTCTCAACACTCATTGCCCCAGACCCCAACTCACCCTCCTTGTCCATTATGAGGTCGAGAGCGAAGTATTCTACGAAGAACTGCGTGTTGTGCTTCATGGCCTGCCCGTACAGTGTGTGCAGCAACGCATGCCCCGTGCGATCCGCTGCACACGCACACCTGCAGGGAGGCACACAAGCCAAGCATATAGGCACAGACAGTGGTTTAGAGTGTTGTGCTTTATGGCCTGCCCGTATAGGGTGTGCAGCAGCGCATGCCCCGTGTGATCAGCCGCACACGCGCACCTGCAGGGAGGGAGGGCAGGTAGGTAAGCAGGCAGGCATGCAGGCAGGTAAGCAGGCAGGCAGGTAGCCAGGCAGGCAGGCACGCAGGTGTGTGCAGCAGTGCATGCCCTGTGCGATCTGCTACACATATATCACCTCTCCCACCTCCACCCACCGACCTGTACGCCTGTTCGCCCCTCCCCACCCAACCATACGCCTGTTCGCCCCTTCCCACCCAATCATACGCCTGCTCGCCCCTCCCCACCCAATCATACGCCTGCTCGCCCCTCCCCACCCAATCATACGCCTGCTCGCCCCTTCCCACCCAATCATACGCCTGCTCTCCCCTCCCCACCCAATCATACGCCTGCTCGCCCCTCCCCACCCAATCATACGCCTGCTCGCCCCTCCCCACCCACCTGTACGCCTGCCCGCCCTTGCCATAGTCCAGGCTCTGCCCTCCGAACGCGCGCTGGTAAATGCGGCCGCCGTCCGTGCGAGAGAAGGGCAGCCCGTAGTGTTCCAGCTCTACCAACCCTCCCCACCCCTCGGAACGTCAAATACCCACCTGCACGCCTGCCCACCTGTACGCCTGCCCGCCCTTGCCATAGTCCAGGCTCTGCCCCCCAAACGCGCGCTGGTAAATGCGGCCGTCATCAGTGCGCGAGAAGGGCAGCCCGTAGTGCTCCAATTCAATCACCGCCTTGGGTGCTTGCTCGCACATGTACTGAATCGCGTCCTGGTCGCCTGCACATGGGGGGGAAGAGGGGGGGGGGGAAAGTGAGTAACAGCATAAATAGTGAAGAGGTGGGGAGGAGAAGGGCAGCTCTATCACCGCCTTGGGCGCCTGCTCGCACATGTACTGAATGGCATCCTGGTCGCCTGGACAGGTGTGTGCACAGTGCATTTATGTGTGCAGGGAAGGGGGAGCGCAACACGAGGGAGAAGAGGTGGAGAGGAGAAGGGCAGCCCGTAGTGCTCCAATTCGATCACCGCCTTGGGCGCCTGCTCGCACATGTACTGAATCGCGTCCTGATCGCCTGAAGGGAGGAGGGAGGGAGAAAGAGAGAAGGGCAACATAAAGAGCAAAGGGGTGGGGAGGAGAAGCGCAGCCCGTAGTGCTCCAGCTCTATCACCGCCTTGGGCGCCTGCTCGCACATGTACTGAATGGCATCCTGGTCGCCTGTGCGGGTGCGTGTGGGGGGTCGGAACCGGGGGGAAAGGGAGAGAGGGTGGAGGAGGGAGGGGAGAGGGAAGGGCGACAGATGGGCAAAAGAGGTGGAGGGGAGAATGGCCGCCCGTAGTGCTCCAGTTCTATCACCGCTTGGAGCCTTTCTCGCACATGTACTACATCACGCCCATTGGTTCAACCATCCCCACTCACCCCACTCCACTGCACACCACACCCACACACCGCCGCCCACCGCACTGCACCACCACTCACCCAGCCAGTCACTGCCCTTGACAGTGTCGTACATGTGCCAGCGCCAGTCATCCTCTGTCATGTTGCCCAGCGCTGCGTTAATGCTCCCACCGCCCACACCTTTGCACACCTCCCCACCGCACAGCATCATTCACCACGCCCACTCACCGTTTCCCACAGCACTGCACCACCACTCACCCAGCCAGTCGCTGCCCTTGACGGTGTCGTACATGTGCCAGCGCCAGTCGTCCTCTGTCATGTTGCCCAGCGCCGCGTTAATGCCGCCCTGGTGGACAGACAGGACAGGGTGGTGGGTGGGAGGACAGGGCCAGGACAGTGGCGAGAGATGAAAGAGGGAAAGAAAAGGGGGAAAGCACTTATGCGCGACAGGCGAAGGGTGGGGAGGGAGAGAAAAGGGGGGAGACAAGAAAGGGCCGTGTTGAAGCCGCTCTCTGACAGCCCGAAGGCAGCCCACAGCCCGCGAGCGACCCTGACGACTGTGTACGACCCTGGCGACACTGTGTGTGTGCAACCCACCTGCGCGGCGACGGTGTGCGAGCGCGTGGGGAAGAGCTTGGTGATGCAGGCCGTGTTGAAGCCGCTCTCCGACAGCCCGATCGCCGCCCGCAGCCCCGCGAGTGAGTGCGACCCCGCGACTGTGTGCGACCCCTGTCGACTGTGTGCGATCCCTGTCGACTGTGTGCGACCCCTGTCGACTGTGTGCGAACCTGGCGACAATGTGCGACCTCTGGCGACCGCGTGCGACCAGCTAACCGACACACCTGCGCGGCGACGGTGTGCGAGCGCGTTGGGAAGAGCTTGGTGATGCAGACCGTGTTAAAGCCATGGAGATCCTGACGACTGTGAGCGACCCTGGCGACTGTGAGCGACCCGGCGACTGTGAGCGACCCACCTGTGCGGCGACGGTGTGCGAGCGCGTGGGGAATAGCTTGGTGATGCAGGCCGTGTTAAAGCTGCTCTCATACAGCCCAATGGCCGCCCGCAGCCCCGCGAGTGAGTGCGACCCTGGCGACTATGTGCGAACCTGGCGACAATGTGCGACCCCTGGCGACTGCGTGCGACCAGCTAACCGACACACCTGCGCGGCGACGGTGTGCGAGCGCGTTGGGAAGAGCTTGGTGATGCAGGCCGTGTTGAATCCGCTCTCTGACAGCCCAATGGCCGCCCGCAGCCCCGCCCCGCCCGCCCCCACCACCACTGCGTCGTACGTGTGGTCGATCACTGGGTACGCCTGGAAGGGAAGAGATGACAGAGTGGTACAAAGGGATGCGAGGTGATTGCAGCAATGCTCGCCCCCACCACCACCGCGTCGTACGTGTGGTCGATCACTGGGTACGCCTGGAAGGGAAGAGATGACAGAGTGGTACAGAGGGATCCGAGGTGATTGCAGCAATGCTCGCCCCCACCACCACCGCGTCGTACGTGTGGTCGATCAAGACAAAAGAAAAGAAAAGAAAGAAAAATAAATGAGACAAATGTCTGGAAATTCAGATTCTAACATGGACGTTTCAAGATCCTATATGGAGCAGTCTACTACCCGCCACTGGCACCCTGGCATCCAGCATCACGGCGACACAAGCGTGATGATCGCGGGCGACGAATGGAGGACGCTAAGTGAAAAACGAGATGGGAGGTGGAGAAGCTAAAGGCTGAAACGAGAGCCTGAAGAGGGAAAATTCAGACGTGCTGGGGAAGTATTCGGCGTGCCGGAACCTTCTGACGCGAGACAGAAGCGTCGAGCCGGTGCCAGTAGCCTGAAGTCGATCGAGTGACGGGATATCCAGGCGACACAAAGGACCGGATCGCACTTCTTGATGTTCCGTGCAACATCCAGGGACTGAATCAAACTCAAACGTCGCGACGCCCGTTTGTGCGAGATCCAGGTCAGACCGGACGTCAAGATCCGGCATCAATATCAAGGCTCCGATCCAGGTCCGAATGGAAACCCTAAGAACGCAGACTAGGCGATAAAGATGCAGGCGACAAAGGGAACGCACACACCTGCGACGACATCAGTCGCCCGAGAATCGGCGCGCTGCGAATGCCATTAGCGTCCGACGACGCTCCCCGCTGCGCGCGAAGAGCGGCGGGGATCAGGCGACTCGCTGCTGCCTTCCACATCCTGTGCGCGCACTAACAACCCTGAAATCCACTGCCTGGTGAATCACCCTTGGATTGTCCCCAGATGAGGGGTATTGACTAGACGGTCCGACACCCGTTGTACTCGCGTGGTTAAAAAGGAAAACAATGTGTAAACCTGAGACTATGGAATTTATTGTATGGCTGAGCGGAAGGCGGTGCTGGTTGGAGGGACGGAGGGGTTGGTTGCGTGAACGGTTTCGTTGGATGCGTGGAAGATGACGGACACGATAAGCGTAAGAGGGAACGGGATAAAGAGCCTAGGAACTATCCCGAAGCAGATTCGGTGCCGTGAAGCACGGCGAAACGAAAGCTGAGCCTGCGGCTCCTCCCCCAACCTACCTAGGCCTAGGGGAAGTCTCTGTAGGAGGATACAAGTTTTAGGGGAAAATCTCCAAAAACCGAGCCGTGAGTTTGGGGAGATTGGTTCAAACCTAGGTCATGGCACCGCGAAGAACCAAGCAGGTACCATTCTAATTAGTAATTGAACCGTGCTGATCGACATGAGATTTTGGGAATGCACGGAAATGAGCTGTAAAGTGGTTCGGTGCGGTGAGATTGACATGCTGAATGATGATGCTGGCCCTCGGGATTGTGTGCTGAAGCACACAGCACAGGCCAGCCAAGATTCCACCCCAGCTTCTGGAAAGAATCTCCAACCCAAGCGCGCAACGTGTCACTGGCGCTGGACCACTTCTGCCTGAGCTTCCTAGGCTTGGCGGCGGTTTGTCCGCGAACCAGAAAAGATCAGTGGTTTTCGATTCGGCCCGGGGGGTGAGCGTGGAGGCTTGGCATGGCCAGAAGCAGCGGAGGCCCAGCTGCCGGAGAGCACGTGGCTGCGGCTGACGAGGCTTGCGACGACGTGGCGAAGACAAGAAGTTGCCAAGCAACGGCGACACATCGGAATTACCGCGCATCACTGCAGCTCCCAAGCATACGCGTGGGAAGCATACTCGTTATTCTATTCTAATTGCAGCTGATAACAACATCAAGAAAACCCTCTGACTGAACCAACAAGCAACCCAAGCTAGGGTAAGTAGGTGACCAAAATCAGGTGACTAAATTCTTTCATGCAGAGAAACTGTAACAGTACACAATTGATGACTACAATCGCAAGGCTTGATGGAAAAGACCAGCCCCTTCAAGGAGCCTAACACTGTCGCTCGCTCACAAAAGCATTTGCTCAGTGCTGCGACCACTAAATGGTTTTGACGTCAATCCCCTCCTGCACCAACTCCCACAGCGGACTCATGTCCCTCAGCCACTGCACCTGATTTATTCTGAGGCACCTCAAAAGTCATTTGCTCAGTGCTGCGACCACTGAATGGTCTTGGTGTCAATCCCTTCCTACACCATCTCCCACAGTGGACTCATGTCCCTCAGCCGCTGCACTGACTCCTTCTAAGGCGCCTCAGAAGTAATTTCCTCAGTGCTGCGACCACTGGATGGTTTTGATGTCAATCCCTTCTTGCACCATCTCCCACAGTGGGCTCATGTCCCTCAGCCTCTGCACCTGATGCACTGTCAGCGCCACAGCCCTGCATGGGAACAGAACAAAGAAAACAACACAAGACGACGCAGTTCTTCAGTTCATATACGAACATCCAGTGCTCCTCTCTATGCTCATATACACAGAATTCAAACACCCATGTCCACTGCACAACTAACCAGTCCAAACTCAGCCCAATGCCACCTGTCTGCGTCCTCTTCAGTGGTTCAACAGCCAAAGCTAAATCGAACATAGCTCGGCTCGAGGCTCGCACTCGTGAACGCACTACCATCGAGGCAATCAACAGGCTCTCCCCCTTCACCCCAATACCTGCCTTGCTTCTCCCCTGCTTCTCACCTGCTGCTACCCACACCACCGCCAGCCCTGAACCTCACCCGTCCACTTCCTCTTCTGTCGTGAAACGCCCGAATCCGAACCAAATAGAAGTATGCGCCATCTCCTCCTCCACCCCCAGCGCCCGCAGCACATCTCTCCCACTGTTAACCACCCGCCCCTGGTCCACTCTCACCTGTCCACCTCCTCTTCAGTCGTGAATCGCCCGAACCCGAACCGAATGGAAGTATGAGCCATTTCCTCCTCCACTCCCAGCGCCCGCAGCACATATCACCGCAGGCGCGCATACCTGTCATGTCCTGTCCTGCTGCTCAGTGCTCACCTGTCCACCTCCTCTTCAGTGGTAAATCGCCCGAACCCGAACCGAATGGAAGTATGCGCCATTTCCTCCTCCACCCCCAGCGCCCGCAGCACTTAACTTGGTTCCAAACTCGCGCTCGTGCACGCACTGCCATTCGACACCGCAATCTCCTTCAACCCCATCAGCAGGGCCTCCCCCTCCACTCCAATACCCAAAATACATACCTGTTGTGTTTCTCCCCTCCTGCTTACCTGCTTCTCACCTGCTTCTTCCCCGCTGCTCACCTGCTGCTACCCGCACTTAAACCTCACCTGTCCACCTCCTCTTCTGTCGTGAAACGGCCAAATCCAAACCGGATAGAAGTATGCGCCATCTCCTCTTCAACCCCCAGCGCCCGCAGCACATAGCTCGGTTCCAGACTCGCGCTCGTGCACGCACTGCCACTTGACACCGCGATTTCTTTCAACCCCATCAGCAGGCTCTCCCCCTCCACATACGCGAACGAGAGGTTCAGATTGCCCGGGTACCGCTTCCCGGGCTCGTACGAGCCGTTGATCACCACCCCTTCCAGCTGCGACGTTATCCCCTTTAGAAGCCGCTCCTTTAACTGCTCCGCGTGGCGGTAATCGCGTTCGAGCTCAGCTTCGGCGACCGCGCACGCCGCACCTAGCCCGACCACCAGCGGGGTAGGTACGGTACCGGACCTGAGGCCCCGTTCCTGACCTCCGCCACTCATTTGAGGCTCGAGCCTCACTCTGGGTCGGCGCCGCACGTACAAAGCGCCAACCCCCTTCGGGCCGTAGATCTTATGGCTGCTAAGCGAGAGGAGATCGATGTTTAAATCGTCGACACTTAGCGGGATTTTTCCCGCCGCCTGAGCCGCATCGGTGTGGAAAAAGATTTTGTTTGCCCGGCAGAGCTGCCCGATCTCCTTGAGCGGCTGGATCACGCCGATCTCGTTATTAACGGTCATGATCGAAACGAGAACCGTGTCCGGGCGGATCGCGGCTTTAAGGGTTTCAATGTCGACGAGACCGTCGGAGCCGACGGGAAGGTAAGTCACGTCGAAGCCCTCCTGCTGCAGGTGTCTGCACGAGTCCAACACACACTTGTGCTCGGTATGCGTGGTGATCATGTGCCGCTTCTTGTCTCTGCACGGTTGATGTGGAAAGGGAGGGGTATGGGGAGAGGGGAACGGACGGAGGGAAAGAGGGGGATCAGAAGTGAAACGAGAGTGGAATCAAGCTGATTGCGGCTTTAAGGGTTTCGTGATCAACTAGACCGTCGAAGCCGACGGGGAGGTAAGTGACATCGAAGCCCTCCTGCTGCAGGTGCCGGCATGAATCAAGCACGCACTTGTGCTCCGTCTGAGTGGTGATCACGTGCCGCTTCTTGTCTCTGCATGGTGAAATGGGGGGGTTGTATGGATGGCAAGAGCAGGTGATTCACGTCGAAGCCCTCCTGCTGCAGGTGCCGGCATGAATCAAGCACGCACTTGTGCTCCGTCTGAGTGGTGATGACGTGCCGCTTCTTGTCTCTGCATGGTGAAATGGGGGTGTTGTATGGATGGCAAGAGCAGGTGATTCACGTCGAAGCCCTCCTGCTGCAGGTGCCGGCATGAATCAAGCACGCACTTGTGCTCCGTCTGAGTGGTGATGACGTGCCGCTTCTTGTCTCTGCATGGTGAAATGGGGGGGTTGTATGGATGGCAAGAGCAGGTGATTCACGTCGAAGCCCTCCTGCTGCAGGTGCCGGCATGAATCAAGCACGCACTTGTGCTCCGTCTGAGTGGTGATCACGTGCCGCTTCTTGTCTCTGCATGGTGAAATGGGGGGGTTGTATGGATGGCAAGAGCAGGTGATTCACGTCGAAGCCCTCCTGCTGCAGGTGCCAGCATGAATCAAGCACGCACTTGTGCTCCGTCTGAGTGGTGATCACGTGCCGCTTCTTGTCTCTGCATGGTGAAATGGGGGGGTTGTATGGATGGCAAGAGCAGGTGATTCACGTCGAAGCCCTCCTGCTGCAGGTGCCGGCATGAATCAAGCACGCACTTGTGCTCCGTCTGAGTGGTGATCACGTGCCGCTTCTTGTCTCTGCATGGTGAAATGGGGGGGTTGTATGGATGGCAAGAGCAAGTGATTCACGTCGAGTCCCTCCTGCTGCAGGTGCCGGCATGAATCAAGCACGCACTTGTGCTCCGTCTGAGTGGTGATCACGTGCCGCTTCTTGTCTCTGCATGGTGAAATGGGGGGGTTGTATGGATGGCAAGAGCAGTTGATTCACGTCGAGTCCCTCCTGCTGCAGGTGCCGGCACGAGTCCAACACACACTTGTGCTCGGTTTGAGTGGTGATCACATGGCGCTTCTTGTCCCTGGGGGGTTGAGAGTGGGTGAATGGATGGAAAAGACAGGTAAGTGACATCGAACCCCTCCTGCTGCAGGTGCCGGCACGAGTCCAACACACACTTGTGCTCTGTCTGTGTGGTGATGACATGCCGCTTCTTAGCCCTGCATGGTTGACGGGCGAGGGATGAGAGAACGGGGAAAAGTGCGCCATGCCCTTGATGGCAATATTGTTGGACTCGGTTGCCCCCGACGTAAAAATGAGCTCCTTGGGGCTGGCGCCCATGAGAGAAGCCTCCTGCCAGTGCAACAAGGTCGCCATATGCAGCACATACAGCTGAAACTCACTTGAAGTGAAACATACAGCACATGCGCCCGGGTACTCACT